ATCCCCGCGAGGGGCTCGGAAAGCTAGCGCCGTTACAGCTTGCCTGATCACAGGAATGACAAAAAATCCAGTCGCAAACACGAGCTTAACCTGGTTCTTGCAGCAATCAATGTTTGTTGAGGCGATGAGGAGTACTTACATCTGCGACAATCTGCACCACAGTGCTGAAGTTGTGGCCACGGTCAAAGTAATCTGTTGTCAAGAAACCGGCGGGCGCGTCATGAAGGATGTGTGTGCAATCGATTGCACCCACGCAGTTAGGTATGCCGTGCACAGCCTCCATCTGAGCGATTGCAGCTTCTCGCTCCTGTCCTTCTTCAGGGTACTTTAGACGGGTGGGCCCTTCAACAATCAGAATGGCTTGCGCGACTCTCCAGTCAACATCACTAACGGTGCTAGTACCAACGCCAAAGAGCTCCCCCACTCCAAAATTAGATCCGCCATGTCCTAGCTTGTACAAACCTACTGCAAGTTGCTTTGTGACAGTCAACAACCTGCTTGGCAAGGCTCTTGCAAGGCTATCAGGGGGTGTGCAAGTAAGTTGCGCTCTCAAAGCCTCCTCAAGATAAAGGAAAGTGGCTCTTCCAATTCTAAAGAGTCGTCTCCACCTTTCATCATCGTAAACCCGCTGTACAAAAGTCTCAAACCATGTCAAAGATCTGGGTTTGATATACCCGGTCGCCAATATTTGCCCCAAAAAGTTGCACATCTGTAAGAACTTCTTCTCCAAAGAGGGCTGCCACAACAGCAGCAGCGTCATCCATCTCCATTGTTGCGGCCAAAAATGCAAGATTATCCTCCTCATCGTCATCCTCGGTGAAGTAAGCATCCCTGCTTGCGTAACTGGAGGCTCGACCCTCAAGAATGTCCTCAATCGACCAAGAGACAACCCCATGGATAGAAGCTACTGCCAACAGTAGGCTAGCTGTGGTCACTGCAAGGGTGGTCAATGTTGCAGCATCCATGGGCTCTGAGTGCAGGGCTGCCCGGCCCGGTCCTGCTGTTTGTCTCAGGCTCTTGCCGCTTTGGCCTCCCTTCTCAGTCTGCTTCCTTTTGCTTCTTTCGATCAATGACGGTTACAGTGACAGTGACAGTGACAGCCGTGCATGACCACAGTGCATGCCACTGGCACTGGCACTGGCCCGCCCGCGCTTAGACTTTCGCGCTTTCAGCACCGAGCGCCGCGGTAAACCCCACTCCATGCGACACTGTTTCCGCTAAATTGACGAGGCACGTGTAACGCGTGATCCCGCGATCGGCCCCCTAAAAAGTTTAGCGGTAGAGGGTGCATGCGACACACCCCTTACACCCGCCAAAATTCATAATCGTTCGCGGCCTATGATTTGTTTATCAGCCCGCGGCCTGCCAATCATTACAGTAGCTGTTCGTGAAGTCTAAAAGGTCTGACAATCATGTGGGTAAAGACAGTAGTTTTCCTGACTTTTAGAGGTCCTTTTCCTGACGCTGGCAAGGAATCAGCAGGCTGTCCGGTCGCTGCAGATCCTCTCATGGCGCCATGCATTGGTTCTAAGTTGTCTTGCTGGTGCAATTGACATAAATTCCTGGTAGGCCGTAGATGGCATTGTTAAGTCGCTGTCACCAGCAGCAGTGGCAAGGCACCTGCTTGACGGGTCTTTGCCAGGTTCAGCAGAGGTGTCAGCAGGTCGAGAGGCAAGGCATATGTAAGGTGGAAGGAGGTGAATCTGCTCTACCAAAAGCTTTCTCTTTTCTTTAAGGGCATTCTTTTGCAAAAGCCTTTCAGGGAGCGCGGCCCTCGGTGTTAGTGCCGGCACACTCACCTTTGTTCTTTCCACTAAAGTTACCCCGATGGCGTCCCATCTTTCTACCCCCTTCCTGCTGATCCTGCTGGCCGCCGGCTGTTGCCAGCTGTCGCCCGCCTCTGCCCAGGTTCCAACACCTGTCACCCAGCTCCCATTCAGCTCCAGCGAGCTCGCTCCGCAGACTGCCGCGCGGGCTGCTTACTTCAGCGCCATGCTCGCAGGAGGGGGCGGAGATGCAGCCAACTTGGCTGCCAATGTGAGAAACTTTGCGGCGACTCCCGTCGGCCTGGGGGGTGGGTTCATTTCGCTGGCGACATTTGTCGTGAACACCGCGATTGGGACGCCTCCTGTGACGGTTCCGCTGATCGTTGACACCGGAAGCCATGTGTGCTTTACACAAGGACCAAACTGTACGACCTGTCCGAGTGGGGGCGGGTGCCAGAACAGTCCCTTTGGTGCGAACTCAGGCTCGACTTGTCCCTATGGGGGGCCGATATACGATCCCTCCCAATCTAGTACAGCTGTCACCAGCACAACGTGTGCCCAGTGCGCAGGTGAATCGTTTGGGGCGACGGGGTGCCTCGAAGAGGCATTCTCCCCCCCTAATACGTGCCAGTTCGAGATCAGGTTTGGGATTGGCAATGCCGCGGGCCGGTTTACGCAGGACGTTGTGTCGGTGGGGTCTGTCTCCTCAGGGGGTCAGCGCCTTTTCATCGGGACTACCACCTTTCAGTCCGCCTTCGAGGGCACAGCGGGGTTGCTGGGCTTCGGGCCGGCCGTGACTTCCCTGCCTGTCCAATTGAAGCAGGTATGTAGTGCTGGTCGGTCTGTTCAGTCAGGTATCGCCTTTCTGAGTTGTTCTTTCTTCGGAGGGGTTTTCTCCCGGCGCGCTAAGCAGTGTCGCCCAGAATGTTGGCTCCAGGCAGCTGGTCGGTCAGGAGGTGTTGTTAGGAATGCGAAATAGTCTTGCCTAGAAGAAACGGACCAAACCCTCCGAAGGTTACACAGTCTGTGAACGCTGAGGAAACTCTTTGGGAAACTTGCTGTTGGGGGCTTTTGAATATCATCTCTCTCTTGCATGCACCTGTTCTTGACAGCAGTTGCTTTAACAAACCAGGAGTGTGAAAGCTCACGCCTTTGACCTTGATAGGAAGGAATGTTGAGCGCTGTCCCTTCTGTGCGGAAGATCAAGAACCACCTAAGGACAATCTGTCTCTTTCAACTACACCACATGTCATGTGTTCGCCACTCTGTCTGTGTTGCATAAAATTGTCAACGATTCTCACCCTCTGGCCAGAGTACATTAACCTTAACCTTACACTGTCGCTTCGATCCAAAGATCATTAATTCAGCACTTTGCATCCGTACGATCCGCATGTCAGCAAGGATCGCCCACCACCCACTTTGCCATTTCCTCTTCCCCAGCATTCAGATCCTGTTCTCGATTCACATGTTGCCTGTTTGGTGCCTTACCAGACTTGTTGGAAGAGAAAGGACCAGACTCGTGAGTGTTTTTTCGCAAGTACGACCGTCAACATTGACAAAGAATCTCGTCGCCTCATGCTAATCACTAAAGCAGATTCATTTGTAGTTGGCTCTCAAGCAGCAACCTCACCTCTCACAATCTGTAACGCCAGTCTATGCCCCCGAAAAAGCAATTTGTTGCGTCTTTTTTGTTTTCCTGCTATTCCTCAAATTTGGGGTGGTTTCAGCTCCGACCCAAATTGGGCAGAATGACCGCTGCAGCACAAGAAAACCCTGAAACGCCAAAACAAGAAGATCGCGTGTTGCAGTCATGTACAAGTCCAATGTAACTTATTGCGATGCTCACCCTTGCATGCCTGTCCAGGTCGGCGCCCTTCCTTCCTCCACCTTTGCCCTTTGCCTGGCATCCGGTACCAGCAACGGAGGCACGCTCTTCCTTGGGGGGGTCCCTGACCAGCCTGGCGGCGCCCCCTACGACATTTCGTATACGGGGCCCCTGCTCCGGAACCCTTTTGTCTTTTTCATCATACCGAACCCAACGAACGTCCTGTTGAACGGCAACCCTGTGGCTGGGGCTGCTTCAGCGCTGCAATCTGACACCAATGCAGGATCCGCTTGGATCGTGGACTCAGGTATTTAGCCTCACCCACATCTTTCCAATTGCAGCTTGTTGTCTTAGTTTTAGCCAACTTGAGCCTGGCTCTGAGACTGCAAGAGTCGAACTTCTGAATCTGCTTTGTTGATTGTTTACTTTGGATGAACCTGTCAATTTGGGTGGTTCTCACGTGAGTCTGGGCATTTTAAGAAGCTTGTTACGTCAGAGAAAAAGTTTGGGGGGACTTTTGTTCGAACCAAAAAGGGTCACCGGAGAAACGGCGACAAGCACCAATTGCAAGCACGAGTTGCCGCGACTTTGCTTGCTCAGATTTCTCGTGTCTGTCAGAATTCATGAGCATCACACGGGTTTTTCTGGATCTGTGCACCACTTGCTTTGACTCCGTCAAAAAGGTAAAGCCAGCTTTCTTGGACGAGCTTTTGCAGATTGCGGCCCTTTCAAGATCTAATGACAGCCCGAGGTCCCAGGCGTTTTTGCAGTTTATGATGATTTCCGCGACTTCTATCACTATCACTAACTCACGCGCTTCGTGTTACCTTCCAATCAGCCTCAAAAAACATCTAGCTCGAAGCACACTTTCATTATGTGTGAGCAGCAAAGCGGCAATCTTTTTATTTGTTCGTCATCTTCTGAAAGTCGTGCTTCATCCTTGCAGGGACCACGCTCACTGTTCTTGGCACCCCCTTGTACGACGCACTGCTGGGCGCCATAAAGACAGCTGTCGGGTGCCCCAACACAATCTCCCGGGTCGGCTTGGATTTCATCGAGTGAGATTTGTTCCTTTTGCTCCAAAATGCGATTCACCTTGGGGCACTGTTTCTTCCATTTTAGCGTAGCATTCTCTTTGTATCTCAAAAGTCTCGGGTCTTCTGTTACATGGGGAGTCGCATCAGTTTTGGTGTTTGATGAGAAAGTGCTTCGGGGAATGGAGGACGAAACGACTCGTGTTTCAGGGTTTGGAGGAAGCAAACGTCCAATGGTAGTTACGACAAAGTTGCTGCATTTGCCGTTTACTTAAGGTCGTCAACCAGATGACACCTGTCAAATCTGTCCTTATTTCCATAAGTACTTTCCTCTTGCTTTGCTCAACATTTTTATCTGCTCTTGACTCATGTGCATCTCATTTTTTTGCAGCCTCACGACGTGCAACCCACGTAAGTTCCTCCCTTATCTCTTCCGTTATATTTGCAGTGTTGCCACAGGAATTTCTCTCACTTCCGTTGCCGTGGCGGGCAGCTGCTTGTGTTGTTATACAGTGCGAACGTGCTCTCCTAGAGAGCATGCAGAGGGTTGTCAGCGGAGCTTAACTTCTCTGGAGTGTCTAAAGCGCAGAATTTTTGTAGTTTATTCTTGTGTCCCCCGTACTCGAGGTGTTGCTTTTCTCACATACAGTGCTTACAAACTGATGGTTTCTCGTCGTTTGCGCTCTCCTTGAAAACATCCATTTTGTGTAGTGCTTCGCGGTTAGTCTTTTCTGATGCCTTAAGGATCAGATATCCCGTAACTTGACGCGCTTAGATGCACGTCCCTTGACAGGCTCCTCGCCGTATGGGGATCCGCCCCTCTGCCATCGACGCCTTTTCATTCCAAAAAGCGTTCATTTCTTTATCCCTGCTCCTCTCCTGGAAAAATCAAAGCCGCCCCCATTTTACCCATTCCGCAGCGTTCACGTCTTTTTCCAACGATGAGCTCTACTCGCGCTTCCCCACTCTGACGCTCCAGCTGCAAGGCACGCAAGCGGTCGCGCGGCCAAAGTCGTACCTTTACCCCCTGGACGGCACTAACCGTTTCGTTAACCCGGGCATTGATGACGGGGGCCCGGCCTCTTCTAACCCGAATAACGCGGCTGTCCGAATCGTCGGCGACAGTTTCATCACCGATAACCTGGTACGGTTTCATCTCGGTTCTGGCCAACTGAAATGTTCCATGCGGAACGAGGCACGTCTGACAGCATCTATGAAGCACCAGTAATGATACTCTGTTGGTTGGAGCTTGGATTGGTAGTTTTGGACACGCCCAGGGGACTGCTGCTTGTAATTCCATACAATCTGAGCCCTGGTATAGCGCGAAAATTTGTCCGCAATCTTGAGAAAATCCAGGATTTTTGTTGACGTCAACGCGAACAGTGTCCGAAGCTTTTGTCCGAGGTTCGTTTGGCCAAGCGCATCTTGGCGTGGCTTAAAGGTGACCGGGGCAACCTCAATCTGGTTCCTTTTGAGGTTGGACGTAGCAAACTTTCTGTCTGGACGTCTAAGAACCTGAAAAAGGCTGTGAAAAAGCTCGAGAACTACCGCTCTTGTACGCAAAGTTATGCCTGGAACCGAGCGCCTTCTGTTTCCAGGTCGTTTTTGACGCAGAGAACAGCCGGGTGGGTTTTGCGAGCGTGAACTGCGACACTCTGTGTAAGTCGCCTATACCCGCTTGCGCCTTTGGGGACTGCAAGCAACCATTCTTCCCTTGTACGACAAACCAGGAAGTAGACTCTCAATGAAATCTCATTTTTGCATAAGCTGAAGCTTCAAGTCATCCGGCCGTTCTGAGAGATAGGATTCCAAATTTCCTCACTCCCTTGGAGCTTCACGAGTCAAGCGTTTCTTGGCCAAGCTTGTCCTTTCACATTTATCTGCGGTACGTCCACGCCCACTTGGAAGATCAGAGACTTATGACAGGTGCCACGAACAAGGGCGGGGATCAGTCTCGTAGGATTGCTTTTCAGGGCTTCCGTCTCGATGTTGTTCCAGATCCGCTCGTACGACTTTCTGTCCATTTTTAAGCCTTTGTCTGCACCGAGCGAACAATCAAGTGATCTTCGTCGCTGCAGCATCTCGATCAGTATTCTTCCTTCGCCGGTTGACGCTCCCCGCACTTGCTTCTGCCTCTCACCTCCCCTGTCCAAAAGGAAATCTAATATTGTGCATTGAGCAACCTGGCTCCTTTTACGATCCTTCCCCAAGAGTTGTTCCGCTGATGGCCGCGAAACTGTCCATCTGCAGTGCCTCTCGCACCCGCTTCAAGCAACCCCTCCCCAACTGTTTCTCCCCCGACCACTCCCGTCTCCCCGGGTGTTTCCGCTAACCCGGGGCCGGACGGCACGTGCAGTTCTTTCCTCGCCACCCCCAACCAGTGCTACACGGCGGACGGCACTGGGTCTATCTGCTGCGCCGGCCAGGTGGATTTGGCTGGGTTTGGTTGAATCTGGCTGGGTTTAGCTGGGTTTTGCTGAGTTTGGCTGGGTTTGGCTGGGTTTAGCCGGATTTCGTTTGGCTTGGTCGGGCTTGGTTGGATTTGACAAGCTGGGCTACATGATAAGGACAGGAAAGGTAAGGAGATGGAGTAGTAGAAACGCATCGGGCAACGTTCATCACACATTCAGCGCCTGCTTCTGCCCATTGCTTTTCTTTGCACCTTTTGCGTCAGAGAAGATGTAATCAAGGGAGCAGAAACCCAACGGAGGGGTAAATAAGATCAACAGGAAGTGGAAGGAAGACGTACTCAAAATTAGTAAAATCAAGCGCGTTTGAGGACCCGAGCATGGGTCATAAGGGACCCATGTACCCTGTCTACATCATCCTGGTCGTGGTTGATCATCGAGGTCTCCTTGAACTGTGCTTGGCCATACTTCCGCTACTGGTTTTCCGTTGGAAGATAGAAAGCACCCCTTTATGCCGATCAATGGAATACAGATGCACTCGTTGTTGGCCCTTGCGATATGTTTCAGTTTCGAGGCACTTTTGCTGTGTTGCCGTCAGCGTAGGCAGTTTTTCTGGTTCAACAAAAGCTTGCACTATGTTCATTCTTTGCAGAGGCCAGCCGCAGGATGCATCAATAATTCCACATCCGTAGCGTCTTTCTGATCGTAGAGCAGAACACCGATTGCAAACATGCTGCCTGCCAAACCGTTCTTTTCTGTTGAAGCCTCGTTCGTAAGCGGCACCTGCTCGGCCAACTCCTGCTTTACATTGGGATTGGCTTCCATCTCAAAGCGGAGGTCTAACACGTGGCAAACGTAACACTCAGCAGCGTCGTTTCCAGACATCCTATAAGTTCCGCGTCCCTTGTTTTCGTCCAGTGCCCCAACCCCCCTGCCGTCGGAACCCCAAATTGCGGAGCTGGCTCTGCGGCCCCCCCGACCACGCCTGCCCCAACCGTCGCTCCCCCGACCACTCCCGCCCCGACCGTTCCGGTTCCGGCCCCGACCACCTCCGCCCCAACCGTTCCGGTTCCGGCCCCGACCACTTCGGCCCCAGTACTTCCGGCTTCGACCACTCCGGCCTCCCCCGGCGGTTCCGCCAACCCGGGACCGGACGGCACGTGCAGCTCTTTGCCCGCCACCCCCAACCAGTGCTACACGTCGGACGGAACGAGGTCCATCTGCTGCGCCGGCCAGGTGGGTTATTCTTCCATTGTTGTGCATGAGGCTGTCAATTGCGAACTTAGAAAGAGGACTCTAGGGCTCCAGTCACCATCGCGGGCAGCCTGTCAGATTCAGAAGAAAAGGTGCTCGACGAGAACGGGATAAGGAGCGAGCTGAGTCAGGTCAAGGTCGACATGAAGTACTCGTCTTGGATCCCCTAGTCAGTACGCACGTTTTGGGCCTCTTGACACAACGGGTCTTTTGACCAACCGCTGGGCGAATGTGTCAAAGCAAAAGTTCGGAAACGCGGCGACGCGCTTACACAAATCTCGTGCAAAAGTCGCCGGCGAAGTCTAGAGGCCGACTTTGCGGTTGGCAGAGAGCAATTGATGCGACCTCCATCGGATGGTCCGGAGGGTCGAAGTTGGGGGCTGCCCCCATCGATCGACGGTTCTGAACTTTTGTTGCCGGCACCACGAGCGTGCGCACTGACTGCCCCAGTTGTACTGACGTCCGCCAAAAGCAAGTGCTGGCCGGTCAAGCGTATTGTGACCTCTCTGACGTCGTTGACATCAAGTACTGTCTCCACGCCGACTGATTGTGTCTTGTAGCAGTAGCAGAATCGATTAACGGAAACATTCAGAACCTTCTGAGTGGACACGTTAAGCACCTTTTGATCAAACCTCCAAGAACCTCAGCTGGCTATCTGCAAGACTTGGTTGGATTTCCGATACTCAATATGCAGAATGCTACTCACACTCAGTCGCCCACGGTCAAAGGACAAGGGGCTAAACTGGAGTCACTCTTTAAATTGTATCGTACTTCTTAACCCGATGTAACCTTGTCTTTTCTCAGTGCCCCAACCCGCCCGCCGTTGGCAACCCGAGCTGCGGAGCGGGCAGCCCCGCCGCCCCCACCCCGACCAACCCCGCGCCTGCAGCGACAAACCCGGCGCCTAACCCCACCACTAACCCGACCACTCCCGCGCCCGTGGTCCCGGCCCCTACCACCCCCGGTGTAAACACCCCGGCCCCCACGTCAGCTTCGGGGACACCAAATGTCTTCCCCGCAGGGGGCGTGTGCAACCCTTCGTCGTCGTTTCCGAACCAGGTGCGCGCAACTACTAGCCGGGTGTTTCGCTCTTTGTCTCTTTCCAAATTCTGCGGCCACGCTAGCTTTTCCTCTTCGCGAACCGCCCGTGCTTTTCTTTCTCGCAGTTGCGCTGTGTATTGTTCCGGCTTTCTCGCGTCTGCCCAATCTGGGGAATTGCTGAATTGTGCCTTTGGATCTTCGGGTGTGATCTTGATCGATGAGATTCTTGGAGGTGCCCGTCTGACGGCGTGCTCGTACTGTGACGAAACATCGCGTAAGAGATGGAGATTTTCTCTCGTACCTTCCATTTGAGGAAGGTTAAGATGCATTCTACTATTAACAAAGGCGCCAGGGGATGGTAGGGTTGGTCGGGTGCTTAAGGTGGTTTTGGTGCATAGAGCGTAAATTTTGGGTCAAGTTTTAGTCCGAATGCGTGGATTACTTGATCGTTAAGTGAAATGAAAGGGTATTTGAAGTGGGAGCTACCAATATTGGTGAATTGTGCTCCTCAACGACTAGCAACACTGCGTCCCGTTAGGCTTGAGAATCCTCAATAAGTTGTGACAATTACCGTTGTTGTTGATTGCCGTTACGGTTGTTGTTATGTGCGCAGTGCTTCAACGCCGACGGTTCCGCTTTCACCTGCTGCTCGGGACCTTGCCCCGGGACGCCCGGCAACACTCCGTCCTGTACCTAAGGTAAGCCCCGGTGCTTTACCCCGAGTAGAACTGTTTCCGCTCACCCCTTATCATCTACTTGAGTTGACGCCGCCTAAAGTGGTCCAGATTGAGAAGCAGCCTCGAGTCTTTGAAAAGGTCGGATTCCGTTTCAGGAAGTTTTAGTCTTTGGAACTCTTTGGAGCGGACTCTGTTTCGTCCGCTTTGTGCCTCTCACAAAATCTGGCTGCCTGACTCAAGCTTGCTCTCTGCGGATTGCCTGGGACGAGGCGTTCGATCTGGGCGGTATGGCGGACCTGACAGATCAATGTATGCTTTAAGATCGTGTCATAAATCGGGCGCCGTTTATGGAAACGCCTTCGCGACTTTCGGCTGACTTGCATTGAACCAGGCGGCCGAGCTCGACGTGTCAGCAAAAATTCGTCGTTTAGGACTGGGATTCGTACTGGCATGTGCGAAAAATGCGCCAACTCGTGGCCTTTGAGATTCCTTCTCGCGGACACTGCTATGCCATTAAGGGCGGTGCTCAGTGGGCAATTCGTGTAACATCAACATTGGTTGGAAGGAGGCACTTAGAAGCAGCGAGAGGTTTAACAGCCGCAAGGTTTGAACGCTGCCTCACCCCCTTGTCGAAGGCCAATTTTCTCACACTACTGACTTAACTTCGCGCGCGTCGCTGATCATTTCATCCAATTCATGCTCTTTTCGCAGTCAACACATCCCTTGGATTATGCAATCCAGCCAATCCAGTCAAGACGTCCGGGCCCTTGCAGGGACTCGTGGCGCACAGGAGTCTCTAAATGAGAGTATTTATTCTGGCCGGTCGCGCAAGCACGCTAGAACGGCGTATAAGGAGACGTCCGGATTTTGGTCGGTCTGCCTAAGAGGATCAAACTGAGATTTCTAGATATCAATCACACCATTTTGTATTCCGAGCAATACACGCGTTGAGAGAAGCAGTTTTGTACCCGGCTGTATTTTGTCGTACCAAGCGTGCGAGCCCACTCGATCAAAGAGGCGTTCTGAGAATACGCGCTATCCAGCAAACATTCTAGGCCCCCACGCGCGGGTTGAAAGGAATCATCGTCCGGACTCGGAAGAACCTTCTTGTGGACGGAAGTGTACGCTATTTAGTGTCGAGCCCACATTGACGGGCTTTGGAGTTGATTACTTAAGTTGAGACCAGGTTGCAAGAGAGTAGCCCGTCGCTTGCGCCGAATTTAACAAACATAACCTGTCACGTGTTGGTCGTTCTAGAGGTATAAAGTAAAGCGCATGAAGGCCTTCTGATAGGTAAAGTCTGACGCTAACTCGTACGGTGAAACTGCGTCTCCAGATATTGAACAATTCTTCTAACCGTCATGATCTATCTTGCTCAGATGCTTCACTGGGTCCCTCACTAAGCTCGAAACGTCGTAACCATCGATATCCTAGAGGCAACCGCTGGCACTGAGCAACTTAATTCAAGTCATGACCAAATGCGTAATTGGATTGCGAGGTCACATGTCGCCTCTATGTAGTCAATGTTTCAAATTTGTTGACGCTTATCTGTCGAGATCCGAGCAAAGCGATGACAGATTTGAACGGAGTGCTGGCATGCCAAACACTGTAGTCCTAGCAATCGACACCTCGTTCAGGGACGTAGACTCAATGACGAGCACAATTCTGCCACGTGTACAACCATACTATGCGTGCGCGCGCGGTGACGACTTAGTTCCCAATCGCTAGTGTGCACGAAAGCTGCACGGTGCCGGGCGCTGCAGCTAGTAGCTGCAGCGCACTGCAGTGTGCACTGCTGCTGCGGCAGTGCGGAAGGCCTTGCTTGCACACGTGGCGCGCAGAAAGAAGGGGGGTCCTGGCGCGCGAGCAGTTCCAAGATGACAAGCAGAATGTCGCCCGGAAGCTCCGCCATGGGCGCCATCGCTGATTACACCGCGGAGGCCCAACAGTAGATCAAGTTCACCTGTCCTTCAAAGTCGCAGTCGATTCTGCTCGGGACCTGCTTCACCGTACTAGCGGCCCTCTCCCTCAGCGTCTCGGACGTCAAGAGGCTTTGGAATGGTTAACCACTTACCGAGAACTGTTACTGCAAAGCCCCACCCTCAAAACTCACAGCCGCGACCCAAGCGCCGTACGTGCTCGCCTTTGCGGACTCTGCTCATCTGCTCCGTCCGACTCGAACACGCGCCCGCGCCTCCCCGACCGCCGCCACCTGACTCCGCAAACCCTGCGCAAAGCCGGCCGCCGTTCGTGTATAGGTACGTGGATCTAGACACGCGTGTGCAATGGTATCTACCAATCATTGCATGACGCCGCCATAATCTTTGTCATCGTAACATGTCCGGCAGCTGCCGTCCAGTTTTGCTTTGGCGGCGCGTCCGCGATCGGTCCCAGATCGATCCTTAGCCCTCCTCCAAAACAAACTTGAGCCCGTCTGATCGAGGTGGTCAACCAAAGATAGACGTCACCTTGCCTGCACAACAGAAACGCTGAAACTCGCACGCGCGCGGTGATGGCGGGTGGCATCGAGAGCCTCGGGAACGACGTCCTTGTCCTGATTTTGAACAAGCTCTGTCAGCAGGACCCCCCTTCTTTGCTGCGCGCCACGTGTGCTAGCAAAGCCTTGCTCAGCGCCGCCGCAGAAGCCCCCCACTTCTGGAGAAGGGCCTTTTTAGACTTCGCAGAGAACCCACAAAACGTGCTTCATCTGTCTTCCGAGGAGGAGGAGTTGGACAGAGAAGTTGAAGCCTTTGGTGGGTACCGGCGCTTGCTAACTGCCCGCTGGAGGACCGATGCAGGATACCCTGAACAAAGCCGGGTTGAATCGGCGTTGGGCGATCATGAACGTCCCGCTTTTGGCTACCATTTACAGACCAAGTGCAGCTTTCTACTCCTGGTTAGGCTGCAAGAAAGGGCTCTCGCGTTCAGCTTTCGCCCTTTGCAACGTGCCGCAAGGAGCATTGAAGGGTTTGATGGCTGGAAACCGGGCGGCTGGGAGTCCCTCGCTCTTCAGCCTCTGATTCCGTTCCAAGAAGTAGAAAGTGCGATGGTGAAAGCTACGGAAGAGTGTCCGAGAGCATCGGGTGCAATAGATCCCGGCCTTCTGTACGAACCTGAGATGTTTGCACTTGAAATTCACGCGCAAAGCGAAGGTGACGGTCAACTTTGGCATGGCACTTTCGTCGTCGCAAGAGTGGAAGACAATCTCCTGTCCACCAAGAGGTCTGGTGATCCTCTGGAGTGGTTCCGGTTGTGCTTTGGCACAATCCAGCCCGGACTTCGCCACAGAGGAAATGGAAGAACGAGAGGGGTATGGGCGTATCTTCATTTCAACACTTCTGAGTGTCCTGGCTGGGGTTTCGAGTGGGAGGTACGTTTAGGACGCTCACAATTAGCCCAGTCTTCCCATAAGGAGAGTATCTTTGTCTACTAGCGAGATTTTACACAAAAAGGCGAAGGTTTCGTTGCAACGGCTAGCTCTGATTCCAGATATTCATCTGCAACAGTGCTCGTTCGAAGGGTAAGCTTTGTTGCTCGGTCTAGCGTGTAGCCAACAAGATGCATAAACTGGATGCGGAAGCATATGGTGCATACGAAGTGTATATGGATAGACATTCCGAGCAACTTTCCAAGAGTGTTTCCAATTGCGTGTGTTGCTCACAAGGGAATTGATTTCTGGTGGAATCACAACAGATCGTCAAGATGAACGAACGTTCCCCGCTCGTTCCTTCAGCCTGTCAAAGCTCTGATGCCTTCAAGTCACTCACTGCACGTGGCTTACGAAAAATGTTGAAAGGCGTTCGATAGGCCGGCCCCCCATCTCCCGAGGACCGTAGTACGCGCCCATAAAGGAAGCCGCTTATACTCTCTCCAGGCTGCTGCCTTGATTTAATGTATAAGCTTTCGGCTCTTGTTGGGCCCGCATCTCACAAAGTCTGCGAAGCTAGCTGGACGGGTGAAAGTGTGTGGCTATGTTGCGGCCCAAACCGACCTGGATTGCCCAAACCGTGACGTTACCCACAAGAACAATGGTCCCTATGCGTGTTGACAGTCCGCTCTACTTCGGACTTGTAACCCTCAGCGGGTTAGTATGAAAGAGAAGCGCTAGCGTGCGCAACGGTAAATGAAGTAGATTCGAGAATGACAATGACGAATGAAGGAAGAGATAACAAGCGAGCTTGAAGAAAAAGCTTTCCAAGTATTGCCCGGTGTTTTTTCCAACAATTTAGAGCATCGAAGTTGATGACGAATGCAATTAGGCGGAACACAATGAGCGGCAGGGATACTAAAGGGATACCCATGCGGAAAGGGTACTGGAATTGCTGCAGGAATAATGTCAGAAGCCTCATACCGTACTACGTCCGGTGCCATTTGTGCCTGTTTCTACACAGCGGGTGCGGCAATCTCCGCTTCGAGATCTGTTCCCAGGAGCGAATCTTTTGCTAAGGCGGTCCCTTGGAAAAGCCTGCATCCAAACAATCAGTTTGAAAAATATTAGGCCGTAGCAAATGATTTTCTGGCCGCAAACCCGAAAACCCACCTCTTTAAAAATACGTCGGCTGCATGGATTTGTTCACTCTCGCCATCAGAATGAAAACGGCGACCCTGTACTGCTTTTCTCGGTGTTCAAAGGCCTGCGCTGCTAGTAGTGCTACGCTTGAGCTGTCTGGAATGGTTTGGCAGAAAATCGTTCCGTCGAGTCTGATTCCGCTCAACGTTCCGTCGCCGCTAGGACGCGCGGCTCCATGTCTCGCGCATGGGAACATTGTGGGCCGACGTAACGTGCGGAGGCGGGAACGTCGCGCGCGCTCACGACGAACACGCAAACCTTTCGCGTTTGGAAGGATTCGGGGACTGCTTTCAGGCTTACTTGAGCCCGTCGGGGAATCAGCCAAGGACTGTAGAATCGATGTTTTTTCCTCTAACAACCCGCTGCAATACAGAATCGCTGAAAGTTCGCATGCGAGGCGATGGCGGCTGGCATTGAGATCCTCGGGAACGACGTCCTTCTCGTGATTTTGAACAAGCTCTATGAGCAGGACCTTTCTTCCTTGTTGCGCGCCACGTGTGCCAGTAAAGCCTTGCTCAGCGCCGCTGCAGAAGCCCCCAACTTCTGGAGAAGGGTCTTTTTGGCCGTCCCAGAGAACCCACAAAGCGGAACTCATCTGTCTCCTGAGGAGGAGGAGTTGGACAGAGCAGTCGAAGCCTTTGGTGGGTACCGGCGCTTGCTGACCGCCCGCTGGAGCACTGACGCAGTATCCCGTGAACAAAGCCAGGTTGAATCGACGTTGAACAATCATAGGGAACCCCTGTTTGAGGTTCACCTAGCGGCAAAGTGCAGCATTCTGGTCCTGGTCAGGCTGGAAGAGACGGCTTTCGCCTTCGCCCTTCTCAGCGTGCGACAAGGAGGATAGAAGGGCTCGGTGGTTGGCATCCGGGCAAATGCTGGGAGTCCCTCACCCTTCAGCCACTACTTCCGGCCCACGAACTGAACAGTGCGTTAATGAAAGCTTTGCGGCCAGGAGCTTTGAGTGCAACATATCCGGCTTTCTGTTCGACCCTGAGACGTTTTCAGTTGAGATCCACACGCGAATGGATGGAGACGGTCAGCTTTGGCAAGGCACTTTTGACGGCTTAAGATGGGGAGACAATCTCCTGTCCACCAAGGGGTCTGGTGATCCGCTGGAGTGGTTTCGCTTGTACGCCTTTGGCGAGATCCAGCCCGGAATTTGCCACAGGGGAGATGTAGGAGTGAGAGGGGTATGGGGGTATCTTCGTTTCAATACTTACGGGTGTCCTGGCTGGAGTTTTGACTGGGAAATACAGGACGCTGACGATTAGCCCAGGCTTCTTAGAGTACTAAAGGACTTCCTCGATGCCTCATAGCGAAATCTTTGCGCAAGAAACAAAGGCTTCGCTTTTCTGCTCAACGGTTGGATCTGATTGGCAACAATTTTATCTTCAGTTGCCCGTCCGAAGGTCAAGTTCGAGGATGAACTGCTCGGTCCAACATATAGTCAACAAGATGCATAAGCTGGCAATGCACCGGCAGCCTATGGGGCATACGCATACACTCTCCAAGCGAGCTGCGGCCGTCGACTTATAGGTATGTGATCCGCATGGCAGTCTCTGCCAGCAGTATCTTAGTACGCCGCAGGAGAAAGACTTGTAGTACCCGCCGTCAAATACGACATACACGGGCTTTCTTATGGTCAAATAACGAGAGTGTGCAATTTTTGAAAATGGCCTCTTGCTTCTCCTTCTTTGCTCTCGAGAAAATGACGGATGGTCGCTCGAGCGATCTTCTTTCTCCTCATGTCATTGCGTATGTTGCTCATAAGGGGTTGGATTTTTGGTGGAATCATAACAGATTTGCAAAGATGAGCGTACGTTTCCCGCTCGTCTCTTCAGCCGGTAAAGCTGCAGATTAACGCTTTTCGATGCCGTCAAGTGTTTTCATGCTTCAAGTGCTCACGAACAACTTTCTGGGAAGCGCTCGATGGGCCGGCCCCGTTTTCTGAGCAGACCGTTTGACGCCCCCAGAAATAACTGTCGCTTTTGATAATCTACTTCTCAAGCTTCGCTACACGATTCTACATACGTGCTGGGCGATGGCCATGGCACCGAGGGCTGCATGAGCTTTCGGGCAAGATATTGCGCAATCATTGAGATCATGTGGCATCGTACGTATATCAAGGCCGGGCCCTCCCCCTGCTGCCACGTCACTCCTGCGTGCCAAAATATATGTGCGCGGTTGCGGCCACTACTCCTGTCCTCAACTGATGGATAATCATCTTGATTCACCCCCTTGGAAAAGCTGCCTACACCCCTAAGGTCGCCCCTTAGTTGGGCATGTCGGAAAAGTCTGAGAAGTCAACTGAAGGGAGGAAAGTGGGCCGAGTGTGCCCAAACATTTTATGTCAGTTGCAAGTCGCAAGCTCTTCCTATACGAATGGCAGAGCCGGAAGCATTCTTATCAACAATCGAGTTACATACACGGTTAAGGTTTGCGACGCACTAAGGCTAGCACGCCCGGACGTGAATTTGCCCCGATTGCCAGGTCTTGCAGATTTGCGATCGAGTGACTCCGTTGATCGACGTACCGATTTTGTGAATATGCCGTAATGATTTGAAACCAGTGAAATGCGTAAGAGAATAAATATGTTATGTCCCTTGCATATATTAGCACATGCAAGCGGCCGTGCCAGCGCAATATTCAGTGTGCCACGTAAGGTGGTACATGACACTACTGATTTCTGTCACGCTAGCTGCACAATTGAACCCAGTCGATCTCTTATGTCTGAACACATACTGCATGAAATTATATATACCGTGCATAGCGCGTCGAATGGCATCGAACAATCACGCTGAAATGAACACGACTTCATCCGATACTAATTCCATGATAACCTCTGCAACTTATTTAGTGCCGGTAACTCAAGGGATTAGATAGAGATCGGGGCATCTGGTTGCGGGGCAATGATCAGGTTTGCTTGGTTAATGATTGTCTCTATACTAATGATCCATGCACAAAGCTCAACTGAACTCGGGATGTCAGACTCGCGTTTAGTTGCAACATGTTCCTACGGAAAATCATTGCGCATCTAGTTGGTCACCTCTGCAATGGTCCGAGCAGATGAGACCGTGGATCTTCCGACCGAGGATGCAAGTAATCCAAGGTCACGTTCACTCTTAATCGTGACCTGAATGATACGCTTGAGGTCAACCAGAAAACTTTTATGGAGTTGTGCCAATGACAAATTTTGGATGCATTGGCCCTCGAGAAGCTAGATACTACCGTCTCACCAGACAGTTGGCAGTCAAATTATGCTATCGAATGCTACGCTACCGCTCGCATACACTGTTTCCTATGCACTTGGCAGGGCCAGCAAGCACTAACCAGCAACCGGACCGCTTGGCCAGCTGACAGTATACAAGCTCACAGCCTATATGCATGGCGCCAAAGCTTTGGCACACCAAACTTGTTCCACCAAGCTCTCCTTGTCATCCCCTGTCGTTTTTCTAAGCCGCAGTAACCGAGCTCAACCCCTGCGTCGCTGAGCAAGGGTCACAATCTACTCGCGCCCCTTCCAGGAATCCTCCCATCCCAACGCCGACATGTTCGCTCTCGGGCAATTGCGCGAATCATTGCACTCCTCAACCGTCTGTGTTACTATGATACAGGTCCTTCAAAGTCCTTACCTCAAGCCATTCACGTGCATGGATTAGCCGCAGCGATAAATCCACACTCGTAACCTGTCTATCTCTCCTTCCCCCGGGTTAGTTAGCTCCTGTCTATAGCAGGACTCCCCCACTTGTCCACGGCTTTGAAACCTCCGTATTCACACTCTCTTATATCGATCTTCCAGTTCCGCCGGGGCCTTTCCCTTCCGATCGCCCCCCTTTCTCCAAGATCACCGCCACCCCCGTTCCAGCTGGCACCATCAGCTGCTATTGCATGTGCCCGTGACCATATTCCGTGGCGTTCTGGTGGACTTTTTGGCTCAACAAATACTGGGCGATTTGCGTCCCCTCCAATGGACCCGTGATGGTGATTTTTCTGCACGACGACAAAGAACGACGGTTAGACAGGTACGAACGATCCACATATCATTCCCCGATCGCAGAGCAGGTGGACGGGACTGTGATTTCTGAAAGGGATACTTCAACAATCATTACAAAAAGGGTCGTATCTCATCGGCATGGGAAGGTTTGTGTGGCATCAGCCTCCTGTCACGATAATGAAAACACTTAAAAGCTGAATTAGCTGCATCACACCTGACTGGGGCAGTTCCGTTTGGCTGACTTTCTATGCGGTTAGCCTGACCACCTTTCACGGGTTCGTTGAAACAAAAAGCAAAGAGAGAGCGCCACGCCCGGTTGATGCATGCGCTGTGACAGACTAGGCTCGTAATCTCTTTTGAACGTGACGGTTCCTGTCTAATGTGTTGGTCGCACCTGTTAGTGGTGCCCATAACGAAGTCGCCCCGGTCCGAAATTTTGATTCGGACGCCCGCCATCTGGAGACGAAAAATGGCGCGTTAAAAGATTGAGCAGCAAAGGATGTACAAGTCAGGAGAAGACCGCTGGAATGGAGGTGATCTATTGCAAAGTCTGGCAGGCTGACAACGTGAACAGAACTGCGGCGAAATTATGGTGGGCAGAAGGGAGGACAGAAGCGAGACGTCCTCTGCCTAAACGCTTGATCGGCAGGAGGGCTTCAAAGCTGAAAGAATGCACCCGGGGTTGCTTTGTAATCCTTTTGCATTCGAGAGACAACTGTTCCAAAGTTTCGCTTCGAAAGATGAAAGCAGGTCTCCTCCCCAGGGATCTGAAACAGGTCCAGAAAGTTGCTTCTACTAAAAGCCTGGAAAGTTCACGGGGCCGGTGAGGCGATATGTTTAATAGGCAAGAATTCAATGCTCTGTAACAAACGTGAGTCGTTCTGGACAAGGTCCAGAAACTCAAGCGTCCGACTCCCCTCTCACTGAAATCCGGATCTCACGGAGCCTCCGCATGGTCTTTCAACGTACTATCTTCTGAAGAAGTGCCTCTACCTGGAAGGTCGTGTATCGCCGAAGCCTAACTTAAAGGACTCTGCTGTGCTCGCCTGCTTGAAATGATCAGGGCTCCCCAAACAACTTGCTGACTCGGGGCGGACTTGTCCACCAAAGAGGACGCTCCTGCCGAAGTTCAGAACGCTCTGAGAACCACCATTTGAAAAGCTTTCTCGTCCTGATGTCCCTTATCAAGTATCGCTTCTCCTTACTCCCTTGGAAAACCGTCTACTCGATGCACCAAGATCCAACTCGCCCTACAAAGTCCGGTGGTGTACGGTCTTCCTCCAATTAGAAGACTTCCGGCAGAGAAAGCTGTGTCCTTAACCAGGTTCCCCAATTTGAATCGCGTGTTTGATCCTCCCCGTGACCCACAACGGCCCATATTTTCCTTCGTCCCCCAAAACGTTATTCACCAGTGGAAGGTTGAAAGTCGAAGCTCACCTGCTGAATCTCGGTGATCGTCCTTCCCCCCCGCCCAACAATGGCCCCGACGTGCTCGTCGGGCACGGCAACCGTGATTGCGTGCGTTGGAGGACCCCCCGGTATCATTCCCGCCAGCTGGGCCATGTGTTGGGGGGGCAAAATGGGGTGCTGCGAGCAAGCCAAAGAGAGTTTTGAGCATAGCACGAGAGCTACCCGTCAGAGGCGAGCTATCTCCCCACGTTTGGCGGACACCCGACATGGAGTGACCGGGAAGAAAGTTTCCAGGTCCGTGAAAATATGGACGTGCACTCTGCGATCAATCAAATGCAGATACGGATGAAAAAGCAAATGAAGTACGGCCACTATATGATATCATTTCATAGAAACCCTCGCTTATGTTGAAATTCGGGGCCAGAATGAGTTGCTGGACCATGGCCGAATCAGCACTGCGCCCCGAAAGGGCTCAGCGATACATCAAACGACAGAATGCGTCCCAGAACGGGCCGAGAGTCCCTATATATTATGCATGAGGCCTGCTGCTGCAAAAGGTCCCAAGAGAAACGTTCCGACAGCTCCAAAAAGGTCCGTCTGAAAAGTGAGGGTCCGATAGAGCGTTGAAATCTATTGCAAGAAAAGCCGCCAAGCACTTCGAACCGAAGTAGCGTCCAGAAGCCTACGCATGAAGAAATCCAAAGGGGACCATCTGGGTGACCATCTTCAAAGCAGCGCTGCAAAAGCTTTGGTCCCTAACGTCATAGTTTCAATCCCCTTTCCGCATTTGAGGAAACGAATCGTCGAGAACAGCGCCCAAAGATGTTGAAAGCGAGCCGCGTGAGGCCCGAAGCGACGAGACGCGAATATGTTCAGCCAGACCGAAAGGGGTCTCAAAAGTGTTCGTAAGACGTCGACAACACGTCCTTAAAGTCGAAGCAGCCATCGAATGATGCTCAAGCGAAGCCAAGCGAAAAAGCTTGCATGTCCGAAGGAACGTAAGAAACAATTGCGGAGCAGTGCTGGCAAGTACGCCCCCAAGATGGATTGTGAAGCAGATAGAAACACCGTGAGGATAGAGTAGCTACCTGCTGGAATGGCATGCCCTGACCAGGGCCCATGGGAAACCCGTGCAGGGGCATTGGGCCGTGGGGCATGCCTACGGGAGTGTAAACTGCAAGAAGCAAAAGCCGTACGTCGTATCTTTCATGCCACTTGAGCAGTATATCCAGGGGATAAATGTCGATGTTCGAAGAGCTCAGTCATTTTAAACAAGAAGCGAGCCAACGAACGACCAATGAAGAATCTGTGATCCCTCTCGTGTAAAGATACACGCAATCAACATAACCATCAAAGCATCCGATCACAGATAAAAATGCAACCTCCCTGCTGCTGCTACTCACAAAGCGTCAAGATTGAGACAGCGTCGAATCCCCTCAAAGTGTCTTTTTGCCTTTAAAAGAACACCAGGTTCTTTTTCGCTTGAAAATCAATCTTCCTGTGAAAGCGACAACAAATCAGTGCAGAGATTCCCCCAGACAATGCACCTGAAGACCCTCTTTGTATTGCTTCACTGCATACACTTCAAACAATAAATGGCGCCCTCACTCCCCGCATACGCCCTATGAAACTAAAGCAGCAACAGAAACCAACTCACCGGAGTAGGAGAGCGGCATGTTGGAGTACAACATGTAGTTGGGATCCTCCGTCATTTTGGCCAGGATGAGCGCCACTGCGCGCATCTGCTGCTCCAGCTTCCCCGTGATTGTAACAATGCGGTCCGTTACCCCAGGGACCGCTTGGTCCTGCCCCGACAGCTTAATGTTGGCCGCGCTGTCTTCTACGTACGCCCTGAGACGCCGAAAGAAGTTGAGTTAAGGTTACGACTTATGATTGAGGTTATATAAAGGAACAGCCTGCTTGCTCATAGCAGGCAGATCCGCCGCATGCCCTTTTCAATGATGGCCACGACTACCATGGGGCTGCATGTGGGAACAATCAGCGGCCTCGCAAGTAGTATCCTCCAAATAAACGGAACAGCTTGTATAAGATGCCCTGTGAACTACTCTCGAGCATGCTGGTGCTAGGTCACGAGGAGGTGCAATCATTGGGGAGAAGACAGTGCTGGTCGTTGTGTAGCTTCTGGAGGGGTCAGAAGGCAGCTTTGAGAGGACTTCGAAGCAATCCTCGTACTCTTCTGAATGATTCGACGTGCTACAACTAAACACAGCTCGAAGCCATCGTTTGTTTTCTCCTGATCGATTCAACAGCCTGAAACTCACCAGAATTTTATCTCAAATGTTCATAAGTGATTCGAGGTTCATCCTCACGTATACAGTCATCGAATTCATGTGACTCCACATTCATAAAGCCTCACTCGATTCTGCCACAACGACGTCTGACACACCGCTAAGCCCTTGACATAGGTTCAGCGCCAACGAACCAATCACGTCACTTGCTGACCTTATTGTCGCCCCTCCTTTGCCAATGATCCCCCCGCAGACAGCGTTGGGAACTATGAGCTTCACCTGGCTCGTTTTCTGAGAGATGTCTCCCCCCCCAGCCTCCTGCAGAGCAAAAGTTGGCAGTCAGAGCCAGGTCCACACGCCCTCTTTCAAGGAAAAAAACCCTGAATGATGTCCAATGGCATGGTGAATCTGACTGCCACAGTTGAAACCTTCTCAAACAAACCATCCATAATTGCCCTAACCCATGTTTATACCCAACGCTGAACCATGATCCTCCAGACAATCGAACCCTTCACGCACATGGAGAGATGACAAGAGTACAGTCTCCAAAAGAGCCAAACCTTTACAGATCCTTGAACCCCAGTACAGAGACCTTTGTTGCAAATTCATGGCAAACACAAACTCTCCAAGCGCCAAAACCTTGTTTTAGACTGAGTCTCTGCGTTAACCCACCTCGGTCATGATCTTGGAAAGGATTAAGTGCAGTGCGGTGAGAATGGCGTTGATAGTCCCGCTGAGCAGGATGATGCGGTCAGTGGTGCCCGGGAAAAACTCGCGGTTGCGGGACAGCTGTATTCTGGCCCCCGACTGGAGCTGGAATTCGCTGATGGTGGACCCCCCCTTGCCAATGATGGACCCGGCGGAAGCGTTGGAGATGAGGAAACGGACGGAGGAGGGGGTGTCGCTGGCGTTGTCTGGAGGAAGCGCGATTAGAAGGCAGTTAGTGGCGTGGCTCAAACTTTAACAAGGTGTCTACAGAGAGCGCATCAGCAGGCTGGCGCTAGGTTGTACATGGTTGAGCAGTTTTTGAGACACGGTTGGAGGAAATGGCGGACGGTGACCTCCAACAGTGTAGAATTGTAATGGGAGGAGTTGCCTGCATACAGAACAATCAAGATCAAGGTCGGTGTGAATGGGTGACAAGATGGTATGAGAGCAGCATTCAGCATTCCAGCAACCCGGTTATCCTCAGCTGAACAAGGTCAATCAAAGAGATGACTGTCTTGTTGAAGTAGAAGTTTTCTCCATCAAAAGCATGCCACAAAGGGAGCCAGCCCCTACGAAAGGATGTGTGGGACTGGAATGCTTTGCTAAAAAGGGCATGCTCCTTTGATTGCCGACCACCTTGTCGCACCAGATCTAACTGACTGTTACCATGACTTGCATGCAACATCCTGCAAAAGGACCAGATATTGGAATACTTTTCACAGCCTCACCATGCAGGAAGCAAAGAAACGTGAATGGAAAACTATGAACCATTACTAGATACTTAGAAGTGCCAGAGTTGAGAAAAAAAAAAAAGCAAACCACTGTGCAGGAGAATGAATGCTGGCACCTGACAAATCAAATACTGGATAGCAACATGAAGGCACAGCACTGTTTGCTGTGCTGTGCCGCTGGATTCTGAGTTGCTGCAATGAGTATCGAAACTTTGACATGTCGTCAACAAAAAAAACAGTCTGCAATTGAAAACAGCGTTGCTATCGGACTATGACCTCCTGTCAGAGTAATGTAGCAAATCATGCAATCGGGACTTTTTTAGCTTGTGATGATTTCTTCAGAAGCTCTGTCTGACAAACCTGCTAACAATCTCATGTCCTGGACACTGGGTCAGACAATCGCACCGCCCTCTACTTCAGCAAACCAGAAAAGGGCACAGGATCGCTTGCCACTAACGTCTCTGAACCTGATCGGTTTGTGACAGGTCCTCTTCCATGCACAAGCAATAAGATTAGGGGGGAGGGCACCTCAGTGAAAAACAGGAGCAGCCCTACTTGAACTGTTAAGTGACAGTCATTGACCAGCTGTTCAATGGATTCTCATATGATGCTCCTTGCAAAAATCCAACCAAGAATTTGACATCCCAGCGAAGGCCTACAATAGCGCACCAGTGGCTCTTCGTTGCCAGACGTGCTTACAGACTAACCTAGGTAGACACTCCCGAAAGAAGCATACAGCTCCTGATTGAAGTGTTTGTGTTGATAGGTACATTGTTCAATTCTTTCTGAATGCAAACCCCATCAAATGCAAGCAAAATACAAGAAAAACTAGAAATCAGTTTAATGGAAACGTTGCATCACTTAGTAATATATGTGAGGCATTCGCTCTCCTCAAAGGGCTTTGCTGAGAGATCCAGGAAAGTCTTTACTGCTTGGGTGGTGCAACGGGCGTCCTTGCATATAGCGACCCCTGTGAAATACACAGGCTACAGAAAAACTGGAAATGAAGAAGGGAAGACAAACCTACAATGCTCCGTGCTACATCGCAGAAAGTCAAGCAGAGAAACTGTCTGCCTGTTTCAGGATGCTGCTCTGCAAACTGCATCTCTTTTCCCCCTTTCAGAACGAAATGCTGTCATGGTCTATTCTGTCAGATCTCAGAATACCAGGATTCAAGATCAAGGCATGAATGCATTGATCCACATGGTGGCACCGATCCCTACTCGGGCGTATCAACAAGCAAAATATGCGGACCGTGCCCTGACCATCAAGTCAACTCCATCAAAATGCAACAATCAACGACCGAGCAACAATCAATTGAATCAAGCATAGAAGATTTTAAGCATGCAATCTGTGTGCATCATGCAAACGTGAAGTCTATCTTTCAACTCTCCACAAGAAGCTTCTACTCAACTCCAAACTTGCTCCCGACAGATCGACTGCTGTCAACTGAGTTGACACAAGTTCCGCTCGCTAGCAGGATGCTTGATGACATCATGCATGACCAGCAAGTTGCATTCAGATCTGTAACATCACAGCTACAGAGAACAGACATTCGCAATTAATGCAACACCACCTTCTCAATGCCTACCTTGCAGACCAAAAGTGCCCCATCTCACAGCTTACTGCTTATCACTGGTTTGCTCAGCAAACACTTTACAAACATCCACAACAAACAAAATCCAAGCATCTCAGGGGACACAAACGTAAGTGTTCTTTCAACAGGACGGATCTTAGCGAGCACCAACGACAGCATTGCATCTTGACTACCTAAAACCCTTGCTTAGAAGCACCGCCAAGGACACCAATGCATGCATTGTTCCCCTTGCATGCGCACTACACCAGAAACCCTTGCATGTATGCCGACAGAAGCACTTCTCAGACGGCAACCTCTAGATCAGGGGCTTGTTGGAGTGCATGATACTCACCGGTGTCAACCTGTAAGTTCCGCTTTTTTGTGGGGCTAGCATGCTCCTCCTCCCGCAACCCCTCCTCTTTCTCTGGAGATCTTTTCATCCTCTCAGAGCTGCCCGCTTGTTCCTTTTGCTCGTGCTCCTGGAGGAGGGCTGTCAAGTTAGGGGAGGAGTTGAGGGTGAGCCCCGCAACCCTGTTCAGAGGGCTGTCCAGCTGACCATTCAGACTGCCTGCATCGCCCTCCTTTGGGGGTGGGGATGAATGCCCTGCGCCGGAATCGATCATCTTTCGCCGCAGTAAGGTTAGGCAAGGAGAGGATTTTGTGATTGGCTACTTGAAGGTGGTGAGTTCATCTGGCGGAGAAACGGCCAGCCGAATACAGCTGCATGAAGGGAATGTGCAATCAGCTCCGATGTGACCCTACTTTCCTTATGGGATCGGGGCCCTGGCACACTGCCCAGCTAGGACGGCATTGTTGGATGCAGTTGTCTGACACCATTGGATTCAGCAAAATCAGCAAGGACAACGATGGCCGCTGGCCCCGATCGTGAGCTCGTCCTTTTGGAAAGAGAGGACAAGAAGGATTGACCCAGCCAGCCGCCTTCGGAATCAGGAATTGATTGAAAGCCTATCGAGCATGCTAGCAAGGCTGCAACTTCAAGCTTGTGAAGGTGACGCCGCGCAGACTTTTCTCTTCAGCTTCAGCATGGCCTGCTGATTGCCGCGATTCTCTCTTGCATGGTGATTGGCCGGCGTGGCGACTGTCCATGCCTCGTTAGGTCTTTACAGTACCGAATAAACCCTATTCGTACGGCCGCTAATTACGTTGGTACGACTGTGTCAGTAGGTCCGACAGGTGGATTATTGAAAGATACGAGACGTCAGGATTCGACGCCGAAAGTGTAGTTGACTTATGTTTTGCAGCAAACCTGGAACGTAGCGATCACGTCGAAGAATGTTTCGGGGCGGAGCAAACTTTCGGACAGAGGCTCGATTTACCGGTCAAATAACCGGTATAACCTGTTCTCAAAATGTCAAAAAAGTGGTTTGGATATCCTTCTCAAACCGGGACAGGGCCCGGTCATAGGGCGGTACATCTGGTCTACCTAGCTGGGGCCGGGCACGCAGGGCTTGCCGGTTACCGGTGCTTCTTGTACGCTGGGTTTACCTGGCCCAGGCCCAGGGCCAGGGGCTTTAGGAGAATCCCGAGATCTCGGAAGCTGGAGTTGTATGAGATTGTACCATCCATGACCATGACCAAGCAACGTACCTACCGTACTTTACGATGATACCATGCCGCGTGGGTGTTTCTTTCTCCCGAAAAATGCGCTACACCGTCGATTTCAAAGCCTTACCTATGCAGTCCGTCGATGACTGTAGAAAACCAACGCTTTGGAACCAATGGATGCTGTGCGTATGATAAAAGCTCGTATAAAGCTTGATGCGTGAATTTTACTAGTCACATTTCAAAGCATCGATCTCAAGACCGATGGATGACTCGTAGAGCTCTCTTTAATCTTGTTTATTGATGCGGCAAAATGCCTTGCGAAGCACAATAAGCCTTCCGTTTGAAAAATAAGCTCTGGGTATAACCTTATGGTACGCTCAAGTTTTTGCTCGCCTATGGATGATGTCCAATCAGTGTACACCATCAAGCAATTATTGCATGAAGTAAACCGCGCCGGGGACCCGGCTACCGCACGTTAGTACGTCGCAGTCGGCACGGGAGGCGGCGCAGTCAGCCTGCCAAGCAGAATGTGGCAGAACTTACTAAGAAGCCTGACCTGGGCGCTCCACAGAATAGGTATCTCAGCTTCCTACAGGTACCGTACCCACCTAGCCTGGCACAAATGTCGTCAGTACTTACTGGTCGACGAAGGTATATCTGCATTTTGCCAGCACAGTGCTGAGCACTGGCAAAGCCCGCGCCGTCACAAAAGCATCCCGATTCCCCGTAGACTGATACTGTAAGCCAATATTACTGTAGGACACAAAGTTTCCAGCTCTCAAAGTGTACCATACCACCATTATTCTCTTATACAAGCATGATATTTAGGTACTATCGTTTTGCTGTTAGGCCAGCAAAGAAGACTCAGCTGCCTTCAAGAACTAGGTATAGCGAGGCGCCATGGCAGTACTACTACCAGCGCTATCATGAATGCATCTGCAACGCCCCCGTGGCGGCCCCGTGCCTTGCATATTCCGGTGTGGTGCTGTTGGCTGGAGTTGTTCAAGGTTGGAAATGACTTTTGTGTGCAAACAGATTAACGGAGGAGTGTATATCCTCTGCCTCAGGACGAGCCGCTCCATGCAGTTGTGACAATGCCCATGCCGGCGCCTAGTGCATTGTCTGCATGTATGATAACCGAGTGTCTTCGGTACAGTCACAGTGCCGGCGCCAGTACCTGGAACTGGTAGCAGCACATTGATAGCAGTTCGAGGGCCGCGCCTGGATCAGCAACCTCTCCTTCAATCAGTAGCGCTGAGCCAACGTACGTGCAGATCTGGAGGACCTATGCAGACAGGCAGCATGCTTCTCGGAACAGGCTGTATAGCGTTCTAACCTAAATACTTCAGACGATTAATGAAAGTTGTTGAGTGCTCTTGAAATGGACGGACTCAGCAGCATGCGATGGGCAATGGACGGTAGTCTTGAGTCACTGACAGCTACTACTATTTGACAACCTGCTTCTGGTCAAGGCAATCCATCCGTTGGCCCGGAACAGCAAAAATCAGGAGTCATGACAATTGAGGGATAGTAAGCTTTAAGAATAGTAAGCTGTGAGTTAGCTCACCAGCCTGGGACAGGTAGGTTAATTTGGGGGTTAGGGTGGGTACAGGTGCGGAGCGGGTAGGTGCTAAAAGTTACGATTTTAGTGTTTCGTTTGAGCTTACTATTCCTAAAGTGTCGCGTCATAAAAACTAGGAATTTCTCCTGATTGTTTTACAATTTCGTACCCCAAAATTGGATTTTCACTTCCGAAAAGATCCACAGGGATATGTCGTTGTACATGGCCTGAACATTTAATCTGCATTGATTTCATGCATCGCTGAGCTGACCAGTGTTCGTACAGTGGCTGTAGACGTTTGCAGCTCGCGGACTCCAGTTTGGTGATAGGTGCATCTACTTGAGTCCACGTCAATTCCGCAGCTTGAGTCCGCTTTGTTGGTCATAGACCAGTAGGTGGAAGCCAATCTTCCTGATCACGATTGACAACACTTCGACGCGTATTCATCCAATCCCCAAAAGCGAAGTCGCTGACCTAATATCCGAAACATTGAAACCGATAAGCATGATACTCCGGAACCAGAGTGTTTTTAAGCTCGTGACGTGAGCAGAGCCTGGCACTGAAAGAACAATTTGCAAAGCTCTTTGAAATATATATAAGACTTGAAGCCGACTTCTTCGTGCAGATACATTACAGGCTTCGTAAGCAGGATAGAAGATTGAGGTCAACTTTTAGACAAAGCCGTTTGGGGGCGTCAGTACCCCCTGATCCTCCGGTCAGTCGAGATGAAGGTTCTTCCTTCCACTCCACGTGAGCTGCACGAATCACCTAGGATCACGCCTAGGATAGTTCGTGTACGAAGTTAGAACCCTCTATGAGAGCTCACGGTTTTCCTCTGGAGCGAAGAGTGAATGTGACCTCTGCACGTGTTCTATCTCGTCCAGCAAGGATCCCTCCAGTTCCTGCCAAGCCCTTTCAACTGAGGTCACATACTCTGCAACAGAAGAGATGAGCCTGATCGAACTACAGGAAGACGTTGCAGCCATCAAGGTTGTATCAAAGCAGGCCCAAGAAGGGTAAAAGGAAAGCGGACTCGTGAGAATGACAGTTGGAGCCTTCCAGTTTCTCTGTTTGCGATCAGACAATCTTCAACTCATCGAACCTTTGACTCACTCACAAGGCGTCACTTCTTATTGAGCCACTCAAGGAGTTTGATCAAGTATGCAGTTTACCACAGGTATATAAGAGCATGTTATCGTTGTCAGGGTCAGTACCTCACCGTTGAAATTGGGATCAAGGAGATAACGCTGCGAAGAGTCGCGAGACACATATCAAACGGCATTCAGGAAAATTGCAGAGTTTCCTGTTCTTGAGCTGGTCAACAGCTTCCCTGACAATCGGCGATTGACTTGCACCAAGGGTAGGGAAAGCCCTAATGAAACCGCGGCACGCGAGCGACCACCGTATTTTTCAACATCACGAAAGTGACACAAAGTAATAATGACCAAGGCATGAGCTGAATAACGAGAAGGGTATCGTCAAGTTACCTTGATCCGCTCTTTGAGACGATGTTTTCTGGCCGCCGCGTGCATCTCGCTCTCCGTTTCGGCCTCTGCAGCCCCAGTTGTTGAAAATGAATATTGACCTTTCAAGCATCTTCCGATTCCAGCAGAAGGTACCCGCATTCTACGTGGTCGCCTGGCTCAAATATGCTATCGGAATCTCAAACTCTTGAGATTATCCACGTGAAGCAATACTGCAGTTGAGCTTTTTAAGCCTAGGAAGGACTATACCTGCGCCAACTTCTGCGGCGATCCAGAGTTGCTGTTGACTGCCGACTGGGACGAGATCCCGGCTTCGTGAGCTGCAAAAAAGCCAAGATTTGTGAAATACTGAGTAGGCCCCTTCAACTGGATATTCCCCCCCAGCAATCCATGCCCTCACAATCATCTGCCTGGTTTCCCTGGTTCACTAGCAAGATTGACGGTGGAGGTCTGATTTGGATGCTTTCGGCGATCAGAAAAGACGACTCTCCTGAATATCGACTGAAGATCAAAGCGCGTACTTTTGTTGAATGCTTGAAGCGCATAATTTCGCTACGTAAGCAAAGCGCATATTCTGATAGAGGCCTCGCCTTGTCAGTTGGTCTGATTCTTGTACCGGATTTGGTTGCTGAACGTTGTCGACACTCACAATTGCCATCCGCTCGTGCCGCGAATGGTCGTTGCAGAAGGTCTCCTGAAGTTACACCACATGTCAGGCGCACGATGGTGAATCTGGAAAGCATGCTTTCGATCGATAGAAGCTTCCAGGAACCGTTTATCCACAAATCAATTGGTAGACGATTTCAGCAGTCTCACTTGAAGTCCAGTCATCGGTGAACCATTTTGGGTGAGACATGCTTGAATCGCGATAGTGATCCGCACCTTCAAAGTCCTCCAGAAGTCGGCTGCGCTTTCGGCAGTCTGAAAGTAAAGCACAGTCTTTCTGACCTGAGACGAGAAAACAGAGAAAGGCCTGATCAGACAGCTACAGCTTTCTTTTTCTGGATTTGGATGAAGTAGCAGGAGAGCCGAGAACCGAACAAGCTACTGTCCTTGACATCCAGTCCCCTTTTCCGTTCAGACCTCTCAATAGGACTTAATTTTTGCCGTTGCTAAAGTCTTGCCTGTAGAGATTCCAGCATCATCATGCAGACCTCTTTTGCTGGACATTGTACCGTCTACACAAGGTCTCTGCACTTACAAACGAAGTACGCACTAAACACACTCTTGAGACCGCTGGCACTGGAGACGAAAAGCTGCTTCACAAAAGCTTTCTCAAACCACTGGAAGCGCACGCGAGCGTACCGTGCCGTCGCCATGTACAAGCAGAATCGAGCGACCTCTTTCTCCGCACCTTTGACCTCGAAAGCAACCTAGGCTGGATAAAGCACTTCTGCCCTGTCGCAACAAGGAAATTGGTTAAGTCAGCTCAAATTTGAATTTAGACAGGATCATATGCTGACCGGCACGTGTCCAGGCGCAGGGCAGCAAACGCGTGGTTGCTATTGATGTAGCAGGCTTTTGCAGTACTCTTTTGATCCAAACTCTATGCAAAAGTCTTGCTAAGAATCTCTGATGCAGGTTACCTACGTACGCTGCAGAGTGCGCCCTAAATGCCTTTAATCGTGTTGCTTACAGAGGGAGCAGGAAAAGCGAGGATTTCGGACTTTGACATTGAAGTTGCGAGGCGTCCTGCTGAAGTTCATGTCCTCCCCAATAGTCCTTACCAGGAGTTGACCTTTGAGATGGATTGACAGTTGGCTACCCTGAGGATGCAAACCTCTTGTCAGCGTAATCGAAGCGCAGCCACTGCTTTTCAACCAGGAGCCGAAGGCTGCATTCTTCAAGGGTTGAAACTTGCATGGATGTGGTTGAGGCACAGCTGGAATGAAAAGCGCAACATGTGCCAGCCAGCTATTGGACGTCCCGTTCTCCATGCCCCTCAGCAGTCAGCGCTGCTCCTCCAAACGTCTGTGTGTTTGATTCAAGAAGCTGTTTCTTTCGCAGAGTGTGGATGCCTCGCGCTGGCCTTCACCATGTCTCGAAGTGAGCTGCCGCCGGCGGGTCCGCCAACTACCACCTCCTGCTGTTTCTGGTGTCAAAGAAAGAACGTAAAGCAAAAATTGTTTCGGCGTTCAGAGAGCTAAGAGTGACACCAACTGCGTGATGCGCAGCGTCAGCAGGTCGTCTTCGAACGTCCTGGTGTCAAGAGCGGAAAAGTTGGTGCGAGCAAGAAACGTCATGCCGGTCGAAGCGCTACATAACACCAACTGCTTGGTGCCTGCCTCGAGCGGGTCTTTCTCGTCGGTCCTGGTGTCAGAAACAGAAACCATGATGCACGCAGGCTCTGCTGTAATTCCGTCCCTTTTTCAGAATTGTACGCCTCTGACTTTACATTCCCATTCACCAACGTCAGCACTTCAAAAGCCTAACCAATTAGCCGCCTAGGCAATTGGCGCTCCTTAGCATTCAACGAAGAATAGCTGAAGAGATTATGGATCGTGCCCGAGCTAGCGCTGCGAATCCCAAGGGAGCAATTGATCAGACTCGATTCTTCCAGCAGGCTTCACCTGTAGGTCGGATCATTGTTTCGGCGTTAAGAACCCTGCTGAGCCTTTTACATGCTGTCTTTATACCTTCTCTCCGCCATGGCGACCAATATTGAATGGTACCGCGAGAGGGTACCTGCGGCCAGCTGGTACGCACTTGTCTCAGTTGCAGTTTGCGTCCGCAAACCTTGACCCATGGAATTTTACTTGGCTGTAGTTTCTGTGAATTGCGCGGCATCCAATTAGACTTCTTACTCGAATATAGGTGGTTCAACATGATTTTGAAGGTAGGTATACGGATCAACGTAGATATGGGGAAGGTCGCCCCGGCCCCGCCCCGGGCCGTAAAACTTTTGTATAAGCGCGAGAATAGGCTTCACGCATTCACTCAGTCAAGCGCCAGGCGCTCTCATGGAAGGGAGATGTGACCAGAATTCTGTTATTTCGTCGAGCGGTCCCCATACATGTTCTAAAGACCGCTCAGCGCGACGGGCACACCTGAACAAACTTGCAAGCTATGCATCTTGGCGGGGCGGCGGCCTGCATGAACGAATATACAATTTAAGCCATGCATGCGCCAAAACATGCAAAGCCTGCTAATATGCAGGTCATGCACTATATACTGTCATGGTTGCATGCGGCGTCAGCTGCACCAAGGCACGTTCACGATCCGTTTTAATGCAAATTAGGGTGGCCGCAAGCTAGGTTTAAACTAGGCAGTGCCAGGCTGAGCGCGCGGAAGCGGGCCGGCGGCCACCGTTGGCACATGTATGAGAGCTAGACGGACCAACTGATTCTGTCTCCGCCTGCAGCGGCCAAATGTCACCGCGAGCCTGCCGGGGCATTTAAAATTTGCAGCAGAACAGCTCTGGCTGCGGCTCCGTGGCAGGCCGCCTGTTTCGTAAGCCCGCGGATATATGTGCCTGCACTGCCTGGCGCCGCAATCCGCAATCTCGCGGATCACAAAAATCCCGGAGAGTCTGAGCTTGACTTAGTGAGGCCCTGAGGCCTCATTACGACATGAACACCACCTTATCCACTGGCTCTCTATGTTTCATAAGCTATAACTCTGGCATATAGTACGACAACGGTTTCTGTATTGCTGAGATGACCCGGCGCTGACCATGGCGCTGTGTACTGTTTGACGTACTGCAGTTGTACCTTGCGACACGGAGCCAGCCTGTGGTCGATTCGTAGCGAGCATCATCGCTCATCAACGGCAAGTAGGAAACGAATACGTTGCTACACGAGAAGAGATAGTCGGCGCAAGTCTCGTCTTCCCGCCCGTTTGACAAAAACCACATTCGTTTGCAAGAAGTGTCCTGGGACGGATTGAACCTGCTGAGTGGCTAGCGATCTCGATCAATTGTAGACTTCTGAGTATGTACATTGGTTCTTGTGAATCAAGCAGCGCCTTCCTGCTGCGGCGCTCGTGGCTTCCCGCGAAAAGGTTAGACTCCCCCATCTCAACTACGGGGCTACGTCTCCATCTCTTTCAGCTTTTCCCAAGGCCCGCTTTTGGTGGCGTACCTGCACAAGTGTCAAGATTCTTCATCAGACAGCTTTTCCGCACGAAGCTAGTGTGAGAAGCGGACCACGAAGAATGTTTGTGTAGCGCCTTTTCCAAGGTGACAAAATCAGGCTGTACTTTTGTTCGATTCTCGCTGAATGAGTTTCGCTCCAACATTCGTTAGCAACGGGATGGTTCAGGACGTTGTGTACTTGCACGGAGACGGCACTTGTACCCCGCGTCTTAAAAAGGATCACCGAAGATCGACGGGCCCGTGTGTGCGTGACCACTCCATTCCGGCGTCTTTCTTTCAAACGGCTGAGTACGTTGGGTTGCCGTTATCAGCTCCATGTGGACCTAAATCCGAACAGATCGGAGTCTAGTCCGCGTCTCGGATGTTACGGGCGCCTATTTGTCGGTTTGTTTCGCTATTTGATTGCTGGAATGTAGTGCAGCAGCTCTGTGACAGATGACAACACGAAACTGTGCGTGCGGCAAGAACCTACACGTTTCGATTTGTGCTTGTCGGCACGTTCTCTAAATTGTAGAGAAAAGCCACCGACTGGTGGGCCACAGGGGACAGGGGACCGACGGGACGCCAACTTGCCATAGGTAGAGCGGGTAGTGGTTTCCAAAAGGGAGCACTCAGAACGCAACCAATAAGCGAAGCGCTCTGACTCGACCACCAAGGTCCGCGACCCGCATCTCCAGACGTGACTCCCACCAGCTTCGATTCAGACACCAAACTTCAAACCTTGCGATCCAGACTTCGCACTCGAAGCTGCTGGCGTACCTTCCCACTCCTAGCAGGGCTCGTACGGACATGAGCACTGCGAGGCCTATCCAGACGCCTTTAATGCCCAGGGACTGGGGGGTGAAGAACATCACCGCCATCGCAGGGATCGCCGCGAGCACCTGAGCAGGACATGCGTATTGTTCAAGACTCTAGGGTATATGCCGTTTGGGGGTTGAGGATGAGCGGACCTAAAACTTTTGATATTGGGGGTGCGAGTGAGAAAGGTCCCGTCCCTTGCGCGGGATCTCTGAGTACGTCCGAGGTCTTTCAAATTGGTAGGAACGCGTCGCTTAAACCGTAGCCTTGATTCCGTCTAGGTGGAACAGTCACGGGCATGTGAGATTCGCGCTGCTAGGTACACCGAAGCGGGGTAAAGTCAACCGGAATGAAAGAGTGAGAACTACGATAACAAAACAGATTACCTGATGTCTCAAGAGGAGTCCAGTGGTGATCCAATGCTGTCCTGGAAATTCAATAACCAATCCAGTCTCCACAAATCCTGAGCGCTGCTGATGGCTGAAACGAAGGACAGAAGAAGAGGCTCCAAAGACGAAACGCGCCTCACCGAACAGAGACTGTTCCTTCAAAGATCACAAGAAGTACATATCTCGTTTTATCAATCAGCTAACGGATGGGGGGGACTTTGCATAAGGGCGCCCAGACTGCAAGCGTCGTTCTCTTTGGCGGGCCTGACCAACTTGCTAATCGCAAGGCTGTCTTTCGCCTTTATGCTTTCTCAGCTTCCGCCTGACCCATTAAGATTGGCCCCTCTGGCAGACAAGTTGAACACGACGGATCTGCGTGCGAGCAGCGAAGAAGCGCGAGCAGCAAAGGGCTTATTCATACCGGTCCTTCGCTTATCGTAACCTGGGCGCTGTAGACATGGTCGGTCGCTCTCGCGAGCAGCAAAGGGCTTATTCACACCCGCTTTCAACCCACTGTAATCCCCATAATTACCACAACTGGGCGCAGTCAGGACGTCGGCCGCTTTAGCGAGCAACCAAGGCCTTCTTCTCAACCGTGCATTTCCACTTACCATAACCTGGGCGCTGTAGACGAAGTCTGACGCTCCGTAGTGCAGGCCGTCCCACACAAAGGCGAGCGCGTTGACGGGCTGAGTCAGCACGATGAAGGGGAGAAGGGACGCGATGATCGCCAGGACCGCGGGGTCTTGCGTGAAGGCCTGAGAGAAGGTATGCGAGCTTCACACTTTGCCTCAGGTACCAAAGAGAAGGCATGGGTTCATAAGTAGAATCGCTCACTGAAATATACGCCGTTTGCTTAAAGGATGTGACTGACGAGTGCGCATATTTGTCAAGCCAAAACAGCGAGGGCGGCATCGAAGTCTGCAAGCATACTCGTTCTTCCAGACTTTGAATTCTCAGGGCATGCAGCCCCGTCAACAGTCACGCGAACAACGCTCGTACCTCTTTCGGGAATCTTTCATTCAAATGACGAGTATACGAAAACATTACTCGTGTATCGAGGAAGAAATGAAGAGTAAGACGTTTTTCAAGGGACATAGCGAGCAAGTCCGCATAGGCGTTCTGGCAAACGAAAGGGTGCGGCAAGTCGCAACTTGACTATACAGGAAAGGGGCAAGAAAGACAGTGAAAAGGAGCATAAATTGGCTTTGCACCTAGCATCGCTTCGTTTCTAAAATAGTACCAAAATGTACCTCGAAAAAACAGACAACGCAGCTTTGCATCAAAGGATAGCTTCTCTTACCAAGGGTATAGCGTATTGCCCAAAGAGGAACACTGCGGCCATGACCCCGCCCATGACGAGCCCCAGCTTCATGATCCGCTTCGCGACCGTGTCTATCAGCGTGACGTCATCCTGCGCAAACGCGCGTGCCAGGATGGTCTGCCCCGCGAGAGCCACCGAGTCGGACAGGAGCGACGCCGCGAGCCAGACCTGAAAAGACGGTCAAGTAGGGAAGGTTATTGGAAAAGATAGTAAAGGATAGAAGGCGGCTGGAAAAGATGGTAAAGAAGAGAGGCTTGTGAAGGCACCTTCCGCAAAGGCTCCTGCAACTTTCGCAACTCGGAAGCTTAACGAATCAGGGTTAAATATGGATGGGATGAGATTCCTCCTCCGAACAGCTTCCGAATTTGTTTCTCGCTTCCGTACACTGCATTAGAAATCCGTAGCAAGATGCTCTCGTTAGACATTCACCGACCTTTTTTTAGGATTCATTCTCATCATAACATTGCCTTTCAAAGCGGAAGGGGGCAGAAGCTTCTTCTACGGTGCCCTGAGCTGACCATGCAAACCCATGCAAACCTATCAGAGAAAGAGAAGGAGATCATGCGACCTCTTGGCCAAACTGCAGATTCTGATTGCGGACACTCTGATAATCTTCGGTCTACGGATCTTTAAGAGTCGGTCTACGGATCTTCAAACACGACCACCCGTATGCAAGTACGGTGTTCCGCCATGCTGGCCGTTCCCAACCGTAATCCAGCCACTATTTTCTCATCTAGGTCAACAAGCCCTTAACCAGATCATGAACTCGATCTTCTGATTTCATGCCTCTGGCCAACCTGCCTCGTAGTATCTTTTGCCGCGGCTCGAACAGTGGCCGCAACTTTCGAGGTCGCTTGCATGAAGCTGGAAGCAGCCAGTGAGTCAAGTGTCCAAGCTTTGACCCCTCCGCAGGAACTCAACGGTCTATCTGGACAGCGTTGAACGTCCATAACCACCCATAACTACCCATAACCACCCATAATTAAACGATTATTATGTTACAATCCCACAGCCCACCTGTATGCAAATCTGGTGTGCTGCCATGCTGGCCGTTCCCGTTCTCGCCGCCATGGACGTCGCTAACGACATGGTAAAGAGGCTCGCGAGCGTCCGCCCGAGAAGCACCCCGCCTGAGAAAGACATTCAGGAAGGGGTGAGCTGGCATTATGTCGTCCGTCAATGAAGCCAAGTAACGTCGGTAATGACATGGTGAACAAGTTCGCGAGCGTCCGCCCGAGAAGCACCCCGCCTGAGAACGAGATAGTGGAAGGTGTGAGCTGGCATAATGATTAACGGCCGTCGATTAAGCCACGTGGCAGTCCGGCAGGACGGGTGAGTCCAGAAGGGACCTGATGGTCAACTAGCATGAGCTCCAAACCTGAAAGCGAACGACATGGTGAATAGGCCTGCGCAAATTAGAGATTCAAGGTTTCAGTATATATTACCTCTAAAGGTCATCACCCCTGAACTCGGGATACTTGAAGAAAATGGAAAGGTGATGACAAAATGACGGCCGTTGATGAAGCCATGTGGCAGTCTGGAAGAAGGGCCCAGTCCAGAGTCGATGTCATAGTCACTAAGCAAGACCTCGGAAGTTGAAAGCGTACTCTGCATATGTCTAGTACAGAACTACCAAGTAGCAGCCTCCGAAGTGCCGGGTTGCTGGAGAACCACAATCTGAACCGCCTCATTCAGCACAGCAAATTGCTTTGAAGCAGTGGCAAAGACCTCTTTTTTCCCTTGAGGGGTGTCATGGCGATCGAGGCGGCACGACCCAAAAGGATTCAGAAGCACACGGGAACCTTACATTCAGGCTCGCATCCTTTTCACTCCGCACAAAGAGCGACTATCCGAAAGACTCTCCCCCACCTGCTCAAGGAAACCGATTGAAGGTTCCGCAAGCGGCACGGGAACATTCGGCAGCGCCGCGAGACGTGAAAGGTTCCAGAAGAATAAGCGAGCTCACAAAGTCAGACTCGCAGCCAAATCACTCAGCGCAGAAAGGTTTACTGTCAAACCAACGCTCGCCTGCTCCGAGGAACCTTTTGAATCGAAGGTCTTGCCACCGGCGCGGGATGATCCGGCAGCGCCGCGAGATGCAGAACAGCAGGATCGCCATTTGGACGTATTGGGACGCGACTGTGGCGGCAGCGGCCCCGGCAATGCCCCAGCCGCAGGTGAACATGAACAGGGGCAATAGAGCAACGTTGAGGGCGTTGCCGGCGACCTGGAGAGAGAGTTCGTAGCAAGAGTTAAGGGAGGGTCTGAGCAAGTGTGAAGGGAGGGACTCGCGTCGACTGTGAACTGCACAGGATTCTAGACTCTCACCTCCCGTCCAACTACGCTTCTGCTCCGTCGGATCGACGTGTTAAAACTTATTTCGGGATCCATCCAAACGAGCACATCTATTGACGAAACGCAGACGAGCTCTCGCACATTCCGGCCGATGCCAAACCCTAAGCGCGCTCTGGCTAGGCTTTCGCAGGATCCACGCAGAACCGGATGCTTCAACATCGCTAAACGGCACCGGCTGGTTTGTTTGTGGTTGTCTAAAAAGCGGGCCCCGACGAAAGCAGCAGGTTGCTGGCCTGTCACGGCCTTACGGAGCTCTGGCGATAGGAGCCGGAGCTCCTATCGCCTTACAACTGGAAATCAGTCGCTTGCACACCTTTTAGCAATCTGCGCAAGCTCCAATTTCAAAAGCAGGGCCAGTTGACCCTACTACTGGCCTACCAAGCTGAGTCTCTCCCCCCCTAGCCAACCAAAGGAGGCCACGTGGCGCTCACCTGCGCGTACAGCGGCGTCTTCGTGTCGCCGAACCCGCGGAACGCCCCCGAGACGGCCAAACTCACGACAAGCGCCGGCGCCCCTACCGCCCGTAACGCCAAATACATGCTCGCCGGTCCCATCATTTCTGCGTTCGCTCCATACAAACCCAGAATGTGAACTGCGCCTAACCCGAGAACCAGACTCTCTACGATACCGAGCGCCGCGCCCACGAGGATCGACGCCGAGACGGCAGTGTTGACGGGCTTGGCACCGTCCAAAGAAAGCTGATCACCCGCCAGCGGACGCCCGAACTCGTCCAGAAGTTCTCCGTTGCGCTGCGCAAACCCGGTTTTGCGCTCCTTTTCAGTTTTGAGCCCCGTTTCAATTCCGCCACCTATCCGGTACTCGCTATTTTCGAGAACCCCGTCCCCTTGCCAGATGTCCGCTTCGGACCACACCGCACTGCCGGCCCGACCGCGACTGTCCGAACTTGCGCCGCTGGAAGAGGCGACCGCACCGCTTTCCCGCCGTTCGCGGAGGTCCCCTTCGGACACCGCTTCATCGCCCCAATCATACGCACGCTTCTCTGCGTCCGAATCCTGCCCCGATTCACCAACCGTCCGAAGTCGTTTCCGGATACTGTTCTCGCTGTGCTGATTGTTGGACGAAGAAGCTTGCTGGCCAGATTGCAACTCTTCAGCCGGGAGTCCATTCTGCTGATGTGTCTGAGAAGCAACCGAAGCTTCGTCCTTGGAGCGCTCGGCTTGAGCGGTTTGCAGGGCTGTGAGGAATTGCTCCCGCTCTAGTTGCCTCTGCGTCTCAGCTTCGGCGACGAACGACGTGGTCACGTTCAGGAGGGGGAAGTTGAACAGCTTGCACAGGGTGTTGAACACGTTGATTGACACTCCGGCGGCGGCCAGCTGGGCGGGGCCTGCGAAAGAAAAAGCTGGTGTTAAAGAAACGTCAAAAGGTGCCAAGTCAAGAAGGCTCAAGCAGAAGGCAGCGCAACTGTTCGAGCTAAAGAGGGCCTGTCATATGGGCAGCAGTGAAAGGTAGTGAAGGGAAGAAAGTCAGCTCAAAGAAACCCAAGCTACCCCGTAACGAGCAACAAACGCTCGAGAACCAATCTCCTCCCGTTTGTTTCAGAGATCATGGCAAAATGTCCCCATTCAATACTCGCGCTTATGACCTCTTTGGACTTGCTGTCGGTTTTAGCCAAGAAGATCTTTTCACAGGAAATCTTGTAAGCCTCGGGCAGAAATGCCCGCTTCAAACACCTCTTAACAACACCAAATAAGCATAAAGTGTGGATACTCTGCACTTTGGGTTATGTCCAACATCCCAATTCACTAGCAATCGAGGAGCTTTAAAAACATTGTCAAATGACAAGATTTCTAAAGGGTACAGCTCACCTAGATTTCCAAGGAGCGAGGTTTCGAAAAGCGATGCGACTGGGTCTGCTGCAAGAGCTAGCAGTGCAGGGAAGGCCACAACGAGGATCTCCCACCACAGGTCGTCAATGTTCAGACGGTCACGCCTGCAAAACAGTAGGGACTGCTCGTTAGCAATTGAGTTGCAAGAAAGTTGATAAACTTGAACGTGTATACCATTCACGGAAGTTGCATTCTGTGATGGTTTGAATCCGCAGGGATTGGCTGAAAGAAGTGAAGGCATGCTGAATCGACCATTCAAAGGAAGCCCTCTGAATGAATTAACACACAATAGGAATGAATCTTTGCGCCTTTCTCACCCTCAAGCAGGAAGCGAGCACATTTCTCCCCTCGAATGTTTAAGCAAACCAAGGTCCTCCAAAATTTCGCCAACCAGAGCAAATAGACATGACGTACCACTTGGAACCTTTTGTTATCAGCAGGAGTTTGTGTGCAAAGCGACGAAGACAAACAACAAGTTTGCAAACCAGAACACTGTCGTTTGAGGCACTCACAGAACTAGGCCCAGACTCGCTAAGACGGACGACTCAGGCGAAGGCGGGGCTTGCGACTCTTCACTTCTTGCAGCGCCTGCCCCGTCCGCATCGACCTGCACCCCTCCATCTGTCGCTGGCCTGTCCTCAACAACACTGCATCTCTGACTAGTCCGTCCCGGAGGCTTTCTCTCCGGTCTTCTAAACGAACTCACACGATTTGCTGTTTTCAAAACCCCGTGTGCGTTGCGTTTTCTGGATCTTGGGATGCATGCTGAGGTACCAACTGCTCGCGCGAGTGTGCTTGTGAAAGGAGGGGGAAAGGCACAGGGAATGCTTTTATGTTGATGGGAAGGGAGGCGACTGTAGCACGAGGAAGGGCGTGTGTCTAGAAGCAAAGCAGGGGTGCTGGTTTGACTCCGTGCTAGTCTGATGGAAGGTGGTCGAGAAGGTATCCCCGTGGAACTAGGCTTGGGCAAAAAGGTTGCCATGGGTATGGAAAGGTTTGCTGGGGGGGGAAATTAGGAGTGGGAGTTGGGATCCAATTAACCTGACCGCAGGAGTGGTTGCTGTGAGGCCCAAACTGCAGTGAAACACCTGACAGGTTAGAGCTGGCCCCAAGAAAACCGCCAGATCCATACAAACCGTGTGGCAAGTAGCACCTGAAACTGATTGTGGTGTATCGGTTACAGCATCTCATAATAGAGAGCCTCTGTACAGGTGCTGTTTTGAGAGGATCATTTTACTTCATACCAAACAGGCTGGGCAACAAAGCCGGCTTTTTCAATGATACACGGAGCAGAAATGCTTATGTGTTTTTCATCAGGAGTGAGTCGCTGGTTGCCATGATTAAACTCAAAAAGATCCAGTATGCCAGTGAGGCATTGGCCTCTCCAACTCATTCCTTTTAAGGACAGCCTTTGGGCAAAATCCAGTCTTTTCCCACCAGCCGCATCAAGCTTTTGCATCCTTGGTTCGATCCAGACAATGCCAACGACTGAAGAAGGATCCCAGCGCCCAGTTATACGCCTGAAATGCAAGAAAGGACTAGCTCTTCTCTAATCAACCACTTACATTTCGAAGTGTGGGTACCACCAGCTGCATCACTGAAGCGCAAGAAAGGGCCCCTCAAATATGTGCAGGCCTCCTTCCCATCTGCAGATGCTAGTTATTGCAGACGCCATTGCAATTCTACCTCCCTTTTCTCTAAATGCGCGAACTTAAAGTTAAAGCCAGCCTTAGGCTTCAGGCTTAACCACGCCCGGGCAGAGAGTACTGCTTCGGGGATATTATTGAATTCTTTTTATATTCAGCTTGAAATGACATCTGACCTAGAGTCTGTTCTCATAAGGGCTTGGTCATCTTTGGAGATCTGACAACTGATACTGCACTGGAAGTACTGGGTGCAGGTACAAGAGGGGGTGTGTTCAGGTTATCTATTGCAACAAAACTGGCCATTTTCTTGCCAATGGGGCCTGGTTATGCATACGAGGTCGGCCTGCATACTCCGGTCATGCCCGGGAGTGATAAAGACAGCCCCGGGCCAGGCCTGCATATCGATCCAGGCCGGCTCCAATATGCAGTTAACGTACCCTTCTCGGTACGGTAATACTAATATTATGTTTAGATGTCCCGGCTTTTCAAGGGAGTGCAATTCAGCTTTCTGGACTGTATAGGGGCTAGCTAGCTATACAAGAAGCCTCAAGTTAACCGTCGGCTTGACTGGATTTGGTCAATGGATGTCAAAGGGGTGCGCTGCTCTACTTGGCTCGGCTCACGTGCCCCGGTCTAAATCGTCGATCGGAGCACGCGTACGGCTGCATGTGAGTGCTTGGCGAGAAGCGATCTCCTTGCGCGCCCTCGGGACCCCGTTCCAACCAATTCTCTGCCGACAACACCATTCCGGCCGGAACTTGGACCTCACGCCGGAGCCGGAGCCGGCGGAAGTCGACCAGGCGGAAACCGGAAGGAATGGCGGAACAAGAAAGGGATGGGCCTTGACACCATATCCAACGTCTCGCTTTGAAACAGGAGGGGGGAGCTTCACAAGTGTCAGTAAGTGTCGTAGCTGCTTCATCATCGAGAGTGACTTGCTGTGTGCAGTGTGCGCTGCCTTACGTGCGCCCGCGCCCTCTCCTCGTCTTAGCTGGATCTACGAATCAGATTCGAAGCGTGCTTGGCGTGCGTTTGGGCGGCCCCTGCAAGCAAGGAGGTATAGGAGACATACCGTCCATTATTTCTAGAGGCGGGTTCAGAGGCGCACTGATCAACCTGCGGCGTCGCGTCGGCCTGCCAAAAACATGGAAGGTCCTGAACCTTCATCATCGAGAAGTGTTGCAATGTCCCCTTTTGACAGGCTTCCAGAAGCAGTCATTCTGCAAATTTTAAGTCGCGTCCCGGGGAATAAAGATTTCCTTGATTATAGAGCAGTGTGTAGAAGTTGGCGGGCTTTGTCATACCAAGCACAGTGCTTGTACCACCCCTATGGGGGATCCGGGAGATATATTGAGGACTCAAAAGCTCTCTCAATCTGCGCATCCATTTCAAAGCTATTGCCAGCCCTCACGCAGTTGAATCTGGACGCCAGGTTGCTTGAGCCCTCTTTTGCCCAAATAGCCAAGTTTTTGCCCCACCTACGAGATCTCTCTATTCAACATGTGACCAAGATAGAGAAGTCGGTGCTTCTTGTTGGATACTCCAAGTTCGAACTCTTGTGCAAGCTCCGCTTCGTGGAACTTGAGACAACTGAGGAGGAGTTCCATAAGCTCCTGGATCTATGCCCGAGACTGGAGGGTCTGCGGATTGGGAACTTACGGGTTGAGAAAACGGATGCCGATAGCGAGCATCATGACCGCTCGCTCGAGGTCATCTGCCCTCGCTTGAAGGAGTTTGAGATTCTGTATTCCCGCCACATCTACGGACTGGCTCGAATCAACCTCCATACACCGCTCCTAGAAGTTCTTAGGGTGGACAGGTTGGAACCTCCATTTCAACTCCATTTAGGAGAACACCAGTTGACAAGTCTTAGGATGTCGGTAAACCCGCCGTTTGCGGGGCAAACCCTTCTCCTGCCCAAGGTTACAGAGCTCACACTCTTGACTCCGGACCCTTCTTGGTCGGGCCACTACAACATTCCTGGTGGATGGGAGAGAGTTCTTCGGATGATGGTGGATCCGTGCCTTTCACTCAAAAGCCTGGCAGTCCCGCAGAACCCTCCAACACATTCAAGGTTTGCAAGAAAGCCAGATCCTCATCCTTGTCACGGAAACCAGGAGCCAGCAATCTGCATTGCGCGCTTTTGTACACAATTTAGAATACTAGAGAACTTGGAGATTGACCGGGATCTTTTTGCAAATCTTATGGTGTCCCCCAGCGGCAAGGCATTGCAAGACCAACTCCCATGTCTGTCGAAAATAACGGTGTCTTTAGGAGCTCCCTTAACAGAAGAGAATGTAAATTGCCTCAGGTGGTTTCTAGATAACGCTACTGCTCTGCGGAACATGCACCTGCGTGTGAAGGATTTTGGCGTTTGCGAGGACTCAGATGCCTTGAACATGTTAGGAGAGATCCAAAGAGAGTATCTGGCGGTCAACTTTGCAACCTTCTAAGATTGGAAGGAAGAAGGAGCCGAATTTCACGTAGTCAACAGTAGCTACTAAACTGAGTCACGGAAGACATATCATGTAGTCAGGGATAATTAAAGGAGAGGACAGACAAATACAATTGCTGATTGATTCAATAGCACCATATAGGGTTGTAAGATGTCCGATCGTATGGTATCTTTCTAAATATCAGGTGTTGAGTTAAATCGACTCTTATGTACGTTGTAATCTTGCATCCTAATAAGTTGCTGGCCGAATCAGCACGTGCGTCAAAGTGTTGATGCAGCCCGCGATCCGCCCGACTGCTGCCTACTAACAAAAGTCGTCTTGATAATCTGGTGTGATCGTGGTCAACCTATTACGTACTAGAGTATATAGTAGCTACTATATACTCTAGTACGTAATAGGTTGACCACGTGACCAAAAAGTGCACTTGTCTGTCGTCAAACACTGCAGCTGAGATCCGGATGGTCCAACACTGACACATGCGTATAGCGGGCCTAGATCTCGCACGCATGCAGTGCCAGACGGTTCGACGGTCGAATCATTGCATGACTCAGAAACATCATGTCTTTTATGGAGTGACGTAGACAATGTATATACGAACGGTTCAATCATAGCTACACCGTGACATGCACATGACTGGGCCAGGATCATCGATTTATCAACAGCGAAACACGCGTAAAACAACAATATACCAGCGTACATGCGTATATACTTGCTTTTGTAAAGCCTCAGTGAGCCCGCTGAGCCATCGGGCAACGCTTGTATGGATGGTACGTGTTTTACATGATCAGAAAGCACTACAGATCGAGTCGGAACACCAGCACCACGATCTGATCGTCGAAATCCAACTAGGAGCAAGTATGTTCCCACGATCGAACTGATAAGACCCGTTGACTTCCACAACTTTGCTCAATTCAGGAGGACAGCTAAAGCTCTGGAACCCCGTCCAACCCTAATCCGAGTTCCAAGTCAAGGACAAAAAACAACTTTGACGGAACATTGAAGGTCTGTCCTCAGAGGTCATCATCTGCTCAAAGGAGCGACGAAAGCCGGCTTTATAGTTTTAAAAAGCCTTCCCTTTGCTTTCCATTCAAGCTCTGCATATCAATCTCCGTGGGGCTGCTGTACCCCACACTCCACGGTCCTCGTACCCGCCAGTACCATTCTAGGCCAACAAACACGATTAAGACAAGTATCCATACAAACGTGAATGCGGCGACAGCCGACGACTCTGCCTCGTATATGTATAAGCCGACATAGATGTTGACAATTGCAAGGACGACCGCGGATCGGCCCACCCAATGATGGTACAGGTTCCATTTGGGCCGGTTCTCGGCATCCTTCTTGGGGCGGAACACGGCAGCGAGGACCTGGCACGAGGGATTTGCGAAGAAATGAGAAGACGGATGTATTTTATTTTGGTACAGAGAAGGGGACTAATTAGATGAGGAAACGAAGCATTGAAATGTCAGCTTTCATACCTGAACCTTCTAAGCAAAGGAGAGGTTGATAATGATCTGAGGGAAATTCCGGTCAAGCTAGGAACCATTGACTTTCGGCGCTCATAGGTTGGGCTACAAGCAGATACTCTGCGAGTTCCCTTGCAGCAAAGACAGGTCTCCTTCAAATAGCTATCCCGAGCTAGCAAACATCGATGCTCATGAACTGATGGGCTGTCGTTGGTTCAAACGCATCTCCACAAGGGTCGTCAAGAGAGCCTCTGCAAACAGGCCTCCACGGATACCTTGAACTTTAGGCAGTGTCCTTAACCAGCCCGGTTAATGTCCAATGGCAACCGCTGTGCAGGACAGGGAAGAGAGAGATGTTCCGCCAACCAACCTGCATGATGACCATAATAGGGAGCAGGAAGGCGAACGCAAGGTGCGCCAACATCCCCTGTTCCTGCTTCCCCTCCGCTTTCCAACCCAGTAACCAGGCGATAACGAAGAAGAAAACCCCAACGCCCTGGAAGCCCCGGTGCAGGTTCCACCAGCGGGGGTCCAGGTGGCGGAAGAACCGGGCGGCGATGATCCCCGCGGGAAAGAGGACGGCCCAGACGAGAACCATGAGGAAACCGTGCGCCTGCGGAGGAGGGGCGCGTTAGTATTTGGATTTCAGGGGGGAAATGGTTCGAGACGCTTTTAAAGATCTTCTTTGGCCGGGGAGAGTGCCGAGAGTGGGAAAAATATGGCTGTCCTCAAAAGCCTTTTGACTTTGAGGACCATCGCACAGGGGCTGAAGCTGGTCGAGACGAACATAACGATGTACAGACGCGCAGAAGGGAAACGTCGCGAAGTAGAAACCGACGTGGTTAAAATAGAGGAGCGCACATTTGAAAGCCCCAAGGACATTCTGCTCTTGTGAGAAGGGGTTTTAAGGCAAGGGGCTTTTGACCGGAGCTGACCCAGTTCGAGAACGGTTCGAAGAAGACGGCGAACCAGAAGAGAACCCCGATATGCCTGGCGCTGCAATAGGCAGAGGACGCTGGTAACAAAGAGCTTTGGAAGTGGTTGCAAAGCTTGTGCCCAACTAGAACCGAAGGATCTCCAACCAGGAAGGAAGTGATTTTGGGTCCAACAGGAAAGGGGGTCAGCGTAAACGAGAAATGTGAAGGAACCAGAGGCCTGGACATACGGAGGAGAATGATGACAAAGAGTGATAGATGTTGCAGATTCACAATACAGCACCAATGCACTCAAGGTCGTCAGTCTCTCGCTCACGAGCAGGGAGGACAAGCGTAAGAACGACCATGAGGAAGACCGTGAGAAGCTAACGTTTTGAAAGAGTTATACGGGCGAGCCCTGAAAGGAACTGCGCACTTAAAACAGAAGAAAGAGCAGAAAGGCTGCGCTGAGTATGAAGAGTGGTTGCTCTTTTGAAAGCCTCGGACTTAAGCTCCCTTGAACGGAGGGAGAGGAAGAGGCCCTGCGCAAAATCGAGTAGTGGAAGTACGGACCTTCACTTGATTAGTATCTTCCTGCATGTTGCCCGATTGCTGAAGGACAACTGTCAACTTGGACGCACAATAGCACGAAAAAACGGCGTTTAGACAAGAAACCTTCAGACGCAGCGCCCCCGTACCTGTGTAAAAGTGTCATCTTCTTCCTCTGGGGGCCCTCCTTCCGCCCAGTCTATTGTGGATTTATAGTAGTTTGAATGCTGCGGGATCCGCCCGGTGGTTTCGTCCCCGGGGGGGCCGCGTGCGAAGATGACGTCAGCTTTTGCATACTGCTCCTTCGAGAGCGTCAAGGTGAAGAGCATCGTGAGGAAGCCGTTGGAGTACTCTGCAAGGATTCCGTCCGCGCCTAGTTGCAGGGTGCCCTCACCGGGGGTCACCAAGTGCTCGTCCTTGCCCGCCAGAAAGTACTTGTTGGAGTAAATGCCCCCTGACAAAGAGGAGGAGTATAAGAGATTGAGAGATCCACAGGATGACAGGGAAACGCTCAATATCTCTAGCAAGAGACCGAAAAGCGTCCAAACCATTCGCACCCCGAATTGATTGGAAGTATGCCACCTGAACATAGGAGACAAGCGTGCGACTAAAGAAGGAATGGAGAGTCCTTGTAAGAGGCGGGGAAAGGAAAGCTAGTCTTGTACCTCAGCAAGCTCCGATATCAACGATGACTCTCATGAGACAGGACTCAGGGACAATTCGTGAGCCACTAGAGAGAACGCTGTTGGCAACGACTGCAAACTCGGCATGAGAGTCAATCAGGTGCTCAAGACAACATTCGAAAAGGCCTGATTGGGAAAGAAGTTAAGTTTGTGACCACCGTCAAGTCTGAACCCCCAAGAACAGTGCGCAGGACAGTATGCACAGAAAAACAAAAGGCAACGGCCCGTTTCTACTTTCCGGCGCCGGCTGCTCACCCGCGGTTGGAAACGCCGCTACCACGCTCGAACCGATCATCTGCTTCCCCAGCCCGAAACCTGCCCACCCCCCCAACTCGTCACGGCGAGTTGCACGACTCGATCCCCGAGGTTGTTCCAATGGAAAATAAACCCGCTCGGGTCTTCTTGACAGGTTTGGAAGGAGACATTACCCCCCTGAAACATGATGGTGCAGCCGGAAGCAGCGGAATGGTGGTGGCCGGCATGCAGGCGGCGGGGCTCGGCGCGCCTGGAAATCGATTGAGGGGGTTCGGTTTAAAAGTCCTGGTTACCAGTAACCCAACTGGGTTAGAAGATGAGCTGGTTGAGCAGACAAAACAGAACCTTGTTTGAGGGGCAACTGAAGACAAAGTTCCATCGGGTGCATATGAAAGTTAGTCTTCTTGATCGTTGGGTCAGGGTGCAAGTTGTTCATCTGTTGTGATGTGGGTTCTCGTGCAAGACATGGGGCAAAAAGAGACGGTTTAGTATCCGGGGGGCCGTTTGTTAGTGGCGTTCTCTTGCACAGTTGGTCATGATTTCTGAGGATAGTCTTTCCACTGAGTGGTCAAATAGAAGGGCAGAACTGTATGCTGAAGGACGTTTTTCATTGGGGGCCTCTCTGGATTTGAACCGTCGAAAGCTGCATAGTAGCATATCATTCATCGCCTTTCAGCAATCTGTGAGAAAGCTTTGTATTGTAGTGAACGGCAAGATATTCATGACACGTGTAGATAGATCGATGAGAATGTCTGTTTAGCCACTCGAGTAAGAATTTTGTAATCACCAAGGTCGCAAGCCCATTGAGCGCCATATACTACTGCAATATTCCACTCTTCACACAGTCTCAAAATTCTGTGTAGTAGACAATACTATAATGGCCAGATTCTTTTTAGGGGGATTGCTATTACAGAAATAACCAGTTCTGTTATACTCAACCGTTTGCTGAAGTGTTTCCAAGTTGCTTCAAATCCCAAGGTACAATTGCAACCTGTCAATGGAGCATATCTCTGCCAGATGATGTGAACATTTCCCTGGCACCAGCATTTGGTGTTTCCCACTTTAGCATATTGTGATATCCAAACAAACAGCAGATGCAAACTGCCCGCACGTCTTCAAAGCAGAAAAGAAAAGTGGTGCCAACTCACTTTTTCAGTGTCTGCACTTTACTAAAAGTAAACCATAACAACCGCACTTCTTTTGGATACTGTTTCTCATCAATCAACTCACCCTTTGACCGCATTGTCAGTGCTGGAAAGAGTCCAAGCTCGGCTCATAGCTTGCTGAGCCTCCGCAGAGGGCACATTTGCTATCATCATCAACAATACTACAGCTGCAAGAGAAAGCCTATGACCAGGGCGTACCGCCATGGTGCCCGGGCAACTGGCTGCAGTTGACGAAACCATCTTCTTCTGTTGTAGGTTGCTCCAATTCAACGGACTGGCTCCTTCCCTTTCCTCTAGCTGACCAAGAACATTTGCAATGGGCTTTCAAGTTTCAGCGGTCAGACTAGACTTATGAGAAGGAATGTCTTTTTACCACCTTTCCAAGGAGGTAGGTGCTGCCACTCATGACACCATGCTTTCGACGCATTCCGCGAATACAAGTTCAACTTCAAGCAGCAAGACGTCGATCCAGATTGATCGGATTCAGAGCCAAAATGCACTGAACGGAAGGTTTGATAGCGCGCGCAACATCTGTCTGTTGACGCGCCTCGAATGAAGTGGCAGTTGTGTCTTTTCGGATTTCAGGCAGTCTGCAGACCTTCTCAACTTTCGGCTCAGCAGAGCAAGAACAAAGCTAGCAAAGCTACATAAGAGCTACATAGGGAGGGGCGGCCACTCCCCTATAAAGGTGGAATATAGCCGCGTCTGCTCGTCCTGTTTTGGGACCCTATGCTAAAACCGCGCCAGTCTTTTCGGGCACTCTTTCTATAACGGCTTGGGCCATTTTTTGACCCCTATTCGTAAAACGGAACAGACGCAATTCTAGCAAGATTCCCCCTCAAAGGTACTGTAAAACGTGGAGCCGTTTCTCTCATATAATATCTCAGGTTTTTCATGCATGGCTGTTGATAATCCATCGGACAAGCTGGAAATGTAGGATAAAATGTGTCGGCTTATTAAACTGGAAGGAGGCATGCCTCCGTTGGCCCACCGGTATATCGGTGGCCTTATTATTTAGTGTCTTGGGGATAACCCAGGCGCACTTCCCCACCCCCTTTACCTATAACAACCGTTATAGAGCTCGGCCCAATTTCCAGAACCTTTGGATCGACGCGGCTCCCTTCCAAATACGCTATCTCCAGGGGGAGAGTGACCGCCCCTCCCTACATAGGTATCCTGACATCGTTCCAACGGAAGTAATTCAATTAACTTTGATCATACTTCTGTCATTCTGTAGGCACTGTTCGACTGAGGTCTGTGGCCCAGGGGTGAAAACGGAGCTTGAATGTAAGCTTCTCTACGAGATTGATTAGGCAATTGCGACATGAAGAGGTGCACCAGAGAACCAAAATCCGAAGGCTTGCCACATGACACATTGACTTTGAAGGGCTTTACTAGGCGCTAAGCAACTGAGTTTGCGCCCCCTCTTGCGGCCTCTAGCATGAGTTACGTTGGGGGGAGCGAGAGAGGATCAAGACAGTGCCGATTTTCGAATTCTCAACCTGCAAAAATTTCACTGCCTGAGCTCGCATGAACACGAATGCAGCTCAAGGGTCTGGGCAACGGCTGGGTGTGCAATGAGGGAGACATGTCAAGGAATTAAAGTGGATTGAAGTATAATGAATATCTAGACGCTTCCGTACAAGCAACAAAAGTCTCAGAAAGCAGATAACTTGTGTACGGCGCTAGTGGGGTTGGTGCCAAAGAGAGGATCAGGCGTTAGTGTGCTAACGGTGAGTGGCCTCCAAATTGCTTGAGTGACAAAGCTTTACTTTGCTCAATCTCAAGCTGGGCATAAATTGTCACCGGCTGCGAAGATTCTTTGAAAGTCAATTCAACATTCTGTGCAGTCACAGTCAGGCCGATCATAAAAAGTGCCTCACTCGGCACCACCAACAGCTCACCTAGGATGAACTGCATGTGCGTCCTTTCATTGAAAACCAATCAGTCATTTGGCAAAGCAATGCCGGAGTGGAAAGCAGTTGGACCGACAGCTGAACTGAATTCATTCTGGCCTTGAGGGGTTTCAGCTTCCTAGTTCTTCTTGCATGCTGCCTACCCTTCCAGTGGTTTTCAAAGGCTGGCATGATGCAAGCTTGAGCCCCGTTAAGCAATGGATTTCAGCCCTTGACATGCGTTTCAAGAAACATCAGCACCCTTGATTCGGCGTTTTGTATGTTAGATCAGATGTAGCAGATCCAATTGGTGCAGTGGCTCAGGATTCACAACTTGGACAACCAACCCCTCTGTTCATATCTGGCTGCAGCTCTTCTAGCTTCGAGCGACCTGTCGGACTAGTCTCTCAGCCTTTCAAGTTTGCACAGGGCTTTCTTCGTGGGGACTTGAGCGATGCACCAAGCAAGCGGATAGGCCAACAAACAATCGCCTGAGACTGCCGAGGGCGTCAGAAGATGGATTCCCCGGGGGTGTCTCCATCTACTTTGAGCAAGCACGGCTTTAACAACATTCCACCGCGGACCCGGGAAGAAAGACAAGCGCACCACGATCATGTGAGCTTTGATTGGTTCTTTTTGTACAAATGACAATGTTTTCCCGAAACTGGTTTCAGAAGCTAGGTGACCAAAGCGTTATGACCGTGTCGCTGGCGAGCTCTGACTTCCAAGTTTCTCTCTTCTGACAAGTTACAGGAAGCCTTTTAGCATTATGTAGAGCTACTAATTGCGCAATCTCGCTCAGAAAGCAGGCACACCCAGGGAGGTGCGATGCAAGCTCGTTGCAGTGGCAGCCTTCGAAAGGGCAATCGCCACTTTGTTACATGGGTACTGCTTAGTCGTCTGTCAAGCTTTTCAGAGCAGGCGTCGCATCCTTCTTCAATCACTTCCGGTTTGCTTGTTACCAGACCCGCCATTAAGTGGCGCAGCACGTAAGAACATTACGTATGCAAGATCACTGATTGTTAAACCGTGTGGACAGCAGGGTCTTCCGTGCAGACTATCGGAAGCTCTTCGTTTCGTCCATGATGTGCCCGATGTCAGCGCAGGATTGGCACCTTCCCGATACTAACACCGCTTCAAGAACGCATCTCGCTTTTATCCCAGGATATGCTCGAGAGGAAGCGACTAGCCGTTAGGCGGGTGTTTCCGTCTTTTCACCCGCGGCTCAACAGGCACTGTCCAATTACAACGTCACCTTCGATGTACTGACCAATGACCGCTTCACTTGTATCTTTCTTTTTCCTCGGATATGCCCGACAAGCAGCTGCTAGCGCGTCAGGCGGAGGGGCTGCTGTGATATTTCGCCGACGTTTCGTCCGCCACTGTTGGATCATTGATTCAATCTTCAAAGGGTCGACCAAGATGACGAGCTCATTCAACTGCCTCGAGGAGCAGCTACTCGAGGAGCAGGGACTCTCTCCCTCACTAGTAACAGCCTCGAGGAGCAGCGGCTGGCCCTCAAGCGGATTGACGTCTCCCACTCCCTTTCCGCATTTCAACCGTCACTCTCTGACATGCGGTTACTTCGACGTGATGACCATAAGAGCGCTTTTCGACAAATCATTTTTTCGTTTTCTCAGGACACGCTCGAGAAGCAGCGGCTGGCCGCGCGGCGGGGCGGTCACTTCCACTACTCCGGGCAGTCCGACCCGGTGTCCGCGCCAGAGGGATCCCTCGCGTACGCGGACGAGCACGAGCGCTTCGACCGCGTCGACCCCGCAGACGACGAGCACGTCCGTCGGCAGCGGGAGCTCGAACGAAAAGCGGTGCGATATTGCGTGATCTTATGTTCGGTTTCTTCGATTTGGCTTGGCTTTTCTCTGTTCTCTTCTACTTTACCATTCAGTACCATACTCAACGTCCTGATACCAACGATTGCGCTGTAATAAAGGCGGAAGCAGCTAGTGCGGACGATGCACGTCATCTTTGGACAGTTGTCCAGATTGCCCATCGCCGGAATCACTCCGGTCGGGGTGGTTATCAATATGACTTTTGTCGTGTTTTCGTTCTTCCCGATTACCGACGTGCCTTTTGGTGGCATAGCTCCGCAAAAGCCGTGAGAGCGGTATCACATCGCTGTTTCTGTTTACAGCGCCTCTTACCTGCTTGATTGGAGCAAAGTCTGGTTTCCCGTCAAGCGGTTGGTAACGACCCTCCAGCACCAAATTCCTCTCATCTGGAGTTTTAAATGTGAGTAAATCACATTTTCGAATCTAGCAAATTAAGGTTCTCCTCACCCGTGGACAATTCCGGAACTATGTCGTGAGATTCTGACCACGGCCCGCCTGGTTGAGACATAATAACGATCCAGTGGACCAGTTTATCTCGAAGAGCCACAGACTGGTACAATCACCAGCAGGCGCAGACGCCGTCTGCGGAAGTACCGCAGCGATCAGAACATCAGAAGCGGCACCGCAAGAGAGCTTTTGGCCCGCTCACATCCGCAAAAGCAATCTTGTCACTCTCTTCCCGGATATCACTTTTTCTTCGACCGTCAACATTATCCTGAGAGTTCACAAGATTGCAACGTGCTTTTCGCGTCTCCGTATACCTTCGATCATTGGTAAGCTCAAATAAGCACAGATGGTGCTAAGAGACAGGCCCCACTTCCGGAAGTGGACCTGAGCGATAGCACCTGTATAAATCGCATAGTACGTCAAGATATTTGAGGATAACTCAATCTCTGCTAACGTTATTTCCTTGGTCACAGGCGATCCTGGATAAGAAGCGGGGGGAAGGCATGGCCCGGGAAGAGGCTCGGTGGGCGGGAATGGAGGAGCAACTAGAGCGGGCGACGATACGCGAAGCGGTGAAGCGGGAGACGGTGGGCAACCGGAGGAACGCCCCAAGCGTCGCGTACAATCCAATCACACTCGCGTACAGCGATAACCTGGACGGGGTGCGGCTCAAAGTGGTGGACGATACCGTCAAGTGAGCCTTTTCCCCGTTGCATTTCTTATTTCGAGGGAAACTCTGGTGATTGCATTGATCCATGTCTTTCCTTCTGGACAGAAGAAGCTGAAGAGTATGACAAGATAATAAAAGGAACAGTTCTCCTTCTGGACAGACGAAGCTAAGGAAGTAGGAATAGTATATGCAACGGAGCCAGAGCCCCAGAAAAACGATCCAACTCCGCGACTTGTCCTGCAGTCCTTGGGAGACTTTCCATCTGTCGCGTCAAGAAACCTTATGTTGGCCTGTCTTTCTGGTGTTTTGGTCCAAAAGAAGCGAAAGTGGCTTAAAGCGGTCGAAGAAAGCCATACGAAGACCCGCCTTACTTGAGTCTGCTCTCCAGCGTCCCTGTTCTCCGACGGACTTACTTCCTGATAGCTCGGTCTAGCTGTCTGGACGACCTTGTTATGGAAAGCAGCTCGAGAACGTGGAACGCAGCCCGAACACGAACGTGGAACGCAGCCCGAACGCTCGAGAACGTGGAACGCAGCCCGAAAACACCTCTTTCGGGCCCTTTATTCCCTTAACCCTCTATGAATACTGAGTGCTTGGGCGGAGCCCTGACGTAAGAGTGACGTCACTTCTCGCAGGTACCACGCAGCAGTGCGCGCGAGCAACCTGTATGAGCGGTCCCACATCGAGCGGTTCAACATCGTCACCGGCGAGGAGCTACCGCAGCCGATCAGGGTGCCTTCAAAGCCAGCGGTACCGGAGTTGCTCGTGCGGTCAGGAAAGATATGAACCCGTGCTTAAGAAGGCAGTGATTTGGCCCTTGGGGGAGCATTACCGGGGTTCAAAAAGGGGCTAGGCAGCGAATGGGGAATCTTGGGCTCATCCGGGGAAAGGTGATATAACCCGGGCTTCAGCAGGCAGTAGTCTGGCGCTTTGGGGAGAACACCGGGGTTGAAAAACTGGCCAGCAGACGTGCATTCACTAGCTTATCTGCTTTGGAATCTGGTCATCGGGCTTTAGAAGGAAGTAGCCCCGCGCTTGGGGGAGACTGCCGGGGTCGAAAACGGAGTCATTCGACGTGCATCTACTTAGCGTGAGCCGCATCCCGTGGGCAAAACGTTGGAATAGGGGCGCGGCGGGCCCTGCGCTCTCTGGCGGAAATTCGAGATAGTACAGCGTTCAAATAGTGTCAGATTCTCAGGAAAAGACTGTCAGATTCTTCGAGAATGCACCTCATGGAGGCAAGTGCTGTTGGAACGTGCAAGCTTCCCTTCTGGATCCTGTCAGGCAGGTCAAGCGGATTGATGAAGCTCAAGCGCAAGGCATGAAACGACAGCTCCGTCGCAAGGTCGTGAATAGATAAGCTAGCCGGGGGCAACGATCACGAAAGTATGATCGGATCGCGTCCTACTTCCCCTGCGCGATCCAATCGCTTTTCGTCAACACAGGACGCGCTCGGGGCCGGCTGGAACGTTTCTAAGTCCATAATCCAGTGTAATGTAAGACCCGGGAATGATCTGTGAGATGAATGGCAATTAACTGCGAACTTGCATTCAGACTGTATGGACCTATTAACACTTGGAGCTTCGGGTTGACGAACGGCAGCCCATAGGATGCGGCAATTACTGACAAAAAGCGGCTCACTATGTTGCATATATTTATTCTTCTAGGTCCGTCTTGACTACAAGTAGATCCGTGCAGGCCACAGGCTTCTCGTATCATCAAGCCCTATGCAAAAAGCTAGTTTGAGATTCTGCATTTAACGCTTCCGATTTGCTGGGCTGCACGTACATGCGGTCCGAATGTTATGTCAACCTGAAACGGCGCTCAGTGTGGGCATGGTTCATCCGGACATGAAGCAGACTCATCGTTCTAGCTTGATGAATAGTTGCCGCGGGATCATGTGCACAAGTTACCTATAATCAGTCAGGATCAAACCATTATGCAATCGCATAGCTTCTCATTTCCAGTGGCATAAGCATTCGCTGCCCACACAATCTACACCTGTTCTCAAGATGCAGCCGGCAGCCACGGGGGCTCTTAACATGGCCCGTTTTGGCAGCTGTTTGCATGGAGATCAGTCAGCTACCATTTTTGCGTACGTCGACTACAAATTTTGGGCAAATATTGACATTCAATCGAGCTGAGAGCTTACTTTTTCAGGGACGATATCAGGGTACCCGCAACGTCTGACTATCATGAACATGACCCAAGAGTGATTGTTTAGTTTGATGGCCCACAAAGGACTGTGAATTCAATGTGACTTCCTACCTAGTGTCTAGTTCACCGACTCGACGCAAAAAATGTTATTTGGACACGCCTGGTTCTGACGCTCAGAATCGCACCCCATTCTAAGCTAACCAACAATTACCCTCCCCTTATCACAGAACATTCCGCCACCCCCTGATTGTCAAAAACTGCTCAGCTCTACCAAAGCTCAAGCTTTCAAAGATCGATCTGATTCTACACTATCTATTTTCTTGTGTTACGGGCTGTACTCAAACGAGGTCAAGGAACGGGACGAGCCTGCTCGTGCGCGCCTTCCACTGCGCAAAGGCCGGGTAGCGCGACAGCGACGCGTCCTTCCTCTTCATGTTCGGAAGCCATATCAGGGTCATGATAGACGCCAACACTGCGATCGGCCACCAACTCCGGGCCAGCAGGCCGTACCCTAGGTAAGTCAGCAGCTCACCCAGGTAATTTGGGTTCCGCGTAAGGGAAAACAGCCCAGTGGTAATCAGGGTTCCCTTGCAGTACTGCATGTGCATGTGCTTCTGCATGTCCGCGACGAAGTGGGAGAAGATCCCGAGCGTAAAGATGGAGATGCACATCCCTTGGTACCACGCGGGCGGTTCGGTCTTCGCCGCCATGACGATCCACCCCCCGATCCAGTAGAGCGACATTGCCGCCCAGCGCATTACGACGCCGAACAAGATGCTGCACTTAGCCTCCCACTGCCGATCGCCGAAGTGGGCGCTTTTGTATAGCCACAGGAGAGCGTACGTTCCGTGACACGATAGGTAAATCCAAGCGGTGGACTTTTTCCAAGCATCATAGTACGCCATCACTGCTAAGAAAGCGAGGGGCGTCACGACTTTGTGGCTGTCGATGAAGGCGCGCTGCGTGAAATGGTACCCCTTCTCGGCACTCATGGCTGGAGTCTGGCGGGGACTGCTGAAGGCTGGCGCTCAGATCTGGGGAGTGCGCGCTTGTACTAGAGGCTAGGCTAGGTCAATCGAAAAACGACTCAATGGAAGAAGCTGCGGCTGATCAGAGGTTGCGGCAAAGGATCTCGCGGGCCTCTGCCAGCTCAAATCCTCTTGCTCACTGGCAAGGCGGTGCTCCGCTGCAGCTTTGACGTTGAAAGACAGTCTGGCAGTGGCAGTGACAAAACCTTGGGATGTATGTACCTACAATCAGGATGCAGATACGCCCTAACGTGTACCTCCTGGTTCCTCAGCACTGCACGAAATTGTGTAACAGTTAGTGCGTAGGTAGTACGTATTACGTACACTCAGCTCTGTACGGGGTCACCCACGTACGACCAAAGCGTACGCGTATGATGCGGACCGGTAGCTCGATCGAGTTACGACTCACGAGTACCTTAAAATACCCCGGCTACTCAAATAGCTGATTTCGCTATCTATAGCATGCCCGGTAATTGGGTCGTGACATGCGACAGGCTGTCATTAATGCGCGCTGATTGCTGACGTCAGTTGCGACTTCGCCGCAAATTAGCCATGCGAATCGAACGATCGATACTGGCCAGCCGCCAGTGGCAACGCTCGCTAATTGATCCCGATCGATGTAGTGAACAGTAACAGCCAGTGAACAGTAACGGAGACGGGTAGGGTTAGTTAGGGGGTTAGGGTGGGTACGGGTGCGGAGCGGGTGTTTCCTTAGGTTAGGGTTTTTAGTAACCCCAAAATGCGTACTGTTCACTGGCTTGCTGTTCACTGGATCGAGAAACACCGCTAATTGCACTAAAAGCCGCTTGCACTCAGATACACAAGTCCCGGGCGCCCAAACTAAAATGCCTAACCAAACAGATCACGCGCTCCGCACCCGCACCCACCCTAACCACCAAACTAACCCTACCCGTCCCCCGGTGCTTATCTTAGCTTAGTGCAAGCTGCTCTTAGTGCATTAAGCTACCGTTGCCGGAATAATCGAACGGAGATCTGGCGCCCGCAGCGAGTTGATCTAAGCCTGGCCAGTGGCCACCCACGCCTGACACCCTCATTGCACCCTAGACCGATATTAAGCGATAGGTATACATGCAGTCATGACTTGGACGAAGTTTCACGAAGAGCCGAGGCTACAAACAAGTATAGTGTCCAGCACTGCACATCACAGCTACTTCTGGCAGATCGTCATTGCTAATTGGTGCAAACCTTGCGAGTCAACGTTTGGCGCCGCGGGCAGCAAGTACCGCTAGTGAATGACAAAAAGGTCGCCCAGTAATGATGAACTTCATGTCAGAGTAGCTGGCGTTGGCGCCGTATCATGACGCGGCTTGTCACTTCCAGCGGTGGTCATTCATCCAAGGTTCTGAGGCCGTAGCAGCGTACGCTCTATGCATCCACGTCAGGAGCAGCACTCTTTCGGAGTCCCTTCAACCTTTCCCTTGCAGAGAAAGCCCGTCGAAGGTTTGCCAAACCAGCTGTACAACGTAACATCCACGAGTGACGGCACAATTTGGCGGCGCCGCTAGTATCGGTGAATGTTAATGTCGGACAAGCGCGCAACGTCTAGCTGCAACATCAAACTAGAGGAATGCGCGATATAAGTCCGCCGAATTAAGCCTTCGCTGTCTTGTACTGCTCCCGACAAATTTGGGCTATGGCGAAAACTCATTAAGTCAACCTCGTGCTGATGCAATATGTCATTGACGCTCAACCGTGCGACTCCCGACACAGTGCAGCGCGGCCGGCTTACTCTCAAAACTGATCATCATAGAGCCAGCTTTTATGTTGATGATGTTATGTACATAAAGGATGGAAAATGGGTCCCAATAAAAACCGTTCCCAATGGTCTGATTAAGCTCTCCGAGTCGTACTTATAATAACGGCCTGTCAAGAATACTCCGAGGCCAGCTCTGCTAACCCTTCCTTCATGCTGACCACCCGGCTTGTATCCAAGCTCCTTTTGGATCTTCGCTGTCTTCACCGTGACGTCACGTGCCACGTAAGCAAGGATCTGCCGGCTGACCAGCGGTTCCCGGGTGACCCCATAACCCAGAATCGGAAGACTTTCCAGGAACCACTCGACTCCCCACAACAGCCAAAGGGGGACCGTTCCGGTCGGGGTAGCGACCCCCGGTTGCGAGCAGACGTACCACGTGATGAAGTCCTTCCAAAGCTCCGCTTTGCCGTCAGTAACGAAGTAACTTCTGCCTCCTGCACGAGGGGATAAAAATGAAGAAGCTCAGTAATGATTGCTTGAAAAGGGCGACGTGATGGAGTCCTTCCAGAGCTTGGCTTTGCCGTCAGTGACGAAGTAAGTTCTGCCGCCTGCACGGAAAAATGCTGCTCAATAGTGATCGCTTGAGAAGGGCCACGTGACGAAGAAACTCCTGCATGAAGTAAGAATCAGTACGATGCTTAGAAAGAATCGATTGAGAAGAACTACTTTACAACGTTCTTCCAGAGCCCCGCTTTTCCATCTGTGACAGATCTACTTTTCCCTTCTGCAGTTAGAAGGCTCATCAGTGCTCAGAAAAGATTGCTTGTGACGATTGCGAAGGGCGATGATTGCCTTCTGTCAACAGCGGCGACGTGCCGTGGCTTGCGACAGCAGACAGACCTCGGCGGCGTTCAGATAGAAACAACTACGTAACCATTTCGAGGCTTATTTCATAAGATTATCAGACAGCCGGAATCTTGGCTGTCAGTCGTTCCCTTACCTTAAAACCCAAAAGTAGAGTGCTGACAGCTTCTTGACGAAGCTCTTTCCCTTGAAAGCCAAGACGTTGTCGCTGATCAGATGTGTTCAAAGACCGGGAAAACTGAATCTTCGCGTGCTTTGTGCGACTTATGACACTGTTCGTCGGGTACTCGTGTCGCGAATGCGTTGCGAAACCTGCCGCGCCTCTTACGAGAGCCACAAAGCTGACCGGGTAAGCCAACTAGACTTCGCAACTGCCCATCACCAGTTCGCAGCTTTGGCAGGATCTGATCAAACTAGGCATGCGAAAATACGCACCTACACCTTTGACGGTCGCGGCGAGGCGCAGCGCATGGACGGCGTTAGAGACGTGGGTTGTCGCTACTCTGGCAAGCGGCGTAGTCCATCGGAAGAGACCCGCCTGGATGATCTTGGTGAAGCCAGGCTTGAGAAGCGTGTCGCCACGACCCCAGCAAAAGCTGGGCTTGATCACGACGACTGCACACGACGAGAGAACGGCGCCCGATTTGGTGTGGTTTCTGCTCGGCTGATCGACCTTCGGGTGCTTCCATGCTTAGCAGACGCAGTTCTTATCCGGAGCTGGATTTCGCTTCAAAAACGAACGGGCCTCCCTGCGTGTGTCACCAGGCAAAGTGCGATGCGGGAAATGGAAAAATAAGCGTTTGAACGTGTTTCGCGCAAGCGCTTCGTACAGATGAGACTGCGCAAACTTGACTGCAACGATGCGCAGTGAACGACTTGAATCAGAACCAATCCGCTCAAAGAGCGCTACGTACAGTGCTTCACGTGCAGTGGCAAGGAAGTCACACCTTGGAACGGTACATACGAAGAAAGTGCAAGCACCGACAACTTTGCCTCGTCAAACTGAAAGGACGGGATTAGCTCTCAACTTCCTCTGAGGGACGCCCTAATTGATGATGGAAAAGCGCTTTCAAGCAATGGCAGGACGCCAGTAAAGTGTGGATCCTACTCACCCTGAAAGCAGCTAGAGCACATTCGCTTTAGTCACGTACAGCTCGCTGGAAAGAGGGAGACCAGTCGGAAAGCCCCACCTTCTCGTTCGAAGCCTCGAAAACGAAAGCTTGCTTCACGGGGAAATGGACGCGCGGAAAGGTGTCTACCTTCAAAACGTGGTGAGTCGTTTGCAGCCAGAGCTACTTTCTCCGCTTCAGCCTTGCTCTTGGAATAAGGAGCCCAATCGGGAGGGTCCATTGGGTCCGCCTCGCTGGCGTTGCCAATTGCACCAGACGCCTGAGAAAGAATGTGGGCTCCTCGTAAAGTTCTGAATAAAGCTCGAAAGTGAGGTTAAAGCCAGCCTCTTGTTTTGCAGATTGTGGGTTGCAGAGGCGTGGGTAAACGAGAGCCCAACGCCTCGAGCTACCAAAGTGTTGAAAGACCTCCAGCAGCACGCGTGCAGGGCTTTCCCTGCAAACGAGCGGGTACGCTTGTTCTGATTGGTCGCTAGTCGAATGAACGGAGGTTAGTAGCACCTTAGATTCGCCGAAGGCCTTCCATCTTGGAGCTCACAACAAAGAAAGGCAAAGGTAAAGCTGCGCTTTTGACAAGCTCTATCCTAAGCGAGGCTGACAAGATGACTCGCAGAGTGCTGAAGTGTGAATTTCACCTTAATGTTTGCAAAGATCGTGCTGACGTGCACAAAACGAGGCACGCCAGCTGCCTTTGCCGTGTCGACCATACTTCTGGTGCCCTCAATTGGGAAGTCTGCCCACTTCCCCCAACTTTGGACCTTGGCTGCCAGATGAATGACAGCATCGCACCCCCGCATTCCTGCAGCAAAAAGGGGCTACTTACTTAGTGTCCATCCACAACACCACATAGAAAAGAAACTGCGTTCTTCCTTGCCCTTTACTGATGGGAAAACATCAAAGTCGACAGCCTGATTCAACTGTCCTTGAAAGCTCAAAGTGGCAAGTGATTCCACACAGAGAAAGAGCTTTTATACAGAAGTACATGCACCTTCGTGGATGTAACAGAGAAATCTGCTCATGTTTGCGCTTTAGCTGCAGTACAGAGGAGGTACTTGCTTTCTCTGATGGCCCCTAGACTGATTACATGCATGTTCGCATGCAACGTGAGCTTCCTTTTGCAGCTAGCTTGACAACTACCTTAACCGTCACCTGACCCAGCCAGGCTGAGACAGGGATTTAGCTTCTATTCCCCAGACTGCATAGCTATTCAATTAGTATCTCAATCAGCGGTGAGACTGCATCCCAATTGAAAGCTCTACGGGCAACTGGGCCTAGAAGCAGACCTGCAAACTGAGACACATGTCTACTGCTGATTTGCAACTGCTTTAGACCAATGAAAGTGAAGCCGTTCCCGTTGCAGAGTGACATGCTGCAGGTGGCTGGGTTGTGCAAGAAAAAACTGCCTGATTCATCAATTATGCAATGCTAGTGTGAGAACATCTCTGATTGGCAAGCGTCATCTGGTTGTGTCCCAGGCTATAATTGATGGCCCTTCATGCTGAGCCGCGCAACTCAGAAGAAGCAATAACAACCATAAATAGGACTCGGAAATCCCAGAATATTCAGATGCGGTAGCATCTGAGCAGCACAAAAGCAATCAGCCCCTGTCATACTGACACTGCCAACAGCTTGGCAGCTCCTTCGGCCACTCACCTTGCAGGATGGCTGCTCTGCTTTTCAGATCACCCCTCACAATCTCAAGTCTGCCCACAATGCCACTGGACTGAGGAGGATTTGCCTTAGTGATCGACGGTCTATCTTTTCCAGGTCCCGCTGCTGCCGCCTGCTGGAGCTTCTCGTCAGAAGTGGCGCTTCTAGACAGAGCTACCACAGAGATGCCACTTTGGATTAAGGAGTGGACCAAGTGACGGCCAACGAAGCCGGAAGCTCCAGTCACAAAGAACTTCATTCTGCTGTTCTGCTTCAATGTGATGTGTCGCAGATCTGGCCCGGAGTCCCCTGGCGCTTGTGGCTTCTCTGCTGTCGCAACAGTGTAAACCTCAAAAGCCTGCTTCAAAATGCTTCGAAGACTGACCGATGCAGGCTCCAGGAAAAGGGACAATTTGTGGGGGCAGTACCAATCCACCAGTCACAGATTTTGTCGCGTTTGATTTTGAAATGCAAATGACGGAAACCTGGTCTGGAACGAGACTCCCGGTTGTTTCCAGATGCCGATGCCAAGCTAGGTGCTGCTCATGAGCTCAAGCTCAACCACCAGTGAAGCTCAATCATGGTAAAGAAGTCTCTGCACATGGGGACGCCGGCGGACTACTGTTATAGGGATGTTGAAAGCCCACTTTCAACGCTAGCCCAGCTGCTGATGAGGGCACCGCAACAACGTGAGGAAACTAGATGCCAGGCACTCTTTTGCAGCTCGAGGTGAGTTCTTGCTGGATCAGGCTTCAGTACCCCTTTCGGAGGTTTGATGGTTTTGAGTCCGAATGAACATGATGTCTAGCTGCTGAACTAGGTAATAACTCCTCTGACGTATTAGTACAGTACTTGAAGTTGGCAAGAGAGGTCTGTCAGTAGCTGCTACTAGCTAAGTAAGTACTACACAAGCGGGCTGCTTGTGTAACAAAAGCCTTTTCTCTCTTATTGCTTTGCCAATAACGTCGGCAAAGTACTGATGTCAATGGGACTGATGCGAGCTGGGGGAATCAAAAGGAGACGCTGACGTTCTGTGACGTCTACTTGACGTCCTTCTCCAGCGTCATGCTCTTCGAACCTTGTGAGGCAGCCGCTGCTTGGAATTATTTCAGGCAGCTGGCCGCCAGCTGGCAGACATTTGGACCGAGTTAATGCAATCACCGGCAATTGATTCTGCTGTCGACACAGTACTTATTATCAGGCGGCCGCGGCATCCGGCGAAATTTGCAACAGACTACACACACGTACGCACGCACCAAAATACGTCATGCTTCGTAACCAACAGCCTACGGAGGGACTAGATCCAGGGCGTATGTACAACATATCTTATCATGTGTGCTGTGCAACGCGCACGAATGCATCGCGCAATCCATTGTCTCAAATTTCAATCAATCGTTGATCGCGGGTTTCTTGAAGCGCACTGGCTTTGCTGCAGTTCCCGACTGGCCCGTACCTATCCACCAGCGCAACGGCACTGAAAATAGCTGCGTGTATTTTCGCCTCACTAATTTCAAACTTCCTGCACTGAAATTACCGGTATAGGTAGCCATCCTCCTACAAATAGCATTGTAGTGCTCATCAGAACAGCTCGGGGCAGTCCAAATTGCAGTGGTAGGGAGGACAGTACAGTTGAAATGAATAGGATAGAGCTAGCTCACTCTCATATTAGTTTGTCGATTTACCGAACACTAACCCAGGAGTCAACTGCTGTGCAACCGTACTACCCAGCTAAATTCCCAAACCAAATAAACCCTACTACTATACCTGTTTGTTCCTATTATTACAACCCACTGTTCACTAGTACTAAACATAGATTGTCCCAACTACTGGTAGCTCTATTTAGGGGTGCATCATGCAGACTGCACTATTTAGTACCAGTGCACTGATCCGTTATATCGACAGCTAGCACTCAGATACTAGCAGGCCGTACTTCTACCGTTTAGCTAGGAACGTACAGTCGGTGATGCGTTCACTGTCAAACGGTTTGGGTACGCTTCCTGTACGTCTAGGGCGGTGAGGGCCTTCACAGAAGCATCGAAGTTGCACGCAGCACTACTTAGGCATCAAAACCTGAATAGTGAAACCTGGGCAGAAGTTGTGCTTCCACAAGAAATGGGGGTGAGCTGCAATGTGGACAATGGCGAAAGGGTGAAGAGTATCTCGTACATGGTTTGAACGAGACTTGCCTTGTCTGTCGAGCGGATCTGCAGCAAACAGACGGAAGCGTTGACGCTCAACTTGAAAGGCATAGCAGCACCGGGGAAAAGCTACTTTGAAAACGAAGCTCAGTGATCTACCGTGAGTCCGGTCCTATAAAGCAGATAGGGGCCTTGAGCAATCGCTCATCGGATCGTGCACTGCTAATAGCAGCAGTGCAGTGCTTCTGGAGAGAAGAGCCTTCAGGACTTGTTGGGATACATCCCCAGGCACGCCTCCGAGTATGGTGAGTATTTCCTCCCTCCTTTTGTACAGTCGAACCGCGATTGACGCTCCCCTAGGATATCATGGGGGCCAAAAGCAGTTGGTAAAGAGTCCAGGAATGCTCCTCTTCCAAGCTACGTTTGCGTTTGGAAGCGGCCAAGGTTTAGGAGCCACAGTTTCTGTCAAGGTTTACTGCAGATCCCTTGCCTCGTTGCTTCTCCCTCAACATGACCACAACCGACCCTTAAGGAGCAAGCAGTGCACTTGGGAAGGCTGGCTTCTTGCTGGAAACCCTCTTTCCAGAACCTGCCAGTTCACTGCAAATTCGCACTGCCCACCAGGTTTACATTTCTTCAAAGCTTGCGCTCTCTGCATACTGATTTGAGCGCCCAGGGTGACACCTGTCTTGGCAACACTTGCTATGCAGGCTGGGAATACAACCTTTGAGGGGATTCCCGCTATTTTGATGGGGTTTTTCACCAGCACTGCGCAAAGCGTCCCAGTGATCGAGCTCGGCTTCTACGTCCTGTCAGCAAACATCTTGCTGCTGAGCTGGACAACTAGAGCGGCGACTTCGGACCCATCTGCAGTAAGCCCAATGACTAGAATGCGAAACAGTCTGAGTTCCAAGAAGAAGTGAATCACGTTCACCTCCACGTCTGAGTCCAGCAGGGGTACTTTGTGTTGCACTTCAGGGGCGAGGAAAAGGTTGCTTTCAGGTCATACTTATGTTCTTCCGCTCTGTCTTTCGAGCTTAGGTGCGACAATCTAGATCGTTTTCAGCTTGTAGTAGACTTTTCAAGCCCTGTTTGATCTGAACAATTTAGGGTTCTTGATTCCGACATTGAACCGGTCGCATATTGTTTTGCTGCCTTTGCTGACTCCTCCCTCTGCTTCTTGGTCTAAATCTCTTGGTTAACGAACACCACATCTATGCTATCAGGCTGTACTTTCATAAGCTCACAACATACCACAAAAGAATAGGTCATAACCCATAACAAAACAAAGCGTTGTTTCAGAGTTTCTGCAATCAAGGGCCACGAAATTTGACGTTCTTTTCTCCATATTTTTAGGCAGCCCACCGGCTCGGCGTTTCGATTGGCCGGCTTGCCCCCGACTTCAACGTGGGCTTTCTCCTAGTCTTTGCTGCGCTTTACTTCGGAGCGTCCCTATCTAGTTGGGGCCTCGCCTGGACTCTTCTGTGCCTGGCGCTGGTGACGTGTCCCAAGCCCATTGAGTGGGATTTTATAGCCGCGATCCTCAAGTCGACCTTCTTTGGCACGACCGTAAAGGCGGAAACATTCATGACCGACTTGTTGCGGATTGCGCGGGAGCTGGGTGTCAGACAGGGGCTGCCGCAAGGTAAGCAAAATCGATCATCGTGCCATTCGATACACAATGGCTCAAGAATAATGGCATAAAGACAGGAGATGGATCAAAAGACGTCCATGAATGAGTCTCTGCAAATTGCAAGCGAGCCGGGTGTCAGACACGGCTGCCGCAAGGTAAGCAGAATCTGCTGAGACCTTGATTGGGAAGCAGCGTAAGAGCGGAGTTTGTCTGATGCAAGCTCCCCATCTGTCGTCGAGATCTCTCCGATATTAGCCATCCCATCCGTTTTAGTACTATCCTATAAAGCTGTAGGAGCGGTCAAATATTTATATGTCCTAAATTGTTCCTCAAAGTTTTTATGTAGCCTCTGGCCTGAAGATATCAAACGTACGCTTTTGTAGCTTCCTACTAAGACAGCTTTATCTTGCGAACAGGCGGGCCGGTTTGCAGTCGAATTTACGTGCCACTAAGGGCGGGGCCCATTTTTGTGGAACAACCAGACTGGTCAACCGGTCCCATGACGTGCAAACGTCTTTTCTGGATCGTGAATACGACAACTTGCGGTCGCCAGAGAACTCAAGCGAAGATTGTGGATGCAGATGCTATGGTGGATGTCGTCAAGTTCGAGCTGCCCTTTATGGCTCCGGTCTTCCTCCTAATCGACGCCCGCCACGTGCACTTCACCCACGTGGCGCCGTCGTGTGAGCTCTTCGAGAGCCTGTGAGTCTCCGTGCTTGAAGAAGCTGGGCTGACATCACGTGACCTGGTCGAACCCTCCGCTTGAGGTCATCAGTCTCGTCAGAGACGTCAGAAGTTTTGCGGTGGCCTTTGTTCGCCCTTCGTTGACTTCAACGGCCATTGAAAGATACGCCAAGATAGGACTGAAATTCAGCAAACACTTTGTACACTCTTTCGATGCCTGGGCTCACATCAATGACTGGCAATCCTCGGTCAATCTAGGCTTGGATTCAACTGGGTTACACCCCGTCTAATTCGAACCCGGAACCTTCCAAAATTTCTATGAGGTTTGAACGGCACGCAATTACTTCGAGCAGAGTCCAAAAAGTTCTCAAAAAGGAGTTCTAACATATATTATCTTTGACGATCTGATACTCCTTCGCTTCCCAGTTGACACCTTGTTCTTCCGTCGGTTCTGACTGGCCGCTAACGTGATGCAAGCGAACGGTTTCTCGCACTCGCTGACGTCATAGTCTGCTGCTTTCAGGGCGGGAGACTGGTTCCTGGGGCCGAACACGCTCACGGCGAAGAGCCCCCCATTGAAGAACCCCCAGTGGCTGCTCCACCGGGCGCTGACGTCACCCATCAACACCGACCGCAACGGAATCGACTCCATGATGGGCAGTATGTTGGTTCGGGCGCTCACCGTATTTAGCGACCTGAGCCGCGAGCTGCGGAAGAAGCACGGGAGCGTGATAGACTTGTGCGACGAGTTTGAGAACATCATGGTGAGAGAGATTGATTCGAATCAGTTTCTCAAAGTGATTGTAGAGAGCTGCAAAGAAGAATACGAAGTTCGGGCCACGCCTCCCCTGCTTCGCACCCATGTTAATCGCCCAAGCATCTCATTATTGCACTGTCTACGCCAGAATCTGCTTATGATGGCTCACGATTATTCTTCTCAACAACTCCTCTGCGATGGTTCGGACTGATTTTGAGGATTCGTAGCACACGCGTACATTTTTGAGGGTAAAGTAAGGCTTCCTTGATGGTCTGATTGCTCAGCTTTGATGATCAAGTCCCAAACTCCGGTGCTTGCCTCCCTGTGAGAGCACTTCGCATGTAAACTGTCTGGTAGACGAAAGGCAGATCGGCAAAGCGAAGGCCTTCCAATAAAGAGGCCTGCGTTCTGATTCCTCGTCCCCAAGCGACGCAATGTGCATTTTTCATAATCGTCGCGATCGAATCCGCATCTTCTAAAGCGTAGTGAGGAAGGAGCACGGAATCTCCTCGAATATTGAAACTTCCTCCTGCTCGTTTGATCACAGCGACGCCCTATGATTCTCAGAGTATCCTTTCGCAGGTGGCGGCACATCAAAGCGCCATCTTCGGTCAGAAGTACATCGACCGTTACCCCCACATCGCTGCTGACATCAACTTCACGGCAGCAAAGTATTTCTGCCTGTCTAACACCGTCAACATGAAAGCATGGATGCCGTGGGAGTTGCTCCCCTTCATTCGGGCGCGAAAGCGCGTCTACAGCTCGCTTTTGTGGGCAGTAGAACACAGCGAGTCGCCGCTGGTTGCCATCGTCAAGAAAGCCCACGAGGAGGTGAGGACACATATCTGAACGTGGGTTACCTGATAGTAGTTCCTTTAACACTCTACTTATAGGGATAGACACGTGTTTAGAAACGTGTTTAGAAAGTCCTTTCACCTATAAAGAGAGGTCCGCTTCCGTGCTTCCAATCGAGGCCTCTGAGAGGACGGGCTAAGAGTGTCGGTATTTTGATCTTTGAGGAGATTTTCCAGTGGATAATGTAGGCAGTGTGCAGACCTTCAGCGGAGCATCGGACTCAGAACTACGATTCAGAGCGTTCACAGCACTCGATACCTGCACTGCCAGAAAGCTTCAATTGAGCCCACATTAGCAGTGGGCTTCTTGTGAACAATATAATTCAAACGTATTCGTTTGTTAGATAGTCACTCAAGGGGAATGGCGTCCTACTCCAGAATGCTCCTTGGAGCACTAAACGGTACTCGGGTTTTGCGCGAAGCAGATTCGAACGAATTTTGTGTCAAGCAATGCGCCCAGTAAGTTAGCGCGCAGCCTCTACTTCCAAAGCAAAGAGCTCTCTCCTCCTTTTCTGAAACGCGTCCTTACCTGGTTGGCAGGGCAAGATAAGCTGAGAAGAGATGATGGGCACGTTCCTGCTCTTCACATATGCCCTGGCGCCTTCCCGTACCGTCGTATACGCGCTCGCCCTCTTATCGAGTTTGCCAAACGAGCACGACCGTATTGCCAAGGAAGTTCGCACGAGGTTAATTCCCTTGCTTAATATAAAGACGGGCAAGGTCGATCCGCGCGAGTGGGCACGTGGATGAAGGACCTGGACGACATGGATAACCTCAAGCGATGCGTGAGGTAAGCGATGACGTCAAAAGAGCATGGGTCACTCGAATCGCGACGAGAGCAGAGTTGCGGAGGCTTCTATAAGAAGCGCTTCAGGTCTTCAGGCGACGATGGAGTCATCTATGAGAACGCCTCGTTCTTTCTGAGTTATCCGACAGCTTTTCAACGAGGTCAGGCGGAGTGGCAGGTCACGGTCTGATGTAGACCAGGCAATTCAGAATCTCTAATTTTATCCGATCGAAACACTATTTCGAAACGGCTCCGTGTCTGGTGGGCTTCAGGCAAAGCTCATGATTCTGACTACATTGCTTTAGAGGAAAGAGTAGGTTCGGGCAGAAAGGCTCGTGTCTCACTCTGCTCCAATACTTCCGAGAAATCTCGAGCGAACGCATTGCACATCTTTTCCTGCTTCCCTGCGTCAGGGAGTAGATAGATTTAAGCGAACAAGCTGCGAATATCTTTCTGCGTCTCTGCTTCAGGGAGACGCTACGTTTGTACCCCGGGGTTCCGCTGCTCATCCCGCAAGTTGCGGCCCGCGATTTGCGGGTGGGCTCCTGGGACGTCAACAGGGGCGCCATCATTTTTACGTCACCCTTTCTGTCGCACCGGGATCGAAACGTCCACCCGGACCCCGACATGTGAGACCGCTTCCTTTGCACAGCAAAAATGATTAAAGTCCCAATGTTTTTGCTTTGAAAGAAGATGTAAAATTGGCAGAAAGGGTGTCGCCAAGACATGTTTCTTTCGAGAAAATCCAAATCTCTCTCTTCAGCCCTACGGACCGGTCTCCACTGTGTGTCTGACAGTTCCTATAGAAGCGAAGCATGTGAGCTAGCTCTCTGAGGTCAAATAAGCGAGTGTTCTGTAATGCTGGAAATGAGCGCTGATGGTTTTCAGAGGTGCTCGCCTTGAAAGCACTTTTTCAAAATGCGTTTATATTCATCAAGCCTCCATAATCTCGCCGCGTCTTTCACCTGACAGTTCGTACAGCTTGCTCCGTGTTACATTCCACTTGCTCCGACACAGCTCAGAACTCACGCTGACCACAAGAAGAGCTTTGAATAAACCCAAGTTTCCGTCGTCAGGTACGATTCGAGCCGCAGTCTGGAGACTGGCGCTCCGCTCCCTGACGGCACCTCCACATTTTTCCCCTTCTCCGTCGGCCCCCGTTCCTGTGCGGGCCAGTTTTACTCGGAGCTTTTCGTCCAAGGCGCTGTGGCTATCGCTCTTCAGGATCACGAATTTGAGGCGAAAGGGCCGGTGCCACCACCGGCTATGGTTGCGTTCTGTCAGCCTATGGCGCCCGCCTATGCGAGGATCAGGGCGGCCCCGAGTGTCGGGAAGAAGCAGCAACCGCAGGTGCGGGAAACGTTCCGCGATTTGAGCCCTTGATGTTTGGAAAAGTTTTTGAGGCTCCCTTTGAAATGGGCGCGGTGTCTTCTTCTGGACTTCAGTTTCCGTTCACTCGGTCTTTTTTCTGACGGCAATCCAGCTGCCCGAATCGCTCGTCGAATCAGATGCTTAATAATGCGTTACTTTCTGAACCCTCATTCTGATCTGATTCCTCTCTTCTTTAGCAAAGCAGCAGTGGGGTTGGCTCCCAGTAATGGATTTTACACCCACCTCTTCTTGAACATGGCTTCCTCGCTTAAGAGTTTTCAAACGCGTTAGTCCATCCCGGACCTTTTACAACTCCCCTTCGTCTTCTGTACAGGTGTCGACTCCAACCGTCAGCAGCAATTCGCCGGTTGCGGATCTAGAGTGCAAAGTGGAGGCGCCGCATCTGGAGAATGTTGACGTCATCACGATCCTCTTCGCGTCCACTCATGGCACGTCGCGGGCGTTCGCGGACCGGCTCGCTAGAAGTCTCCAAGAATCGGACGTCGCTGCGCTCGAGCCCGCTCCTTTCATCCGGGTACGTACCAGAGTTTGAGACCCGTTTAACGAATCTAGTGGGGCTTTGAAATTCCAACAGATTCTGGCAGGTCTTTGATATGAATCCTGTGGAGACAATTCGTGCAAAGACGTTTCTCTTTATCAGATCCGATCTGATTGGTATCGTGATTTGGACTATCGCGAAAGTTCGCCACGAATGATCCGGATGTTTGTATGTTGCTTCCGGGCTAAGTTCGCTCTCCTCACATAGAAACAATGGAGATCAGATTGAGATTGAGACCTTACCTTCTGTACTTTTACCAAGCTTTAATCAAAAGTCTCGTTTATCGGCTCCGCATGAGAACGCATCGCAGGTGTTCAAGAACCCGCTGACCTGACGTCCGCAAATCTGTCCGCAGGTCTGCGACGCCGCGCGCTACCAGCCGCCGGAGCTCGCGCGCGAGTCGCTCGTCATCTTTTTGGTGTCAACTTTCGGTCACAACCAGCCGCCCTACTCCGGGGCGGCCCTCAAGGCGTTTGTAAACGACCCCGGCACAAAACTACCCGGATTAACTTACACCGTTTTTGCGCTCGGCAACTCGGTTTACCCAAGCTTCTGCAGCTTCGGCAAACTGTTCGATAAGCGCCTCGCGGAAGTGGGCGCCCGGAGGCTGATGCCGATTACGCTATGCGACGAGGTGGGCTGTTTTGTACGACGTTTCTGATGATTCTTAAATAGCTCTAGGAGAGTGTAATCTTTGCAGAACGCGATGGAGAATCTTCAAAGCGATCTGAGGTTCACAAGTTGGGTTTTTCTAGTTTGGGATAGCTCTTATATAGCCCTTGGAGAGTCCGAGTGTAGAGTAAAAAGTGGACCAACCGCGATCGTTCCGAAGTACGTTCGTCGGTCACGTTCTCCCGTTCAGCGAGAATGGCGTCTCTGATTCTTTCCGTGCGTACATTTTGGCGCAGATCGAGGATCAGGAGGGGGCCTTTGTTGCGTTTCTCGACCGAGTGACCGAAGTCCTCTACAGCTCCTTGGAAGGGATCCCTTCGAGTAAGTCAACCGACCTGACTGTGGCGCGTTATGCACGCGTATCTTTTCTGAGTGTTGATCCTGCAAGGAAAATAAGCAAGGACTCAATGATCAAATTCACAACCAGCTACGCCTGGCGACAGGATCGAGCGCTTGCACGCCTTCATTACTTGACGAGTTTTCAGCTTTTGCTCGGATTGGTTGAGACCGTTCTGGAAGGCTAAGCTTCCTCACTGTCAATCCCAGGTCCCGCCAGTGTGCTGCCGTCGTCTTCCGGCGCACCACGGACCGCTCGCCCGAGCGGAAAGACGAGTGTAAATAAGCACAAGAGTGACGTCACACGTACGGTGAAGTCTGAGCAGCCCCTCGGTCCCCGCTTCCGGTTGGTTGAGCTGGGGAGGGGGCGCGTCGGACGTCAGCGCGGAGACAGCGACGTCAGCGAGGGATCCCCCAAGGGCACCCGCGACAACCCTCTGGAGTTCCAGGTAGGCCACGTGTCGAAGTTCTTGCGACGAAGCTCGATTGCACCAGGCAACGAAGTTAAGGCACGAAGCAACGGTGTCATTGCTTTTCGAGAGATTCTTGTCATCAAGGAGGCAGTGAAGCGCGCTGAATTGCAGAGCTTTTCGTTTGGCTTCCAAGGTGGGACGAAAAAGCAGACGATTCCTGAGACCTCGTACCGTTCAGGACATTGGAAGAAGTGATCATATCAAGTGGCAAGAGACTTGGTGATTCATGATGTTCGCACCGCGGTTTTCGCTCTTCTAATCCGATGGAAAGGCCGATTTTTGGTAGCCAGATGTACTGGCTCCTTTGATCCAACGTTCCCGAATTCGTCCCGACTGTCCGAATTTGTGTCAATACTAGAATGTTCCTAACTACTGGTTCCAAAAATTCAAGAAAACCTCGTGAGCAAATGGCACCTTTTTATGCTTCGGAGATTTTCTGTGCAGGTCCTGAGCAACAAGTGCCTTCGCCCCGACACTACCCTGGGACAGGTCCGCAACGTCGCGCTGCGGATGCCTTCGGACGGTTCGATCTCGTACCAGCCAGGAGATATATTCGTGGTGTACCCAGGTATGCTCTTATCCCGCCTCTAGTTACTCCGCTTGCCGACGCATGATTTTACTTGCAATTGAACCGGTGGATTCGTATTCGACCGGTGGAACCGTTTTTTGAGCTCCAAGACTGCAACATGACAGATCTGCTTTTTACATCATATTGCTGTTGCAGGAAAGATTTGCAAGGGGAGTACTGATGAACCCTTGAACAAGTCAAGGAGCGTAAGAGAAGGCGTCCTTGACAGCCAACAATTGAGTAGCATCAATTCAGAACAGGCTAGGTTCCAGACCTCTCCAGAGCAACTCGGATACACTGGGGTCTTCAGGCTGACATGATCCGCTATACAAGGGCTGCATTCAGTGGATTGGGCGTAATTTCTGCACACACAAACCTCTTCAATGAAAAATTCTCCTCTCAAGTTCATCTTCGACAAATTACCCGCACAAATCCTCAAACCATGCATCTCTTCTGCAGTGAACCGGCTCGACTTAGTCGTCTCTTTGGCAACACGCCTAGGCATCCAGGATCTTGACCTCGAGTTTGAACTGCGGCCTTTGGCCCCGGAGAAGGTTCAACTGCAATCGCCCTTCCCCGAGAGGATGACGTACTGGCTCGCGCTGACGTCATACCTTGCGATTCAACGGGTTCCTCAGCCCCACTTATTGCAGATCCTGCGGCAGTATACCGACGACTCGGAAGAGGTAAGACTTTGTGAGATCACCGACTTTACTCAGTCAGTACGCACGTTTCTGGCCTCTTGACACAACCGGCTTTTTTGTCCGGTAGCTGGGCGGATGTGTCAAAGCAAAAGTTCGGAAAGGCGGCGACGCCCTCGCTCGATTTTCGTGCAGACGTCGCCGGCGAAGTTTAGGGGCCGAATCTGCAGAGAGCAGTAAATGCGAACCCCATCGGACGATCCGCAGGGTTGAAGTTGGGGGATGCCCCCATCGATCGACGAATCCGAACTTTTCTTGCCGGGACCATGAGCGTGCCTACTGACTGTACTAGGAGACAACCACGTGGCGCCTGCAAGGACTTTTCGTTCATACAGTCCGGTCTATGAATCCATCAGATTCAACTGAGAGACGCATGTTTCATCCTTTTGAACGAGTTCAACCCGAATCTGTTATCCAACACTTTGCTTTACAAACCATTTGAGGAGACCGACTGCCACGCTCCTGGGTTGGTCAGCTCGTTGGCCCTCCATCGACTAGAACAGAGTCTGCCTTCTTTTATGACGTCAGACCGTTATCATACCTTCCCAAACCCTTCTTTCCATACCGCTTCGCAGGCAGCCCGGCTCGCCATGCTGGCAAAAGGCGGTCCCAAGTACACGGAATGGGCTCTTGGAAGCCACTCTCTATTGGAGACGCTGTACCAGGTTCCCTCGTGCAAGCCGAGCGTTGGGCACCTCTTCGAGTGCCTCCCCCACCTGCAGCCGCGCATGTACTCGCTTTCCTCCTCGCCGCTGTATCTTCCGGGGGAAGCGCATCTCACGGTCGCAGAGGTAAATGCTGGAGTGTTACTCTTTGCGCTTGTTTTGGTCTCCAGCCTCTCTCCAGCCCTGTTCCACCTCCGGATTCAAAAAACCTGAAACCTGGCAATCAATTGCACGAATGGACTTCATACAGTACATTTCAAGCGCCGGAAAGAACGACTGCCGTGCCTAAAGGCGAAGTGCAAATTATCCTTAGGTCTCCGCTGGTGGGTTGTTCAATCTCGGAAAATAAGGAAGATCAAGAAAGGGCGCAAGGATCTAAAATTGGGAGGTGATCACTTTCAACGGAGCCCAATTGCCCACACGCCTCTCGACCCACTTGTATTCGCTCAACAGTAACTCAGCAACCAGATCCTAAGATCTTTACACCCCAAAGTGAACTCTTGAACCCCAATGTTCACCCACTAGTCTACCTCACCAGGTGATTTACCAATCCCACGAGCACGCGTGGCGGCGCGGCGTGTGCTCCACGTTCCTGGGAACGGAACGCATGATTCCGTCCTCTGCGGCGGACGACCGCCAGAAACTTCTCGGGTTTGTGATGCCCAACCCGGGGTTCCTTCTCCCAGAGGACGTCCGTACACCAATCATCATGATTGGCATGGGCTCGGGAATTGCTCCCTTCCGGGCCTTCTGGCAGGAACGGTTGGTTCGCGCCGAGGTGAGTGACGCTTCTCTAGAGCAACCTGCTAGTTTTAGTGCAGCATCATGTGCAAGTTAGTCATTCTGCTACTAAGTGGAAAATTTTGAGTCAGTTAACACCGATTCTTGGCAGGAGTGGTTGGTTCGCGCCAAGGCAAGCCTCCCGGTCTACAATTCTTGTGTCGATACGACTGATGTTTCAAGAAACTCAGGACGTCGTTCTCTGTCTGCGGAAAGTAACAATACTGGCTCAGACGCTGCCTCCAGTTTGCCGCGTGAATCGGGCATACGAGATGAGAACGACGAAACGAAAACGAGAGCCCTTGCGAGAACGAGTCAGCTCGTAACCAGTCCGTCTAATCTGACGTTCCAGTCTCAACGGCTTATCTTTGCAGAAACTTTGGTGAAAATGTTCAGAGATCCGGTCCCTGTTTGGTGACCAAAAAGCAGGAACCAAGTTTCGTGGCGTTGTTTACTCCTTCCAGTTGATATTCGCGGCGACCGCGACAGTGCTACCACTGCTATGCAGACGTCCGCGATCCGTTTTTCGAAGTGCTCCTTAATCCGCTGCTTTTAACCTGTAGGAATCAAAAAGTGGTGGGCAACTTGGGGATGCGCTGATGTACGTCGGTTTCCAGAGCAGCGTCAACTCGTGCTATTTGGACGAGCTGCAAGACGCAAAGGCGGGTGGCGCGCTTTCTAAGGTAAGGGTAACTGAAGTAACCCTAGTGGGTTCCAGTAACCAGCCCAATCATACTCATTTTCAGCCAGGTGGCCGTCCACTTGTTGAGGTGTGCGACAGGTTCCGAAGAGAAGTCCGGTACTGGGGTGCCTTGGTGTCGGGAAGGAACGGTAAAGGTCTTGTCGGCTTGAAGGGTTGATCCATGGATTCGCGAAGGAAAATTCACCGTTGTGCAAGACACGTTGTTTTTAGAACAGGGAGCGCGTAGGATTGAGAACGTACTCATAGAGGGCTAGGAAAAATAGGGGTTCCGAGTTCTTCTAGGAATCTGAATTCAGGGTTCAGAGACCAAATAGGTCTTCGACTTTGATTACACTGCCAGCTCTGTCAAAGTACGTGCGGATATGCGCCATGCAAACGAAGTGCTGCGGTCAACGTTCAGAGACGTGGCTTAACTTTTGCGTCGCCAACAGTTACAATCAAAGGTTGAGGGCTTGTCGACTAAACAGGCTCCGAGAGTTCTTTCGCCGAAAATTTCATTCGTAAGCACGAGCCTGGTTCAATTAGCCACAGGGCAATACAACTTGACCGTACACGCTTTCAAAACCACAGTTTGGCACTACTTTGTGCAAGCTCTTCTGGGAGGACGCGGTTCCGCTGAGAGTCGCCTGTTTCCATATGCTTTTCTACAGCTGCGAGTGGTGTTGAGCCGTGAGGGAGAGCGCAAGTACGTCACGCACGCACTCGCAGAGGATCAGTGGTCGCTGTGGCACAATCACCTGAGCAAAGGGGCGGTGGTCTACATCTGCGGGACAATCGACGCCGCAAATGACGTCAGATCCACCATGCTGGATGTCTTGAAGGAGGTGGGGGGAACGCGTTCACAGTCGCAGAAGCTTCGAGACAGCAACGATCTGCGGCGATTGTGAATGAATCCAATCGGCGGAATGTAAACCAGTCCAATTGGCAGAAAGGGTGGAAGTGGGTGGCCTGCAAATGCGCGTAGAAAGGCAAGGGTTAATATCTAGTAGCAAGGGTGTTCCGTACTCGCGCTTTGAGTTGATGTTTTTGACAACCGACAAGAGTCGCTTCGCTTCGTCGGTCGCTTACCAGCGCTCAGGTAGTCGGCTTTTCTGCGTGAATTCTTTCAGATCCTGGCTATCGGCGATCACTCAACGGGAATTACCTTTTACAACTCAACGGTGCTTCAAATTGCAGGCCGGAGGCATGGCTGAAGACGAGGCTGCAGCTTGGTTGGAAAGCGCTCGCGACAGTGGGCGGTACAAGGAGGAGGTCTTCGGCGAGAGTACCCAGTCCTACTCAAAGACACGGATGGAGGCACGACTCCGGAAAGCAAGGTACGTTTGCGATCTGTCGTCTCGTTATGATTAACTAAAAGTCAGCCCCGTGGTTGCTTTACGCACAAGCGAAAACCCTGTCTGACCTTGGAAGCACGTGTCAAGCTTTCAAAGGGAGCCTCTTCGTAGATGGAAATTTTGCAGAAAGTATAAGAAGCTTGGCCGCTATGGTTCTGCTTTTTGCACGGTTACCAAAGCTTCTAGGATTTTTTCGACCTTCTCTTGCCCAAGACGTACAATACTGACCGCTTTTCCCGGCCCCCTCCGATCAAATTGGTGAACATTTGTGCTCACGCGTTGACTTGCAGGGCAAAGCTCCGCACTGCTTTCGCCCTCCTTGGTGCGAAGGGGATTCAGCGCATCTTGGAAACCGCTCCACCAGACCTTTAGACGACGATACGCTGCTGAGAAGCATACCTCCGAGTCTGGTCGTACGTTCAGCTTTGGAACCTACTACTATCCTGGCGCGAAAGGATTGTTCTTGAACCAGCCTTTTTCAAGCACTTGTTGGCGGAGACTCAGCCGTACTGGTCGTTGTATACGGCCCCGGAACAATCCTGTGTTTCAGATTGGATTCACGGTGGCATGCAGCGGTAACAGCTGATGCTACCCAGGGGCTCCTTAGGGGCCCGCTCCCAATTTCGGTGACTGAAGCCTCGATCATAGGTTTGCAGCACATGGCATGCCTACTATGGTGACTGAAAAGATGTAATAGCGAAAGGTTGAGCCAGAGCTTCGATCTGGGTTTTGCGTAGCTTAATTGCAGATATGCATGTCCGATCGGACCACATATTGAACGTACTGGCCCGGGCTGTCCGACAACGACACGGTGCATGACGCCACGGTGCGGCTTCACAGTATAGCGTACAGCCATGGCCGCAACGAACGAAAACTTTTGAATCTCAACCAGCATGCACGTGTTGCGCAGTCATATGCATGAGCGAACTTCAGTTTGGAAGAGTGGGCAACCATCATTGAAGTTGTCCGACTTACCGGCTGGCGCATCCGACAGTTTGCAAAGCTATTCTGACCGGATACTGGCACTGACAACATGCTTGCATCATGGCATGCCGCGCAGGCTCCATGGTTGCTCAAACAGAAATTTCAAAAGTGGTGTCAATGAGGGGCCTGTGCGCCATGAGCCAGACACAGAACAACCACATGGAAATTGACTCTGACCTTCTCAGCATTCATCTGAACACCAGTACTGACATTCAGAAAAAGGCGTGGCTTGACTGTATATGAAGCGGTTTCCGGCCTTACAACACTGCTCGACACGGTAACATTCACACCTGTACCGACACTACGACTCAGTTCGCTACTGGATCCCCTCAGCTTGCGTCCATCGCATCCGTTGCCACTAGCGTGTCGCTCTCGTGCTGCACAGCATTAAACTTCTCCGCTAGAGTACCGGTCCGAACCACACCACTCAGGAACGTCTTAAACTTAGCGCTGCTCGTCTCCGCATCCGGGATCTTAGCGAGCGAGTGAATGGCCCTCAGAGCGCTTCGAATCATGTCCTCGTTCCGGTCCACTTCCTGCTTCACGGCGTCCGTCTTCACCTTCTTGGTCACCGTTGCTTGCAGAGGCTCCACCAGCGCATCCAACTCTGCGGCAAAGCGTGGAGTTGAGAGTTGAACCGGGACGTGCCCTTGTTTGTCAAAACACCCAATCTAAATCCTACGGCTGTCAAAATCGCTGCGCTGACTTAAAAAGCGTTTGGTTGGAGCTTGCTACCAAGCTGCACCGGAACTCAGCGCTTACAAAATTCTTTGCTGTTGGAACGACCAACCGTGCTTTTTCTGGAAGATTCGTTGTTCAATCCGGTTGATAAACGTGAGCTGCAGGCCATCTTCTCGAGAAGAACTTCCGAACCAGGTTTCCAAGATCCTTTCTGATGTTTTAAGGTCTGCATAGCCTGCACCAGTTCTACACTTTGCCAAGCCGCAGGGTAGAAGACTCGTCATCAGAATTCCCTCAGCATCACATAAGCTTGGCATCACATTACGGATATGTACTAACACCCTACTCAAAGAGCAGCGTGACATCACGCTCACCTGCGACAACCGCCGGCCCACATGTGACCGCGAGCTTGGACAGGATGAGGTGACACGGCATCTTGACGTCAGCGTGATCCCCGAGGCCGCTCACGAGGTACGGGTTGATGAAGCGCGACGGGTCAATGCGGTCCAGGCACGCGTCGAGTAACGTGTCCATGCACTCGAAGGCCGTCTTCCGGATTTCCAGGCCGTCGTCGATTGTGTGCTTGAACGGGCCTAGGTCGACCACCCTGTAAAGGTTTGCGGCAAAGGGATGAGAACTTGGTTCTTGACGATGGGCCTTGAAAACGATCTGCTTTTCGAAGGGGCTTGAACGCCTGTGCTCTTAGATATGAGAGCGCTTTGGCCTGATGCAGTCAGGACGCATAAGAAGGGGCTTCAAGCGAAACGCCTCACTTCGAGATCGCATAATCGGGCTACTCAAACACCGATCGCCCTTGCAATCAAAGAACGGGCAGAGGGGACGAAAGGCACTGCCTGGGACCAAAGTTACCAAACCAGACGTTTATAGTGATACGAATCGTAAACCCTACGTCCCCAAGCTTTGCAAACGCGATCGCACCTGATTAGCTCCTCCTTGACAAGTGTCAGGTCGTACAACTTGGGCCGTATCGAACTCATGGACGTTACTTCACTTTTGAGACCAAGACCACTAGAACAGCTTAGACCCGAATTGCAAACTCTGACCCACCTGATGAGCTTCTTATTAAACAGCGTCAGGTCGATATAGCTTCACCAGTTTTCGAACCCTCAGGCACGCCAATCATCCTTAACATCCGCCGGAGACAAAAGCACTGACGTAGCTCACACCCTGAACTTCAAACCCAACCCAATCCAGAAATCTTAGCCAACCCAATAGTAGCTATGACCCACCTGATGAGCTCTTTCTTAACCAGCGTCAGGTCGTACAGCTTGGGCAGCAGCCCCGGGAGGTGATCCGCCACCAGCCCGGCCTTGTTGTGCGCTGCCGTGCTGAGCGCCGACACCGTCGCGCGCCGCACGTGGCGGTCGGAATCTTCGATCAAGCTCAGGAACTCGGCGATCGACGCCTGGATGAAGGAATCGACGGCCTGCGGACCCTCCACGATAGTGAACTTGAGGGCTGTCACGACGGTGGCGCGCGTGAACGCGGACGGGTTCTTGGTGTGCTCCTGCGCAGGGTTTGCGGGGTTGGCGTTAGCTTTAGAGCAAGTAGGACGAGTCTTTGGAGTGATCTTGTGCACGGTTAGACTGGCGGGGGTAGGGTGAAAATGAAGTGCAGTATGTTCGTTTGTTCCGTGGTTTTCACCTACTGTGTTTGGTGTACTCTTACGACAAAAGAATCAAAGATGCACGGTCTTCATGCCTTTTTTCGATTCTTTTATGTGTGCTTCCTGCCGTGATGCGCAGCAACGTGGACGCTCTGAAGGAGCTTCGGGTGTCTGAGTTTCGTGGTCGGAGTGTTCAGTCCAGTCGTTTCATTCATTCGTTGCGGAGGTTTCGTAAGCGGATTTGACAAGCTTCAATCCTCACAAATTAAGCGGAAATCTGTTCCGGAGCAGACGCAACTTCTTTCAAGACTCTTCAAACAGCTGGACGGAGCAAAGCAATCTGAGTTCACGGCTTGGACTCTTTTCGGAACAGGAACTCTGTTCCCGAAGAAGCGATGTATCCGTAGATCAAAGCCGCTGCCCAACTGGTACAATCACGAGTACGTTATGCTCAGCGGTCATGTTCTTACCTGGAGGTCCGGTACAATCCTCGCGGGCTCGATAAGCGCCAGCTTCCCGAGGCACTCGGCGACGACGTTCCGCACGCCCTCCTCCTCGCTCTCGCAGTGGGAGAAGAGCAGCCGCAGGATCTTGTCCACGTCAGCAGACTGGAGCTCCACCTGGCGGGACACGTGGACGGGCTGCCGGGCAATCACCTGCAGACAAAGGGAGAGACTATTTGAGGATGTTTCTGAGGAAGCAATCCAGGGAAGCAATCCAGGAAAGCCAGCTGCGCTGCCCCCTAAATTGGTGTTTCTCACCAGATTGTCCTAGCGGACGACTGAGAATTGTGACTTTCGAACAAATATTGAAAAACTTGAGAGAGTTTGAGAGAGCTCCGCACCCAACCTGACGCTTTCGTCTATGAGAACGGGGTGCACTAAGAACAAGAATGGCTCTACCCTTGCCGAGTCGAGCTTCGACAACTTGCAGGGATAAACAGCCTTTGGTCGGATCAAAATTCAAGAGCGACTGTGCGTTAAAGTTGCCGGGCGAATGCAGCGGGCACCTTACCTCCTTGAGCGAGTGCAAAAGCAGGTATTGCTGCTTGGGCTGCGCGTCAATTTGCGCAAGGATGAAGCCCAGGTACTTGTGGAGGTTGCCGACCGCGATGTTGCCCAGCGAGTAGGAAGCCGCGGCCTTGATCTCTTCGCTTGGAGACCTGCGGAAACGTGCAGATTATAGGTTGAGTGTCTTTGAAGACGGTCAGGGAACTTCAACCATAGAGAAAAAGGCTCAAAGGATATGTCCTGAATTCAGAAGAATCATCGATCTTCAAGCAGTCGGCGTTGCAACCATGCAGGCGAATAAAAGGCGCAGGGCTATTAGGAGATTGAAAACGGTCTAGCAAGCTTTTAGGAGCGTGGAACGAAGTGCGTGACCGGTAACGACACCTTATGCGCTGTTGCAAGGAGACGAGGCTCCAGCGAATCAAATCGCAACCAGCTAAGGGCCGGATGACATTCCCAGTCCTTACAAATCCAACCATTCGCCAGTCCTGCGCTTCCTCCTCAGATAATCCACGAGGAGTTAAGTAGTGCGACATCAGCGATAAGGCGTGAACTGAAATGGGCAAAAGGTTACGTTTCTTCACGTACCCGAACGCGCTCGTGACAATCCCCTCCACGTCCGCGTGCTTGCTCAGGTCCCGCCGCCGCCCGATCTCGCCCAGCGCCAGCAGGCTCAGCAGCTGCACCGGCTCTGCGCCCTTCGCCCCCGAGTCCCGCAAATTTTTGATCAGCGTCTCCACCGTCGATTTCACTTTGGCATCCCCGGCAGCCGTACACAAAACCGCCACGCACTGCGCGACCGAGTGGTATGCTTGCTTGCCGGCCGGGCCAGTGCCGGTGGGAGAGCCCAAGGGGGCGGTGATGCCGGAAGAAGAACCGGCTGCCGAGCCGGAGGGTTGGGGCTTGGCCGACGCAAGGAGCGCGCTGAGGAGAGAGTCGAAGCTGGCGGTGTTGCTCTGGACGAGTGCGGCGAAGAAGGCCTGGAGGGTCTGCAGGGGCGGAGAGGAATGGGGGAGTGTGAGTCAAGGGCGTTGTGAAATCGAGAAGCAGTTTGGCTGTTTGCTACGTTGCTCAAGCAGTGAAGAGACGGTTGCTTGAGCATATTTGCATCTGATTGATGTCTCCATTGGTATCAAAGAAGAGCTTTCAGCGGCGCCTCAAAAAGATCGCTGCGACAGTAGTATGTTGCGGGTCTCTCGGGAAAAGGCTTGAGTGACCCCTCAGGTGTGACGGCACAGCACATTGACTCTCTTCGATAGCAACAGCGGATGAGCGTGCAACTACAGAAGCGGCTCTACGCGAGCAACTCTTCCAACTCATTTTACACACCCAAGAAAAGGACAACAGATGCTTGGCTTTCCGCGGACCGACCTGGAGTGCCTGCCCCTGCAGCAACGAGCTGCGCACGAGCAGCAGCGTCTGCGGGAGGACCTTGTCCCGCACGGCGCCGCCCGCCGCCTGCGGCTGCTTCGCGACCATGCTGACGCACAGCGACAGCGCAGACGCAGCCATCTGCAGGTCCGAATCGCTGACGAGGCCCGACAGCTCTCCAACGATTGCCTCGATGCTCGGGGCGTCTAACTGGGCACTGTAGTTGGTGGCGAGGGCGTCGAGCGTGGAGAGCGCCGCGAGGCGGAGCGCCCGGTTGGCCTTGCGGAGGAAGGAGGTGAGTTCGGCGACGGCGGGGGCGAGGATCGGGGAGAGGTCGACGTGGAGGGGCGAGCGGGCGATGGTCTCGAGGGCCTGTAAAAGGACGATATCTGTATGTTTTCAAGATGTCTTCAAGTCCTTGAGCGTCAATATGAGGGTTACAATTCTCCAGATCGTGCTTGAAATTGAGTGCAACAAAATGAATCCTGCAGAGCATTGACCGACGGCGTGTTTCAAAAAGCTCCTTGGAAAGTACTCCCTGCTTTCAGCTACATCGCAGAGTTGTAAGTAAATGCGAGGCGGTGTTCTTCCACAATCCAGTTAATAATGGAGGGCAATGTCGAAACTACGCGAAGCCAGATCAAGTCTCCTTGGACCTAGAAGTTTCAATCCAACCCGATACTTTCACCGCAGTCGATTCAACCCACCTTGACAGCTGTCAGGCGCGTAATCTCATTCCGGAGGCGGTCCAGCAGCAGGTTCAGGCTAGTGGGCAGTTCCGACTGGAGCTTATCCCCCAGGATGGAGATGACGAGCCCCGTCGCAATGATGGCCGACTCCTTCACCTCCTGGTCCTGGTCCTGGGCGGTCAGCCGCTTCTCCACGGCGCCATAGATCGGCCGGACGTACGACTCGAAGGCGAAGCTCTGCAGGCAAACAAACGGTCCATCATTGTATCCCGATCCGACGACGGGTTCCAACACTTTCGGCCTTCTGCAGAGCAACCTGGGTAGAAAGCAGAAAAGGCAGACCCAGGCTCGAAGAACGTTGACTGCCGCGAACATGGCGGCCCTTTTTTAAATCAAAAAAGGGGGTCTCTCTTTTTCCTTCCAGCAAAAGTTACAGCAGGACAGATTGAGTGCGCCCTTTACTTCAAGCGGAGGTAGTGCTTTTAATGCTTGGAACTGCCTTCGAAAAGGTCCTACACAAGGCATCTTCTCACCGTGACAAAGGGAAGCGGCAGTCACAGTGGAACTCTGACCGGAGGTCAAAGATTTCAGAAAGGGATGACATTGAAAAAGGACCTATTCTCACCTGGCCAGAGGCTGGCCGAATGACCTTCACTAGCTCGCCAGTCACTCGCAGCGCCTCGGATGTGACCTTGTAATACCGCTCCCCGACTGCTGCCAGGACAGGCGATGAGAGGGCCTGCAAGATGGATACGGGCTGAGAACTTGCTCCTAATAGGACCGTGCAAAAGACTCCGCTGGCTGGACAGACAATTGCTTCGCACGCGGACCAACCCCCAAATCAACGCCGAATAAAATCTATACCCTCAGGTGAAGCACCGGTTCGAAATGACGCCGTTACAGGAGTGGTAAAGCTGTGTAAGCGTGCCAGGACATCTGAGGCTCGCTTCAAAATTTGCCAGTCCAAGGTCGCTTGAAAAGCACGGAATCTTCTGCCAGTCCAAGGTCGCTCGAAAAGCACGAACGGGGCTACCTGGGCGTGGTAACGGACGGCCAAGCTTCTTTACCCAAGGAGAAGCTTTCTTTGCCGAGGGTAATCGAGTTCTACCTTGATGTGGGGCTGGAAGACCTCCGGGCTGTGGGACGAGAGCACGAGGCGCGTGAACACGAGCGCTTCGATCTTGAGGCTGGAGTTGGAGGACCGGTCTTCCAGGGCACGCTTGATGCCCGGGACGAGGGACGCGAAGTGGTCGGCGAGGCTGTTGGGCAGGACCACCACGAGCTCCCGGAGCACGGAGAAGACGCCGACCTGCAATGGCGAATCTCAGCGCCCTCAATGTGGCGCGGTTTATAACAAGACGGGTTCCCTTACAAGACGCTGTGGTAGAACGAGACTGCTTTCAGTGTGGTTTGCCAACTGTAACCGGACTGTGCGGACCTCGAGAATATGGTGTGGAGTAAGTTACTGGCTATGATGCACTTGCTATTGATCGAAGCGTTTGCGTTCCTGACAAGCAGGAGAAGCAGTTTAGTCACTTAGTGGAGACAACCCTGACAAGCAGGAGAAGCAGTTTAGTCACTTAGTGGAGACAACGCTGCCGCGTAAAGGAATGTTTGGACATCTTACTCTGGTCTTGACAGACTTGTGCTTGAGCTGCTTGTTTAGCGAACGCACAAGCTTGGGCACTTCTTGTTGGAGGAGGTACAGGGGGCTGCAGGAGCGCAGAAGAATCAGCACTTCTTCATTTGCACGCATGGTTGTTCTTTGTACGTTCACATCGACCGGACCGAGACTCGCAGAGTTCTGTACCAAAGTATTGCGGATCCCCCAAGCAAAAGATACGTGACTGAGCCTTTTTACTCATCAAATGCATAAGCATCCCCGACGATTAGCACCTTACCAGCCGACTCATGTTGGCAGGTTCTCAAAGACGAGGAGTTTTGGTGTCTGCCTGAGTTGCGGATCGATGGACTGTGTCATTGGCTGCACGAATGGTCGCCTACCTCGAAGGAGTGAGTTCCCCGCCCTTTGTGATGAGCCCCGTCTGTCGAAGAAGGTCGCTGAAGGCGTTGAACAGGTCAATCTGCAGGACAGACAAACGGCGTTGTGTACAACTGGCACAGATCTGTAAAGGTGCAGAACTACATACTGCGAGAAGGTCGGCAATCGAAGAGGAAGTTGCGCATCCAGGCACTTTCTAAATTGCACTGGCTGAATCGCCGACATCTCGTGGTCTCCTGCTATTACTCAGCCCTGTTTGTCCGTGGTTGGAATATCTCACCTTTACATTCTCTTCCCGCTCCTTGAAGCGGTTGATCAGCTCAGGGCATGCCTGCACAGCGTGAGCGGCGGTTTTGAGGGTGCAAGTCCACAACCCCTGATCGATTCGAGACTGATGTGCAAGAGGAGCCGACGATGATACAAGAACCTCTTGCTCGAAAGGAAGTCTACTGTCAGCAGAAACGTTTAATCTGGAGTCGTCTGGAAAAGTCGACCCCCCCTGGCCATCTGATTCTCTCTCAGAAAAGCAAGCACCTACCTTGTACGTTTTGAATTCTCTTCTTGAAGGTAGATCCTTTAGCTGGATCTACAAAGCCATCACGCACAACTAACGAGAGAGCGTCAATTACAGTTGGTCAACAAACCCAGGTACTGCAGTCCCTCACCTTCTGATAGAGCAGGGCAATCATCTCGGGCCTTGACGTGATCACCGCCGACAGCGTCTTTGCAGCTGCCCGCCGCACCTTCCAGCTCACGTCCTCATCATCGCTGTACTCGTCTGCGCTCTCCCTGCAGATCCAAACGCGCAGATTCAGTGTTTCAAATTACTCCCAGATGTTGAGTCGATCTTACCTTGTGTTACTCGATCACAGAGAAAAGACCTCTGTCGCAAGCAAGACCCTTCCGCGTGCCGCTTCACGTCTCCAAGCAACGGATGACAGCACAGTGCCTTGTCCTAGCTAACCGAGTCGGAGCTTCGAGAAAGGTTCGCTCGCTGTCGCCCAAACAGCCTTCATTTTCTTTCTCTTCTCAAGTCCAAGCTGAAATCAGGGGCGACGCCAAAATGTCGCTCATCGTCCTCTTCCTCCTCCTCCTCCTCATCCTCGTCTATGTCATCGCTGTGCTTCGGGTCGTAGCTCGAGAACACCAGACCACAAACTAGAGGTGGAATCAAAACGAATGCTGCTCACTCGTCCTCTTCCTCTTCCTCCTCCTCATCTCCCTCCTCTTCGTCCTCGTCCATGTCTTCGCTGTAGTTCGGGTCGTAGCTCAGAAACTCGAGTGCTAGGTTAAGGATCGCGTCCGTGTGCTCCGACACGTCGCGCGGGCAGCGCAGCACGAAGCTCTCCAGCGCCTGCAGGCTGTACTCGCGCAGCTCGTCGTCGTTCTCGGAGGCCTCCTTGCAGTATGTGATCAGCAGCAGTACAACCTCGCTCAAGTGGGGCCCGAAGCGATACCCAACGGAGCGGCTGCAAACAGAAGGAATATCTGCGTTGTGAACTGGCGAGGAATTCCGACATATGCACGTGTGTTTCGATGATTGAAACTGAGCGACAGAAAGTGCATGTTGGAGGCCACGGCGAAACTTCGGGTGCACTGAAGCAAAAGAGTGGTGGCCCAGGATGTGAACCGGCAGAGCGACCGTTGAAACTGTCAACATCTGCAACATTCATGTGTGCTTCTTACGATGCGCCAATATTGCCGCCCTGGCAAGGCCCAATTACAGATGCGAACGACCTCCATTGGCATCTCACGAGCACACTGAATTGGTGCTCAACTAAGATTCTCGTTGGTTAGCTCAAGAACCTCGTTTGGAAAGAAAGACCGGTCCCACTTACCTCAAGGATCCGATTGTCTGGATGTACGTTCTTATCATGTCCACTTTGAGGGACGTGTCCTTCAGCTGCTCGACTACCGCCTTCGTCGCTTGCCGGAGAAGATCGTCAGAGAGGCTAGCGGCCAAAGTGGCTGCACATGATGTCAACTCAACGAGCATCAGCTCAGGATACAGATTATGGCTGTTCATGTCCCTTCCTCAGATTACTCTCTCTTGAAACTAACCACAGAGCTAGATCTGAGGGAATGTACATTCCCGGCATGATCTCAGGTAACAGGACCAGATGTAGGAATGTATACACCCTTTTCACTACCAATCTTGGAGGTCGTTTGAGTCTTTTTTCTGCAAAAGAATGCTCCAACTTCGATTGTGTAGATAATCAATCCGTAATGTAAAAGCTAACAAGATACCTGGGTGGGCCAAGGAATCCTGTTCCAAGTCGTCGACTGACCCTTGACCAAGAGCTCCAAGCCGTGGCAACTGCCACCCCTTTTCTGTTAGCACCACCACAACACAAACATGCAGGTCTGTATAATCGACATGGGTCAACCATCTCACCGAGAGCTGTGGTGGCTCGTTTCCTGAGGCCAGCCTTTGGCGAAGCCAGCTGAACGAGAAGTGCCGCCAGGATCTTGCCGTGCAGCGGAACGACCAGGTGACCAAAGCGATGCAAGACATCGCTCAGGATGTCCAAAGCGTCGCTCTTGACTTCCACCGAATTATCCTGCAGAAGGTACTCGTGATGGGATTTTGTTCACCCATGTTCAAGACCACCCCGTGGAGGAATACTTCTCTGAACCTTGCTGGCAGAATCTCAAATCTTTCTGTTTGCGAGAGCGATCACTTGGAGAGCCACCTTAAAAAGGAGACTGATTGCACTCAATTGCACGTCGTTATCGTAGACAACAAAAGAGTTCCTTACTCACATAAAGCCAAACTCTACACGTCACCGCGTACTCGGGTGCCATTGTGACATTGTTTGAGGACTTTTGAACCAATCTCGAATCTTTCCCAGTGACAAGGCAGCCCAAGACCAGAGTGAAGAGACTCTCTTACCTTTTCAATTGCGTCAACCAGGAGTGGAGTGAGTGTTTCCACCACTCCCGTTGCTGTCGGTCCATGCACCTCGGTCACGATTGTCTTCAAAGCAATACCCGCAATGTCCCGAACCTGCTCCTTGCCACCCTTCCCAGTTGGTGCCACCGTTAGCTTCCCGCTGAGGAGTTTGACCATGTCCACAACGCGCGCTTCGTTCACCTTCTTCACGAGAGGGGCCAGGCTGCAGACAAGCAGCGACTGTGGTTTGTCCCTTCTTCTCACTCAATTGGGACTGAAAAATCACCAATCGTCAATTAGACTACTCGTCAAAGACCAGATTTTAACATTGAGCCCCGACCTTTCACTGCTGACGCAAGTGAACAAGCACAACCGCTCTTGGAAAGCGTTGACAGGATGATTGACGACAGTCAATAACCATGATCTCCTCTCTGAAGCTCGAGAGAAGAGTCCAAGTGATGCCACCGAACTTGGCACCTCCGATACCCTTACGTTTGGTACACAAATGAAACCTCTGCTTGTCAAAATGGAGAGGAGTTACCACAAATTGTCCTACTCAAGAGCCAGATCACGTCCCCTTGGCAAATTTTCTTGGCATCATCCGCAGCATCGTCTGGCCAGGGAGATAGTCTCCTCATAGTCCATCGTTTTTGAGTTGTGAGCGCACCATTTCACGGCAAGTCCAGAAATGTCCCCTGACTGGTCTTCCAGCTGTTGCAAAACAATCTGCACCACTTTCTTTTCTATCTCCGGGTCCGCTTTGAACGTGTCTTTCTGCAGCTCGTTCAGGAGGTCCGATGTGGCCATGTACCGAAAGTCCTTGTCCTTCGATGCAATCTGCGCAGATAACATTGTTCTGAGGATCCACGAAAACAAAAGCAGTGGCGATTCTGATGCCATGACGTAGTGACTCCTCTGACCCTCCTCCACGTATACAAGCACAAACTCTCCAACTTATGGTGGTGCATACTGCCAAGCCAGGATAAGTACTGCAGGATATCTGAAAGACGAATCACATGCTGCAAAAAACAGAATGGCTGGTTTTTATGGAATTCGTAACAATTTATGTTGGGATTACTTCAGGCGACAAATCCATACTTTTCTGTGCATGCTAAAAACGACGGTTGGTGGTTGAGCAACAAGCTACATAAGCACAAGGAACAAAAGCAGCAAGAAGTAGGCTTGTATTCCTACATCAACACAGGCATGCTAATGTGGTCAAATGCAACTGTCACAACCTGGCAGTTTGCTCACCTTCTCCAAGATGAGCCCCACTGCAAGACTCGCCATGATGGAAGCACACACAAAACTGTTGGGGGCTTCCCAAACGCTAGGATCAATTCACTCCTTCACAGACAGCATTAGCTCGTCAAGGGCAGACGCGCTACACGGAGATCTAAAGATTGGTGGAAATCAGTAGCTTTTCCAGAAGAAAGACAACTGGAGATTGAAACTGAAAATTGGAGGGTGCTCTATCCAACGCCGCAATGCTCGGGTATCTTTCTGACACTTCCCTACTTACCAGCTTCCTGTGTCACTGTCAGTGCAGCAGCACAGCTCATCTTTTCTCTCATATCATGACATATGTATGGTGATCTCAGTTCGTCGGCGACCAACGCGAAAAAGAAAGGCTGGACGCTGTACATGGAAACCGAAAGATGGTCGCTGGATGTTCTTGACTCAACCAAAGATCAAGCTCAGTGCAAGTGACTCCAGAGCAGCAAACCGGCACTTCCAGGGTTCAAGAGCGTCAAGGGGTCGCTGCGTCTTGCCTAGATAAAATTTTATGCACAGTTCCTTTAGGAGCCCTTAAAATCTTCAAGGCTTTCACAGAGGAAGACACATTTGACGTGGAAACTTGGTTCTTCGCGAAAGCCACGACTCTGATCTGCTGATTCATAGAGGTGACAAACATGGCGGGAGGAAAGGCGCCACGCAAAGCTTCTAGCAGGACCCCTCACCAGTTCACTGGCATTGAGTTTCAGAAAAGCAAGGGGCAGCACATCTTAAAAAACCCTTTAGTGGTGAGTTTCAACTGTTTACTTCCCTCGTGATACGGGTTTTAGGGTTTACCCTGTGATTCATGGCCTTCTGGCAGAATGCGAAATTATTCTTGTTGGCAGCGTCCCGCTTGCCTTCCTCTGATTAAGAGTTGTTGTACAATTTTGGTAATGGTTTTCAGGGCTTTAGAGTCAGCTACTAGAGTGTAAGGGTTTATTGATCATGCCTCCCACAAAAAGTGGTGCCCATGCTTCTGCCTGCCAAAGACCCTCAGCGTGTGTCTGAAGCACCTATTCAAATGGTTGACTCTCAGTATTGATTGATTGGTGTTGAGGTTGCAGGTGCAATCGATTGTACAAAAGGCGGGCATAAAGTCCACTGATGTCGTTCTAGAAATTGGGCCCGGAACGGGAAATCTTACGGTCAAACTCCTGGAAGCGGCCAAGAAGGTGATTGCAGTGGAGCTGGATCCTCGCATGGTGTTGGAGCTCCAGCGAAGAATGCAGGGGACATCGTATGCAGATCATCTGCAGGTGAGAACTTGTTCTGGTCATTGGTCTCCAAGCGCATTTGCTCAGTGACGGAAAGATGCAGGTTGTTTTAGTTTCGTCAAATGCTTCTCCATCCGGCCGTAGCTGGTCAATTTTCTCATGTGTGAAATAATTTGAGCTGTGGGTAAGAGTCGAGTTCGCTGTGTTACAGAAGGGCTCGGCAAAAGCGAAGCTTGACCTATATGGGGACGGACCGGTTGGTTGCATTTCCAGCACCGGGGCTTCAGTGTCAACTGATCCTAGGAATCAGTAAGTTTAGCCAATTGAATGAGGACTTTGTAGATGCGAAGTTGATGCGATGCCCACTGCGGATCGACATGTTGCTTCGCGAAAACATGTTGACTTGTCAGTAAGTACATGGTTTCTCACTGCTGTACTTTGGCTGAAGGGTGGTTGCATGATTTACTAATGTTCGTGCCCTTTCAATCGCAATTGTCAAGCCCTGAACCAACTCCACCATGATTCTTCCAGACCCTCTGTTGTCATACTCAAAGTCGATGCTGAAAAAAGAGCCGCTGACAATTCGTTTTTTGGAGTGCCCTGTTTGGAAGTTGAAGCCTTTGATGTCTGAAATTGTTTGATTCGACCCCATCTATCAGCTCTTGGTCAGCTCATTGGTTCAGTCTCGAAGATTTAGTTGCCCAGCCTACATCACTTGACGATGTAACAGCATAAATCCACTAACCGTCGACCATATGTAGTTACGAGTCATGTGGATAAGCCCTTCTTGAAACCCGTGGCTTTTGGCAAATGGTCATCAGCAGCGCACTTGAGAGAGTGCCATCATCATCGACGCCCTGGTACCGTTTATCCGTTCGGTATGACGAAGTTTTTCCGCCTTTTCGTATCCACTATCCAAAATCCAGGTTTTGGCCACTGCAGATTATCCAGGGTGACATCCTCAAGACACAGCTGCCCTACTTCGACGTGTGCGTAGCCAACATCCCATACCAGATCTCCTCCCCCATCGTTTTCAAGCTACTCTCCCACCGCCCCCTCTTCCGCTGTGCCGTCATCATGTTCCAACGCGAATTTGCCATGCGGCTTTTAGCCAAGCCAGGGGAGTCGCTGTACTGCCGGCTGTCGGTCAACACGCAGCTCCTGTCCAGAGTGGACCACTTACTTAAGGTGAGCGTTCTATCTGGTCGTGATTGAGCACCGCTACATGCCCTTAAGTGAGGTCCGCTCTGTAGAGTGGCCCGCTTCCTACAGTGGGGTTCCATCTTGGTTCAAGGAAGCCTGCGGGTCTTTTGCGGTCTTTGTCAAAATTGGTGTGCGATTGCCAGCATCATTACGCGATTTGCACTTCGGGGGCCCGTTGCCAGAGGATCAACCGTCGGGAAGATACGAATGAAGCATCTTGTTGTCCAGCAAAATTCCTCTCCCTTTTGAAGTAAACCTTTGTGCAAGTCGAATTGTTCCGCAACTGGCTCTGCTTCTTTTTCGAAAGTTGATCAATCAAGCTTGCGTGTTTTGGAGGATTGGCCCGCCGTAGGGTGGAATCGTTAAGCAGTCTGAAGATGCCCTTTGTGTGCTTTTTGTTTGGTACAACCTCTCTGGAGGAAGCACTCTATCCTTTGTACATCTACCGATCTCGCACTACGAGGGAACAGCTGCGTGCTTTAGGAAGGGATCTCTGGCTGAGTTGACAGAGTCGTAAAAAGCAACGTGACAGGGGCTAGACAAGGCTTGGGCTGTCTTTCATTTTGATCGTTGTGTGGACGTGTACGATATTCGAAGGTCATTTTTCTCGAGACTCGTTTAAAAAGGAAAGAGCATCCTTCAAGAGCTCAGCCGTTGAAAAGGTTGCTAAAATCAGAGACCGTTGCCCTAATCTGTACGAACGAAGGCTTTGGGCAGTCGATCATGCCAGTTGGCAGGGTAACCTCAGGTTACTGACACTATTTCTCGGAAGTTGACGAGGTTTCGAACGGGTTGAGCTCTGTTAGACTACCGAAAATCAGTCCCAACGACTCGACAGCTTTCTGGTCGACGCAGTCTTGAAGCTCTTGCGCTTCGATATTTCCAGGTCGGCAAGAACAACTTCCGGCCACCCCCCAAAGTCGACTCGTCGGTGGTGCGGATCGAGCCGCGGAACCCGCTGCCGCCCGTGAACCTCAAGGAGTGGGACGGCCTGGTGCGCCTGTGTTTCAGCCGGAAGAACAAGACGCTGGGCGCCATCTTCAGACAAAAGAACGTGCTCTTGCTACTAGAAAACAATTACAAGTAAGAACCTTGCATGCTTCGCTTCGCTCCCTGGCTTTCTCATGAGTTGTTCCGCTTTGGATACCGCTGAACGGGCGTTCTCCTGATCAAGGTACTATCAGCTGCCTGTCAGCTGCCTATTGATCGAAAGCGGTGCTTGCCTATAGTGTGCTTGATCCATTCTGATTGGGGACGTCTGAAGAAGACCGCCGATCCTCGTTACTTTCTCGGTCTAGAGATGGCCTGCCCTGTCGGGTCCAAAGCCGCTGGCCCTACATTCCACCTAGCGGTTTGTCGTTCTGGGTCCGTGAATATCGATCAAGGACGCTGAGATCAAAGAGAAGCGCTGACTTAACTTCGCAGATATACGCTCGTTGCTTGCTGAAGGGCGAGTTGATCGAGCATTCGCTTGCTGCGGTTGACAAGTCCGCAGCGTCCCATTTTCGTAGAGCAGTTGAACTCTGAAACCCAGCGCCAGTGAATGATGTAACAGCGCGCTTCTCTGTCCCTTTTTTGATGACGGGCCTTGCGAATGGATCTTCTCCACTTCGGAAGGTCAAGCCTTGCGCCGCATGCCTGATGGATCAGTGGAAGATCCTTCGACTGTTTTTAAACCGTTGGGGCTGACCCGGACGTCGTATTTGCGGCTCCTGCAGGACGTACCAAGCTTTACAAGCAGTTAGTGAGCCTTCTGCAGGACAGACTGCGGATGTAAATATGCTGGCGGACGATGCGGAAGAAGGGGACGATGCAATTGACACAGGAACTGCAGCCATGGATACAGATGTGCCGGAGGACGATCTTGTGCTGAAAGGAAAGGAGGGGCTTGCAAAAGTCAAAGAGCTGGCTTTGCAAGTTCTCAAGGCAAATGACTTCGAAGACAAGCGGTCCTCGAAGCTCCAGCAAGACGACTTCTTGAGACTTTTAGCTGTCTTCAATGAACAGGGTATTCACTTCGCTTAAATATACGAAGCTGGACCCTCACAAAAGATTTTCCTTCCCAGCCGGTTAGTGCATGGCACCCATGCGCGTTTTCAACCCACCAGTTATTGGCTGACAAAAGTAAGCTGGCGTACATGTATATATTGGACGCAAGTTTGCAGGACTTAATAGATGGCTAGATTGGTGAAGTAATGGATCTTGATGTGGCCATAAGCCTGCCCGACAAGAGGCTGTTTGCATAGTAAGTTTGCAATGCACGGAAACACGATGAAGCGCAAGCAAAGGTAAACTTGGCCCAATCTTGGCGTCTAACTAAATTTCCTATATCTATGCAATCGCCAGACCCGTGAGTCTCAGGTGGATTCGATTGCCCCCGAGCGGGCCCATCATCTGAGTGCGTGCCTGCCAGAAGACATGTTGCCGGGAGTTCCAAGATCGACCAGTGTTGCATGCGGGCCGAGCTAGACTCGGGAGTCGTCAGGAGTATCACCTAGCTACATATCGAGCCCTCGGGAGTCAGACTCAGAAGTCTGAAGAGGATCACGGGAATCACGTGGTCAGCGAATCATTGTTGCCGACAAGGTTTTCGAGCCGTCGATGCCTTCGAAACAGCGCTTTCAATACTTGCCATCTGTCACGGTGACGTTTGCAATCGATCCGAACTTTCCACGGGAATCTGCCATGTGGCCATGCAGCTCGGATCGGGATCGAGCCGGATTTGATCCTGGAACTGATTTCCAGGGCCGAAACAGTTGCACCTGAATCCTGATCCAAGCTAGAAAGTTCCTGTCTTCTGATGCA